ACTCGATCAGGCACGAAGTCAGGTGAATGTTCGCCTACGCGAGGCGATCGCGGATCGGGCCGATCGACACAATGAAGAAGTTCGACCAGGCTGGATCTCAGGTGTGGCTGTACCTGGATCGTGTGAGAGAGGGGTATGCCCGGAAGCTGGCTCACCTGTGGCACGGCCCGTTCCGCGTTGCGGAGAAGGTGAACGAGTACACGATGAAACTTCAGATCGCTGGTACAGACTATCACCTGTTCCCGATCGTGCATGTCTCGAAGCTGAAGTTGGTGCATGGTTGGGATCCTCGATCGACGCTTGAGGCGACGATACCTTTGGGTAGTACTCGGACTCGGGATCGGAATCCTCGACGGTGGCGTTATCGGATCCAGAGGCACTACGATCAGGCACGAAGTCAGGTGAATGTTCGCCTACGCGAGGCGATCGCGGATCGGGCCGATCGACACAATGAAGAAGTTCGACCACACTCGATCGAGGCTGGATCTCAGGTGTGGCTGTACCTGGATCGTGTGAGAGAGGGGTATGCCCGGAAGCTGGCTCACCTGTGGCACGGCCCGTTCCGCGTTGCGGAGAAGGTGAACGAGTACACGATGAAACTTCAGATCGCTGGTACAGACTATCACCTGTTCCCGATCGTGCATGTCTCGAAGCTGAAGTTGGTGCATGGTTGGGATCCTCGATCGACGCTTGAGGCGACGATACCTTTGGGTAGTACTCGGACTCGGGATCGGAATCCTCGACGGTGGCGTTATCGGATCCAGAGGCACTACGATCAGGCACGAAGTCAGGTGAATGTTCGCCTACGCGAGGCGATCGCGGATCGGGCCGATCGACACAATGAAGAAGTTCGACCACACTCGATCGAGGCTGGATCTCAGGTGTGACTGTACCTGGATCGTGTGAGAGAGGGGTATGCCCGGAAGCTGGCTCACCTGTGGCACGGCCCGTTCCGCGTTGCGGAGAAGGTGAACGAGTACACGATGAAACTTCAGATCGCTGGTACAGACTATCACCTGTTCCCGATCGTGCATGTCTCGAAGCTGAAGTTGGTGCATGGTTGGGATCCTCGATCGACGCTTGAGGCGACGATACCTTTGGGTAGTACTCGGACTCGGGATCGGAATCCTCGACGGTGGCGTTATCGGATCCAGAGGCACTACGATCAGGCACGAAGTCAGGTGAATGTTCGCCTACGCGAGGCGATCGCGGATCGGGCCGATCGACACAATGAAGAAGTTCGACCACACTCGATCGAGGCTGGATCTCAGGTGTGGCTGTACCTGGATCGTGTGAGAGAGGGGTATGCCCGGAAGCTGGCTCACCTGTGGCACGGCCCGTTCCGCGTTGCGGAGAAGGTGAACGAGTACACGATGAAACTTCAGATCGCTGGTACAGACTATCACCTGTTCCCGATCGTGCATGTCTCGAAGCTGAAGTTGGTGCATGGTTGGGATCCTCGATCGACGCTTGAGGCGACGATACCTTTGGGTAGTACTCGGACTCGGGATCGGAATCCTCGACGGTGGCGTTATCGGATCCGGAGGCACTACGATCAGGCACGAAGTCAGGTGAATGTTCGCCTACGCGAGGCGATCGCGGATCGGGCCGATCGACACAATGAAGAAGTTCGACCACACTCGATCGAGGCTGGATCTCAGGTGTGGCTGTACCTGGATCGTGTGAGAGAGGGGTATGCCCGGAAGCTGGCTCACCTGTGGCACGGCCCGTTCCGCGTTGCGGAGAAGGTGAACGAGTACACGATGAAACTTCAGATCGCTGGTACAGACTATCACCTGTTCCCGATCGTGCATGTCTCGAAGCTGAAGTTGGTGCATGGTTGGGATCCTCGATCGACGCTTGAGGCGACGATACCTTTGGGTAGTACTCGGACTCGGGATCGGAATCCTCGACGGTGGCGTTATCGGATCCAGAGGCACTACGATCAGGCACGAAGTCAGGTGAATGTTCGCCTACGCGAGGCGATCGCGGATCGGGCCGATCGACACAATGAAGAAGTTCGACCACACTCGATCGAGGCTGGATCTCAGGTGTGGCTGTACCTGGATCGTGTGAGAGAGGGGTATGCCCGGAAGCTGGCTCACCTGTGGCACGGCCCGTTCCGCGTTGCGGAGAAGGTGAACGAGTACACGATGAAACTTCAGATCGCTGGTACAGACTATCACCTGTTCCCGATCGTGCATGTCTCGAAGCTGAAGTTGGTGCATGGTTGGGATCCTCGATCGACGCTTGAGGCGACGATACCTTTGGGTAGTACTCGGACTCGGGATCGGAATCCTCGACGGTGGCGTTATCGGATCCAGAGGCACTACGATCAGGCACGAAGTCAGGTGAATGTTCGCCTACGCGAGGCGATCGCGGATCGGGCCGATCGACACAATGAAGAAGTTCGACCACACTCGATCGAGGCTGGATCTCAGGTGTGGCTGTACCTGGATCGTGTGAGAGAGGGGTATGCCCGGAAGCTGGCTCACCTGTGGCACGGCCCGTTCCGCGTTGCGGAGAAGGTGAACGAGTACACGATGAAACTTCAGATCGCTGGTACAGACTATCACCTGTTCCCGATCGTGCATGTCTCGAAGCTGAAGTTGGTGCATGGTTGGGATCCTCGATCGACGCTTGAGGCGACGATACCTTTGGGTAGTACTCGGACTCGGGATCGGAATCCTCGACGGTGGCGTTATCGGATCCAGAGGCACTACGATCAGGCACGAAGTCAGGTGAATGTTCGCCTACGCGAGGCGATCGCGGATCGGGCAAGAAGTTCGACCACACTCGATCGAGGCTGGATCTCAGGTGTGGCTGTACCTGGATCGTGTGAGAGAGGGGTATGCCCGGAAGCTGGCTCACCTGTGGCACGGCCCGTTCCGCGTTGCGGAGAAGGTGAACGAGTACACGATGAAACTTCAGATCGCTGGTACAGACTATCACCTGTTCCCGATCGTGCATGTCTCGAAGCTGAAGTTGGTGCATGGTTGGGATCCTCGATCGACGCTTGAGGCGACGATACCTTTGGGTAGTACTCGGACTCGGGATCGGAATCCTCGACGGTGGCGTTATCGGATCCAGAGGCACTACGATCAGGCACGAAGTCAGGTGAATGTTCGCCTACGCGAGGCGATCGCGGATCGGGCCGATCGACACAATGAAGAAGTTCGACCACACTCGATCGAGGCTGGATCTCAGGTGTGACTGTACCTGGATCGTGTGAGAGAGGGGTATGCCCGGAAGCTGGCTCACCTGTGGCACGGCCCGTTCCGCGTTGCGGAGAAGGTGAACGAGTACACGATGAAACTTCAGATCGCTGGTACAGACTATCACCTGTTCCCGATCGTGCATGTCTCGAAGCTGAAGTTGGTGCATGGTTGGGATCCTCGATCGACGCTTGAGGCGACGATACCTTTGGGTAGTACTCGGACTCGGGATCGGAATCCTCGACGGTGGCGTTATCGGATCCAGAGGCACTACGATCAGGCACGAAGTCAGGTGAATGTTCGCCTACGCGAGGCGATCGCGGATCGGGCCGATCGACACAATGAAGAAGTTCGACCACACTCGATCGAGGCTGGATCTCAGGTGTGACTGTACCTGGATCGTGTGAGAGAGGGGTATGCCCGGAAGCTGGCTCACCTGTGGCACGGCCCGTTCCGCGTTGCGGAGAAGGTGAACGAGTACACGATGAAACTTCAGATCGCTGGTACAGACTATCACCTGTTCCCGATCGTGCATGTCTCGAAGCTGAAGTTGGTGCATGGTTGGGATCCTCGATCGACGCTTGAGGCGACGATACCTTTGGGTAGTACTCGGACTCGGGATCGGAATCCTCGACGGTGGCGTTATCGGATCCAGAGGCACTACGATCAGGCACGAAGTCAGGTGAATGTTCGCCTACGCGAGGCGATCGCGGATCGGGCCGATCGACACAATGAAGAAGTTCGACCACACTCGATCGAGGCTGGATCTCAGGTGTGGCTGTACCTGGATCGTGTGAGAGAGGGGTATGCCCGGAAGCTGGCTCACCTGTGGCACGGCCCGTTCCGCGTTGCGGAGAAGGTGAACGAGTACACGATGAAACTTCAGATCGCTGGTACAGACTATCACCTGTTCCCGATCGTGCATGTCTCGAAGCTGAAGTTGGTCAGAGACTTCCCCGATCGACCGCAGATCGCGCTCACGGTGGACAAAACAGATCGACTTGATTTCGACGAAGTCTTACTTCCGGAGGACAGCTGGGCCTCAGATCGAGACTCGAACGAGTACGAAGTGGAGAAGATCACGGACATGGTCGCCTTGGTGAGCGAGATGGATGACGGATCGACGGGGAGGCCGTAGATCGGAGGAAGGGGTTGTATATGAATGAGTGTGGGTACGTGAGTGCAGATAGGATGGTTATGGAGCGAGTGCATGAGGACGGATCCTGGCCGATCGAGCTAGCAACGAATGGATTGACAGGGACAGTGGGACATCGAGGAAGAATGCTGATTGTTACGATGGAATGGATTAATCTGAATATGTCGCGTTACGCGTATGGAAGATCGGCCTCCGGGTCACTCCGACTCTGAGGGTGTAATGGTCGACTGGCTCGCTACTTACGGAAGTCGATCGCAGAGACGGCGATCATGTCATCGCTGGTACTGGGCGCCGACGTTGGGGTTGAACTTGTTGCGGAGGCGCGGGATCCGTTGAGCGTGATGGTCCTGGGGGTGGTCGCGATACTGGTTCCGCCAGGGGTCATGGGTGTCGGCCTCGATCAGAGCCGTTCGGAGGTCGGTCGGTTCACCGTGGTGCTGGGTGGGGTCGCCAGCAATCGCAGCGCGAGACACCACACCGAGTTACCAGGTCACAGCGTCCCGCTGTCGCACCGGGATCTGCAAGAAGAACGGGTCCAGCAGCAGATCGACGTCTGCCCACATCTCTCGCATCATGGGCAACATCGCGTCGAGGAGTCGGCGCCACCAATCACCGAGACGGATCCGTTGGGCTCTGCGATCGCGATGATATTGCTCAACGATCGGGTCCCGACGCTGCGCGGCCGTGATCGGGAGATAAAGAGTGGTTTCCCAGAAGGCCTGGCGATGCTGCGCCTCGAGTTGAAGGTAGGCGGTGGCGATCCGACCCGATCGAGTGCCGGCGCCTCGATGGAGTGCCAGATCGAAAGTCAACGGGTTGGCCGGGTTCTGCAGCACCTGCCAGGGGCGATCGGCCATCAACGCGGTAATGTTGGGTCCGGTGATCAGGTCGTCTCGATAGCCGATCCCGGCGGCACGCTGTGCAGTGCCCCGAACGGCGAGCGGGAAGAGCCACCCCTCGGGTAGGAGAAGATGGTGGGTCAGCGTCGACAGGATCATGGCTGTGATCTGTAGCTGCCTCAGCAAGATCGAAGGCCAGGGGTCCGTATCAGCCTGAACGAGTGCCCTGGGGGCGTTGAAACCCGGGATCATGGTGCCGATCGGGAACAACGGCGGGGTCAGAGGACGACGCCTCGGCGATTCAGGTGGAGAACCGGGCGGCGGCGATCCAGGTGGACCATGACGGGACTGATGCGTTCCGTGGGACGATTGGGAGTGAATTGACACGACGGAGGGCGATCGCGATCGCGAGCGAGCCGGCGAAGTGTGGGTACGGGCGGGCGAGGCGGATTGACGGCGACGGCCCTCCGATCGGGACCGAGCTAAGGCTGCGAGCGCCTCCTAATCAGATTCCTCCGACTCGTCTTCTTCTTCGTCAGTCTCTTGATCGGGCCCCTCCGATTCGGATCCTTCTTCGTCGGCCGTAGATCTAGCTGGAGACGACTTCGCATCTCCCGACTGATTTCCCTGCGAAGATCGAGGATTCGAGCCGGACCCGTCTTGGTCCGATCCCTCTTGCTTGTTTGGATCGGATGCAGGCTAATCTTCAGCAGGAAGTTCCTCACCGTTACCGTGTAACGAGAAGGACGGCGAGGGAGACCGGGCGGGCGACCGACTCTGAGATCGACTGCGGGGTGGAGGCACCGATCGGGCACGCTTGTGGATGTGCCCGGTAGAGTCCGGAGATCCTGAGCGACTGCGGCTGCGACGGCCAGGCGTGATCGGCGCGCACTGACGAAGCCCGATCCACCGAGCTACGCGAGACAACGTGTCAGCCACATTCTCGAGATCCTCGCTGGATCGATCGCTGGCGTGACGCAACATAGCGTAGGCATTCTGGACGTCGAGGAATTGGGCGTCTTGTGCCCGGATCACCTGTTGCGCACTTTCGAGACACGATCCTGTAGCACGGCGACAGCATGAGCAGCGATCGAGAACGGGATAGGTGGTATGGGAAGCTTACGTACGGAGGTCGGCGTTCTCTCGGAGTGCCACATCGCGGTCTTGATGAGCTTGATCGACGTTTCTCCCGGCAGCGGTGGCTTGGTCTCTCGCGGTATCTCGGGCGGTACGCATCAGATCCAGCTCCTCGTTTACCCGGTGGAGGGCAGCTTGCGGTTGATCCGAGGCGGGCGTGGGTCCGGTGGGAGGCGTCGGGGTCGGGACGGCCGGAGTGGCCGCAGCCGCAACATGACCTCGCTGGGCCACGGCCGCTTCGGCCACCTGAAGGGCAGTCTGGACCCGATCGAGGCTGCCGCGCGTAAGATCTAGCTCGTGGTTCACCTCGTCTAGTTCGCGCTCTTGCCCACAAACCTGGGATCGGAGATCCGAAATATCCGCCGCGGCGAGATCGAGCTGGTGGTCCAGCCGATCACGATCGGCGTTAGCAGTCGCGAGGTTGGCCTAAGCGCGTGTCAGTTGGCGATCCAGATCCTGGATCTCGGCGGCTTGCAGGTCTATCTGATCCCGGAGGTCTTGGATCAGCTGCGGACCCTGACCCTGGGCACTCTGTTGAAGGTCGCTAGCTTTCGTCTGAAGGCGGCGGATCTCTTCCTCTTGCGCCCAGTGGTGGCGCTCCAAGTCGTGCAGTTTCGCAGTCAGCTCGCGCACGGTGTCGTCCTGGCGCGCACGGTCGCGGATCATAGTCGATCGGGAAGCGTAGGCACACGCCAGCTCGTCTTCCAAGCGGGCAATTCGGCGGACGGCATCCGGGGAGGCCGCGGCACGGCGAGAAGCCGTCGATCGCGTCGATCGAGGTGTCGAAAGAGTCGATCGGGGCGAACCATGCGTCGAACCGTCGTCGTCTGGCGGACCGGACGGAGGTGCAGGTGGGTTGGGCGGCGGTGTGCTCATCTGTGGGTGGTCTGCGCTTGAGCCGGCGAATTGGAGAATGACCGAGGTCGAACTGTCCGAAGTGAGCCGCCGAGCGTCACAACTTGCGGTCAGGGGGAGGATGTGGAGAAGTGCCGAATAAGAATGGATCTCCGAGAAAGGCGGTAGGGCCGATCGACTGGAAGTATGGGGGATCAGCGATCGAGAGACAGGCCGCGAGGGTCTATGGATCGGAGGGAGTTCTTCGGGAGATCTCAAGTGGCCCGATGACGGCGGCGCGTAAGGCAGGACATGTGGCAAGCCGGATTGGGGATGATCGTGCTCGAACCGTGGCGTGATTCGGGGTCGACCCAAGCCCCGATCGACGACAGATCTCGCAGATCTAGGATGGCCGAGGACAGAAGGTGATGGATCGGCGGCGTACGGCAACCGGCACGAGTCGTCGATCGGGAGTTGATCGCCGATCGCCGATCGAGGGTTGATCGTGGATCGGGGATCGACCACGATGGGATGCACATGGAGGACGAAGTCAGGACAAGAATCCAGTGATTGTGGAGTTGTAGGATGGTAGATGAGATGGTAGCGGTAGAGAGACACCAGCTAAACCTAAATCAGAGCAGAATTTGCACCGAAGAGCACAAGTCCCCTCAAGTCACCAAGTCCCAGGAACTACATTGGCCTCGGCAGTGTCGGCACTTTGGGTAGTGAACTAGCGGTACGGTTAAGACTGGATTAATACATTGGCCAGCTTGACCTACTCTAGTGATCTATCTCTTGTGTGCAAGTCCTCGATCGACCGGATATTAGTGCTTGGCCGGCGATCGTTTCTCCTCTCGATCAACCTCGATCCCGCTATAGGAAGCGGCAAGCAACTCAAGAAAGGAAGGAACACACCCGGAAAGGCAACTACAGGCCTTGGATCAACTCCAGGCCGACCGATCGAAGCGAAGAACCCTCGATCGGAGCGTATACTCGGACGCAGAGCGAAGACTACCGCGCTGCTCCACAAACTATCCCCGCGTCACGCCAAGACATTCGATCTTCATTAAGTGCTGCATCTTCGGAGCCCCGAGAGAGCAGATCCAGCCCGCCGACGGGTACACAAGGTGAGAACAAGTTCAGCCGATCACGGATCGTTGGGGGACCCCCTCCGTTAGTCGGTGTCTGGGCGCTGGTGGGAAGCTCGATCAGGCCTTAACCTTAACCAAATTTTGGCCGATCCCGCTACACCACACGTCGGAGCAGTACCATGTCTCCTGGCCGATAGTCGCACTGGACTCACCCACGGTTCTCTCGCTCATTGTGTAGGCGGACTAGTTGTACCTTTCGGAGATGTTCAGCCTCCCAGTCCGTCTTGTGCGCCAGGTCGACGAACATGTCGCGGCCAAACGCGAGTTGAGCTGGCGACGCCTTCAGCATCGAGTGATTTGATCCTCGTGCTGCGAAGGTAGTGTTGTGGAGGAAGCTCTCCCATTCCTCACTCGTCGTGATCTCCTGCGTCCGCATCTTCTCGCCAATGACGCGATGCACCCTCTCGATGACCGCGTTTGCCTGCGGGTTGCGCGTAGTCGTCGGCACGGACTCGATCCCATAGCTCTCCAGTAGTTCAGCAAACTCACGCTTGAATTCACTTCCGCCGTCGTGGATGAATCGAACCGGTTTTGGGTAGCGGCACAGCCAGTGGCGGTCGACGAGGTAGGCAGCCTCGGCGCTGTCGGGGTTGATCACCGGCAGCAACTCCATCAGCCTGGTCGCCGTGTCAATGATTGAAAGTGCCCTGAACTTCTGCGATCCGTACGGACCGATCGAATCAACCGCAATCTCGAACCACGGCCAGACTTCCACGGTCTTGGGCGGCAGTTTGCCGTAGCGCACGGTTGGGTGCTTCGCCTTCAAGCACTCAGTGCATCCATCGACCAGCTTCTTCACGTCCTTCTCCATTCCATCCCAGTGAAAGACGCGCGATCGTGTTCTTCATTGTCGCGGCTCCAGGATGAATGAGCCATTCGTCGTACGTGGCGAGCAACGGCTCACGGATGCTCTTTGGCACGAGCACCTTCTTCGTCTGTGGGTGCACCAGTACTTGCACTCCACCGATTTCCTGTTTTTCCGCTCCATCGACCTTTTGTGCTTTTGCCAATACACGCAGGTCCATCGTAAACAAATCCGACTCAGCCACTGCCATCATGTCGGAAGCCGTCCTGATGTTGGTCGCAGTCTCCTCCAGTTCGGACCCATTTTGCACGTACACCGGAAGGCGCGTAAGCGCATCAGCAACGACGTTCTGCTCACCCGGTACGTAGTGAAAACCCGAACTCCTCGATCTCTAGTCTCCATCTCATCATGTGTACGTCGTAACGTCGAGTACGTGAGGTTCAGGTGGTCTGTGTGCAGATGGAGCTCTTGGCCAAGCAGCAGAGTCCGAAACTCTCGCAGGAGCAGTACGATGCTGAGTAACTCCAGTCGGTTCGCCGGGTAAGCCGTCTGCGCTTGGTTGCACTTCTTGGACCAGTATGCTAATGGACTGTTCTTCTGCGCGATCACAGCACCGAGCTGCAGCTTAGACGCGTCCGTGAAAACATGGTAGGGCACACCAGTCTCGGGGAACACCAGCATTACTGCTTCACGCAGACACTGCTTCACTCGTTCGAAAGCAACATCATGTTGCTGGGTCCAGCGAAATGGTTGGGTTGGTGACGTAAGCTGGGTCAGCGGTGCCAGCATCTCGGCACGTCGTGGCATCATGTCGCGGTAGAAGTTCACCATGCCAACGAAACGGCGCAGCTCTCGGCGCGTCTTCGGCGGAGCGATTGCCGAGATCGCCTCCACCTTCTTCGGCATCGCTGCAATACCCTCAGTAGTAAGCTGGTAGCTGAGGTACTCAATCTTTGCAGCGCACACCTTGCACTTCTTGGGGTGCAGCGTCGGTCCCGCGTTCTGCAGGCGAGTGAAAACCTCACGTAGGTGCAGAAGGTGTTCTTCGAAGGTGCTTGAAAACACCAGTATATCATCCAGATACACGCGGACGTAGTCTACGTCGCCCAGTAGGTCATCCATGGCCGCTTGGAACTCATCGGGAGCCGTCGATACTCCCATCGGCAGTCGGAGGAATACAAACTTGCCGAGCGGCGTCGTGATGGCCGTCGCTCTGCGGTTAAGCTCAGCCAGCAAGCAGGCATAGCAACTCATCGGCACATCAAAGACCGACTTGAACCTGAGCTTCGTAAGCGACCGCATCATCTCCTTGGGATCCTTGGTGGGGTAGTAGTTGCGCCGCAGCATCTTGTTCAGCTTGCGGAAGTCGCACACCAATCGCACGGAGCCGTCCTTCGTTGGGATATCGAAGGCCGGCGAGGCCCATTCCGAAGAAGGGTCCCGCTTCAGCACGCCAATGTCAATGAGTCGCTGAATTTCATTGCGGAACGCATCGTAGAACGCTCGTGGCACCGGGTACGGTCGGCAAGTCACGGGCTCTGCGTCTGGACGGAGTGGCAATACGTAGGGCCTACGCTTTATCGTCCCGAGCGCGCCTGAAAACACCGTCTCGAACTCGCGAATCAATTGCATGATCGACTTAAATTCGTCCAGTGTCAATTCATCGCGCTCGACCATATCCTCTAGTGGTGTTGGTGCGTGGTACTCCACCTGGATCTCTGCACGGCACTCAGTGTCTGTCTGCAGGACCGCGGCGTGAGCGGACGCACGTGCAGAGAGCTTCCCAGTCTGCATCGAGACGGTGATGCCGTCCCACTCGATAGTGCCAGTCTCAAAGTTGAGGATCATCTTCTGGTCTCGCATGAAGTCACGACCCAGAATGATCGGGTACAGCAGCGTCTTCGCCACACGGAAGTCCTGCATGCACACTCGCGTCTGCGAGAAGTCCAACAATCTTATCGCGGCAGTGGCGCGGTGTGTCGTCATCCCAGTCGAGCCATCTGCCTTCCGGTACAACGCTGACTCTGCCCACAGCGCGACATCAGAGCCCAACTTGTCCACGGTCTGCCGGTCCATGGCGGACGTGGTGCATCCAGTGTCCAGAAGTCCCCGTACTTGGGTATCTCCGATCTTCACCGTGACCTCCATGCACGGGTCAGTCGGTGGTTGCTCTCTGGCATGGACATCCGACTCAGTCATCACAGCGAGTGAGTCACTCGGCGCAGCGCTGTAGAATTTCATGGCTGCAAACTCTTCATCTTGGCGCTTCTTAATGGACAGCATCATGGCTGCCATCTCCGACAGCTTTTCTTCCATGGCTGCCATCGTGTTCTCGTTGCCACGGTGTCTGTAGCTCTGCCCTTGGCCGTTGTTGCCGTTGAAATTGTTGCCCTGGTTGCGACTGCCAGGACGAGGTCGGTAGGCAGGAGACTTCGGGTCTCTGAAGCAGTGGTCGTTCGAGTGGTTGTCCTTCTTGCAGAAACTGCACCATCGACTCTGACGCTGACGGCCATTTCCGTGATTCGACCCCTTCTTGCTGTTCCTGGTGGGTGCCGCTGCGTTTTCCTTTTACTTGGCTCGGCTGTTCCGCAGCAGCGCCTCGTCCCGCTCATTCCTCTCGATGAGCTCAAATTGAGCCTCCATCGCCGATAATTCCCATCGGCGAGAAATGCGGTTCACTTCGACCTGGCAGTCGACAGGCTGGATTTTTTTCAAAATTATTTATATTTTTTTCTGCATTCCGGTCTGGTACATTCGGACCACATCAGTCTCGGGCACTTGCGCGTCCTCGCCGTCGGGATCATGCGCAAAAGCGTCCTGAAGGTGGCGCTGTGCTGACGCACCGTCACTCCTTTCTTCTTACGAAGCTGTGCCAGCTCGTCCATCGGCGCTCCGCGTGTTTCCGGCGGGCAGTGGCGCATTGTGAGCTGGCGAATGCCAGCAACTGCCACATCGGGGCGATTCTGGGCTTCTTCACGAACGACGTCGTTGAACTGTCGAAGGTCCTCTTCAAACAGCAGCAACTGCATGTCGTCGGCCAGTGCAAACTGGTCTTCTTGCGATAGAGTGTACCGCATGAACGTCGAGTGCTCCTGCACGTGGAGCAACCAGTTCAGCCAGTCCTTCCAGTCTCCGTGACGGAACACCGGCATCTTCTTCTTCACTACCGTCCCGTCCCTCTTCGTCTTGGTGAACGCGATAGTGTCTTCCATCTTGAGCTGACTTCGTCGATTCTCCGTTGTTTTTTTAGTCGTAGCCACGCTACTTTATTGCTCGAGCAATATGTCACGTGATAGTTGTTGTAGTAGAGGGAAAATTGTCAACTGAGTGAATTTTGCCGTTGGTTAGACTTCTCGTGCTTCCTTGGTCTCCTAGTACGTCCTTGTGGTCTCCATGCTTCCTAACCACTTCAACTTCAACGTCAACCAACTGCAATCTACAGCTACACATGTACTTGGCTTGGATCAACATGTACTCGGCTTGGTTCAACCGAGGTTATACAAAATGCAAGTCCAGCTCCACATCCGTGCTGGTGCACAGCCGTCCGTAGAGCTTATATAAGGGGCGCGTACTCATCCATCATGTGCGGTAGCCGCACAAGGGAGTTCAATGGCACAATCCCACGGGCTCCATTTCTGTAATAAAAGATTTTAGAGTCCAACACAGGACTGGCACCATTTAGCTTATTCACCGTTCGGGTCTCTCTGTATCACTATGAGTTCCAAATATGGTGCGAAGTGAGTTTATTCAGATTTAAATAAAGCACATGAAGCGCAAGGCTTGCGCTAGATGTACTTGTATATGTATGTATCGCTCGCGAATTCGACCCGAAAGTGAAACATTAGGCACGTATAGAGGCATTTTTGTGAGTGCGTTGCTGCAACTGAATGGCTTGATTGTGCTGCTGTAGTTATCAACGGCACGTAGGCACGTAAAGTTATATGGTTGTGTGTTGTCGTAGCATGCTTATTTGACAGTTTTAAATTTCCAGAACGCAATGCGCGGGCGACGTACCAACGTCGCGTGCGTGTCATTTTTGATGCTATCTCAACCCCCGCGATAGATGAAATAGGAACCGTCGGCCATGCTCTAAATAAATGCATCCTGCTGCAAAAGTGATATGGATAAGTACAAATGAAGTGATCAGCCATCAAAATGATACTGACCACAGGTAGCGCAACTGGGGGAGGTAAATTGAAGGGAAGGGAAAGCAAAAGCGCCGGGAGCTGGCGGTCCTTATCACGATTTTCACAAGTTCGCTACTTTTTCCGTTACGTTTTACAAAGAAAATACGACGTACTACACTTTTGCCCGGCCATAGTTGGCCTAATTCGCAAGCAAAGTTGTCATGAATATTGGAGGTACCAGAAAGTAACATTACATTCCCTAAAGTATGACTTTCATTTCATTTAAAGTTGTCTAATTCCCACCAACGACTGTTGACGTAACACACCTATTCCCTCGCAAACTCAAGACCTTTGGCGTACTCTGATAGAGTGCGAAGTGACGCCAGCACAGAGGCAAGATGGCGAACACGAAGGCGTCCGATCCGCGTCTGCCTGCCCTTCATCAAGCGGCAGCTGTACGCGCGCGATCTCCCAAGGAGGGGAACATGGGTGGTGCGTTGACACGCCCCTCACTTAGCAGGGGGTGAGACGTGCTTTGCGGCTACATGTGGTACATGTACCTCTCGATGGGAATTAGACAACTTTGAATGAAACGAAAGTCATACTTTAGGGAAAGTAATGTTACTTTCTGGTACCTCCAATATTCATGTCAACTTTGCTTGCGAATTAGGCCAACTATGACCGGGCAAAGGTGTAGTACTAGCTGAGCATCTGTACAGCTGCCAATAGGGGCGGCGCGCCACATAAATGTTTCTTGTTTGATTTGATGAAAGAACACGGGCGCGCGTATCGTCGACTAGTGCTGCGAACGTTCAGTTCTGCTACCCCTTTGTGCCTCGGACGTCCGCGGGAGTAAAGTCCGACTTAAGACCCCTTGAACCCCCCGTGAACTCCCGTGAACTCCCGACCAGTTTAATACTTGTAATGACTATAGTGCAAATTTGTGTATATCAGTACACAATGTGTACTTGATGTGTACTATACATCAAGAACGATATGGTGAAGTTCGCCACTACCAAAAGTCGGCATTGATGGAGTGTTGGAGGCAATTGCGGCTCCAAGATTTGAGGGCTACCCGCTGGCCTAGACGGACGTGGACCGGATAACGCAGACCCACCCCTCGGCGACCTTGAAGGTGGTGCTGAGCTTCTCGGGATTGACGGCGTCCACCGGTAGCGTTGTCGCGCTCCACCGATAAAGAGCAGCGCTCGGTGCGGAAGAGATCTACAACCTCAGTGACCCAGATGACCAGGAGAAGGCTGCTAACTTTGTCAAATGTGTTGCTGCTCATGGCCGACGCCAAGGACATGCCGTACAACATCTACTTGCCGTTGGCGGCACGTAGATCATGGTGGTACCCCCATCGGTGAGGCCAAGCGCAGAGAGGGCTACGTTTCGGGCGCGCTTGAGCAGCATCCGATGTTCCGGGTAGCCAAGGGCATCAAGTGGGTGGGCAGCCTTCTTCAGCAGCATCAGCATCTTGAAGTCGTCAATGAGGAACGGCACGGGGGCCCCTTCTGCAGGACGTACAGCTTTGCCTTAACAGCGCGTTGTACGTGATGTCGATGGAGCCCACGCCCCGTGTAGTCGGTGCTCGTGTTGAACGCGAGTTTGTCCTTGAGCGTGGCCCACGCCATGAGTGGCGGCGAGCTTCGTCGACACCTGCGAGGTTGTTCGAGTCGTAGTACTTCCTCACAAACCTGCGCAGCTGGGAACCGCTGACGACGCCCAGTCCGTTGAAGTTGTCGCCCTCGTCGTCCCTGCTCAGATCATAGTCGCTTCATTGTCGACGTCCGGGATTTCGTGGTGCGGGAGTGGCTGAGCGCCAACTGAATGCAAGCGAACGTCGTCTTCCTGGTGATGTAGACCAAGAGCGGCTGCACAATGTCTCCAGCGGTCGTAGTGGGCTAGAAGTCGACGAGATGGAAGACTGGCTTGCCGCGCATAACCAACAGCGTATCGTAGACGGGCTTCTCCTCAGAGTCGTCGAGAATCGTCGCGAGTGCCGTCTTTAGGTCTGGGCAGCTCCAAGTGTTGTCGCTCGACGATGGAAGAGCCCGTGAACATTGAGTACGTCGCGCAGTAACAACAGTAGCTCCTAGCGCTGAATGCGCCGATGCACTTGCCAAGCTGCGCACCGTTTTCTACGTAGGTGCCGTCTTCGTCAAGCCTGCCGGGGGGCACATGAGCAAGCCTGCATATGACGGCAACATGCGCAGCGTATATGACAAGCCAAAATATACAAAGGAGAACAACCAACTTTGTTTTCGAAACATCATGTATTACATGTAACAATCTGAAGTGCATTCAGCAGCGCAGATTCAACCTGCCCACTCAAGCAGCCCCACTCCTTCTGTGCGGTGTCAAAGCGTTAATACCCTTCCAATTCTCCGCGAGGAAAACGAGATCCCGCACCCTGTCAGGTTTCAGCGAGCTTCGTTTGACAGTCAAAATATTCCCGCTCGTTGAAAAAGCTCGTTTGGATGGAACACTTGTCGCCACCGAACCCAGCCACTTCCTCGCCAGTCTACGCAAGTTGGGGTAGTTGGTGCCGTTCACTTGCCACCATGTGAAAGGAATGACTGTGCTTTTCACTCTTGCAATAGCTTCCAAATAGCGTGAGAACTCCTTCGTGCACTCCGTGGTTAAGTCCGAGGCCCCAGAAGGAACGATGTCCGGGCCGAACATGTGGTGATACATGAAGTTTCGATGCTCCTAAGCAGACACTTGAATAGGAGTTTGGCGTCGACACTCACTACCTTCAGCTGGCAAGCACACTCGAGCTAGCTCCACCATTGCCTCTACTAGCGCATTGCTAGCGCTTGGGGTGTCAGCAGGGCTCAAGTGCGACATCCATTTCCCGACGCGCGGATCCAAGAAGGCGACCCACCTAAGCTCGCTGTTCTCCACATCTTTAAATCGTGTCTCGTACAGCTCCAGCATTACTTTGCGGCATTCGTTCATCTTCGCCACCGTCTCAGGAACGTATGACTCTTCTCCAGCTTCTGCTGCAAAGGCACTGAAGAGATCCGTTCGCTCCAAGTGCTTACGAATTCCTGATAGTGCTGGAAGAACAAGCGGCATTGTAGGGTATGCCTGACCCCCCAGCGTTTCGGAAGCGACAGCAAATGGGCCTAGAAGCGTTTGAAGACACTTGATCGTAAGCCACTCCTCGGCTTTGGGGCGCCGCAACTTCTTTCCAACGCCCTTAAACTCCTTGCGGCCTCCAGGCTGCTTCAGATGCGCAAAAAACTTCACTAAAGCGGCCTCCAGTTCAATCGTTCGCTGCAACATTTTCCAGCAGCTATTCCATCGAGTGGCGCAGTCAACGATGGGCGTTTTGACTTCGTGTTCTATGACATTGAGATGCTGGACTTGAAGCGCACCCAGTCGGTGGTTACCCTTTGCCGATTTCCTGAAGTAGACAGCCAGTGTGCGAAAGCGCTGCACAACGGCGCGCACAGATTCTATTTCCGCGCGCCGCAACGACGCAATAGTGTCATCAAGATACTTCTCCATCTCCTCAATCGCCAGGTCCCGGATATCCTCAATTTGATTTCTATCCTCCTCAGTCAGTGCAGCTTCTTCTTCATGCTCAGGAACAACAACTCCACTGTTCTCAGCCGCATCTCCACGGCCCAAGCTGGTTCGTCAGCATCACCACTCTTTTTCTTCTTTTTGATCATCGCCCCACCGACAACCAGGTGAAGACAGTGAGCAACACAGGCCATGTGCTTGACCCCTAAAATATTGCCAGCGGCAACCATGTTCGAGCCGCCGTCTCTCAAAAGCACGACGCACTTCTGCTTCTGCAGCATCCAGGCCTCCATGATCTGCTCTAGAGCAAGCGCGATGACGGATCCTTCGTGGATGCCCGGCAGCTCGCGCACCTCCAGAGTCCAGTTTTGCGGCCGGAAATCATCATCCACATAATGAATCGTCAACGAGATGTAGCTTTCGGTGTTGCGAGTGGTCCAGATATCGCAGGTCATCGAGAAGAACCAGCAACCGGTTTCGATCGCGTCACGTACACGTCTACGATATGCTACCGCTAGGCATACGATCTCATGGCGCACCTTACTGCGATCCGGCAGGTCCACTTTGATGGCACAGACGTTCTCGGTAATGTAGCGAATGAACGCGATAAATCCTTCATCCTGGACAATAACCAAAGGCCGGAAATGCCGAGCGACCCACTCGGCAATCAGCTCATTCAGGCGGCTCTGTTGCTCCACCGTTATGGTACAAAGCTCCTTTTTTTTTTCTTTCGTTGGCAACTCTTTCAAACGCGCTCGCCAAGTTGCGGATTACAGGTTCCCCACCACAACTAGCCACTTGAGCAGCTTGGGCCACATATGTCTTCAACTCCACGGGGTGCTCCTGCTCGACATGCTTGGACATCTTGCACTTGCCAAGACGAAACGTCAGCGTTGCGGTGCACAACAAGCAATATGCCTCTTCAGCGTGCTCATTGTTCAGATCCTTGCGCTCGATGTGGTAGTTCTTGCCACTGCGCACGAGCCTCGCGAAATGCCAGATGTCTTTCCGCTTCTGGCGCTTCATAGTGTACAGCACCATCCCCGTGGCACCTTCAGCACGCACATGTAGCGCATTTACGTCGACCCAAGCTCTTTCGTTCGCGAGCATAGCTGCATATCGTGAGGGGTTGGCTCCATGGCGGGGCGGCTGTTGTCCAAACTGTTGCTGATCCTGCTGGCCGTGCTGGTGTCCACTCTGCTGCTGCCGGTGCTGTCGTTCGATCTCCTGTGGCTGTTGGTGATGCTGCTGTTGTCCAACCGACTGGCGCTCGTCCAGCTCACCATGTCGTTGCTGCCGGTGGTGTCCGGGCTATTGCAGATAGCCAAGCTGGAGCTGCTGCTCGTACAAAGCAAGCTGCTGCTGCTGCTGTCGGAGGCAAACCCCGTCGTCATGGGTACGCTGAGACTGGGCGCCTTCATTTGGGAAGCGCTATCTGAAAGTGAGTCTCATCGCGGTACTACCGCGGCAATATCGACCGCGGCGGAGGAGTTAAGAGGAGGTCCAGGGGGGTTGGAGGGATTCAGAAGGGGTAAGCTTGAACTCCCGGGCGTAGAGCGAAGAGGGGGTTCGCGAACGTTCAGAGGCTGAACGTTCACAGCACTATCGTCGACACCCTTCTCCCAGCCCAGCGTGAGCGGTCGCAGCTACGCAGTCAGAGGCCGATTAGCTCGCATAATGGTCCGCCACGAAGAGGCGGATTTCTACGACGGCGCGCCGTCCAGCTTGCGGAGCCCCATACTGAGCGCCGTCAAGTCGGCGAGGTGGTCGGTCGGCCATCGTGGATACTGAGACCAAGTCAACGTTGCAAGTGTCCCCACGACCCGGAGTCGATCTGAATCCAAGCGTAGTAGAAGACTGTTTCCGGCAGCGCGTTAGGCGCGCCGCACATGCGGCACACCAGTCGCTCCTTACTGTACTTATTAACTAGCGAAGCATCCCGGTCGCTGCGCTCATGTTGCTTTAGGGGTCGACCCCCAAAACTATGCTGACTGTGGGGACGTCGTTTTGGACGACGACCCCACTTGAGGAATTTGAGTACAAAGCCGCTTGCAAATTCTAGCGCTTTATTTCCCCTTTCACGCTCCCCGATTTGCTGGCTATTTTGCAAACAACATAAGTACCATTCATACGTTGTTATTAACGGTAGATTGATACACCTCACCTGTCGTTCGAATGCCAGTACACTTGTATTTTACTTACTTAGGTAAGTGTAATAGCAGAATGTGCACACTGGCACAACGAAAAGTGAATAAGGGGTTAACTTTCGATGTTTCAATTTCGTGGTGTGTTCATTTTCAGAGTGAAAATACGAGCGAATTATTCCAGTAACCTTTCGCGATCCATCTTGAAATTCTTCCTCCAGATGTCATCTGCACCCAGCCGCAATGGTCAATGTTGCTGCCGCGACTATGGCATGCACGGCTGTTCAAAACTGTTAGTCTGCACGCGTAGGTAGATAACCTCATGCACGTTGAGCGCAATAAGGAAACATATAAAATGAACGATAACTAGCTCAAAATAATGTAGTTGAGCCTGATATCGTACCATCACACATGCATGTAGGGTATCAAAGCAGAGCTGCGACGCCCGAGATCGACCCAACAGAACTGTAATTGAGTGGGCTAATGCATTTGCTTAGTCGAACATCTTTTCATGAGCAACGCAATGAATGAATTAACGCAGACTGGAAAGGAGCAAATAATCGGCGCCTATAGCGTCCAGGAAGGACTTGGAGCTATCTGATCTCTTCAAAGCGAAGTAGCAGGCGAGCTCGAACGGGCCAAACGAGAGCCATTGTTGCTACCAAGAAGCACCGACACGGACTCCGGCTCGTACACCCCAGCTCATCGTCCAGCTCGTCATCCGCGCATAGCCCTCAATGTAATTTAGAGAAGTTGCTGCTCGACAGTACCCGGTCATCAGCATGCAAAGCTGCTTGCTACTTGGCGTAGCGTTGGCGCTTCCTTGAGGCTCTGCTTGTTGATGCTTGGACTCTCTGTTGTGCGCTGGTCAAGCGATCCCGAAGGGCCGCAGACTTCTTACCAACGGCCGCAGAGCGACCCTTCTTACGACAGCATAAGGTTTGAAAGGCAAATAGGCTTAATAAAGGGTCCTAAGCGGGTCCAAATAAGGGTGAAATGTCACGTTTAAGTCTATTTCTGATGTCCTATATACTAACGGTCGAATTTGCTGTTTCATAACTTCGACCCTCTGGTTTTATGGCATCTATAGATAGTGACGTCGGTTCAGCTCAGATAAATCCGTTCCGATACCACCTTCCGATAAGAATCCAAATGTTGTTTAACCGAGGTATTTTTTTTCATTTTTTGGTCCAATGTGAGCGATTCTAAATTGTGACCCTAACCCATTAGCAGAATTAATGTAAAAAGTAAAGCGGAGTGTATATAAGAGACGTAAAAACTCCATAAAACGGAGTCTCATGATTTATTGGGGGGGGACTTCGTCCCCAATAACTGTTCATACCCCACATCTTTAAACAGAGACTAGCGCAGGTGTAATTTGGCTACGCGAACACGTAAATCATTGCATTGCATTGCCCCACATCTTGCTGAATGAGCGCTCGCAGCTCCGCACCTTGATTTGGGCATACCGGTAATTTCAAGGTGACCAGTATTTAACCGGTAGTGATGTCGAATTTTGTAGGACAACCTATAGCAACTTGTGGATTGTATAAATTGAACCTCTTGGTATAGAGGGACAAATGTCTCTTAAACCAAAGGAAAATTTGAGTTCGTTTTAAAGCGTACAGATGTCTCCCCTACCCCTGAGGGATCAACTCAATGTAAGTGGGCCTTCGTCCCCAATTACAGTACGACAATGGTCCTCATACTCAGCTTCTTGCACGAAAGTTGTGTTGTACTACTGCACCTGGTAATACAGGCGTACCACAAACCCCGCATCTAGTAATGCAGTTTCATCGACACATACGTACATTTTCATGTTTACGACTTCGTCTGCACATGGCTCTACGCTACGCAAAACAAAAAGAGGAATCGAGTCTCCAAAACATCTACATGCTCTTCTGAGGCGACACAGTGCCGGCATCGGTCTTGCCCTGGAAGGTGTTGAAATCGAAGCTGGTCTGCGAGCCCGTTCCCGTGTTTGCCTGGGTTCCAGTTCCGGTGTTTGTGTTACCCCAGCCGCCCTGCCAGTAGTTGTTCGTGCCTGTCTGGGTTCCGGTTCCGGTACCCCAGCCACCCTGCCAGTAGTTGTTCGTGCCTGTCTGGGTTCCGGTTCCGGTACCCCAGCCACCCTGCCAGTAGTTGTTGTTCCCTCCCGTGTTCGTCTGTTGCTGAGTTCCCGTGTTCGTCTGTGACTGAGTGCCCGTGTTCGTCTGTGACTGAGTGCCCGTGTTCGTCTGGGACTGGGTGCCCGTGTTCGTGGATCCCTGCTGCGTTTGAGCGCCAGTGTCTTGGCCTTCATCCTCACTTCCGCCTGCCACATCGTACTCGTCGCAGTCCGACTCGGATCCAGCGACATCGTACGAGCCGCAGTCAGACTCCTCGGCCGTCGTCGACGTTGACGGGGTGGTCCCGGTCGACGGAGATCCCCCCGTGGAAGGAGCCGTCGGGGTACCCGCAGAGGGGGTCGACGGGGTGCTCGCGGACTCGGAGGACGAATCCGTGGTTGAAGGCGGGGTGTTCGCAGACTTCGAGGAAGATTCCGTGGTTGAGGGGGCAGTTGTCGCCGATGGGGAGGAGTTTCCGGAGGAAGAAGTTTGTGGGGCCGAGGTGACCGTGGGGGTATCAGCCGTGGGGGTGCTAGCAGAAGACGAGTCTGTGGTCGTGCTGCCCGAGTCCTGAGTCGTAGCTCCGCCCCCACTGAGCGGGGCGCAGTTCACGTACACCTGCCACGTCGGGCCGTGCATTGCCATCCAGTAGAAGGTGAGCATCTTGGCCCCGGAACACTTGCTCGATTCGTACGGCATCTCGGCAGGAGCAGTCTTGAAGTTGGCCGCGCAGTTCTCGTCGTTGAAAACTCTCGTGTCATCGCACCAGGCCTCACAGGGGCCTTCGTGCGAAGACGTAAAGCCCTCCGAGTCCGAGTGCGACCACTCCAACTTAGCAGGAACGGGCTGGGCAGCTGCATCGGGTTCAGCAATACCGCAGGTGAGGGTAGCGCCAGTGACGGTGATCTTGGCCTTGTCGTCGATAAACTCCTTGAGAGACTTGTACTTGCTGGCCTCGAAAGCTTTGGTAAAGGAGGCCACGTTGTCCGCCGGTGCGGTGTTGAAGGTGCCCTTGAATCCCGACGAAGAAGCCTCGATCGTCGCGATAAACTGCGACTTGTCACCGGCCGCGCTGTCAAATGTTGCGGCCGGTTTCGTGAGCCATCCGTGGGCGTTGACGGCACTGACGCCCAGGGCCGAGATCAGCAGACACTTGAACATGGCTTTGTTTCCCAAGAGGAGCTAACCGAGATAGGCGAGGTAAATTGGCGAATGAATTGATTCGAACAGTCAAAACTCGGGGCCCACTCTCCACTGAAGAGTCTCCAGATTAAAGAGCATCGGGCTAGCACATTCCAGTTCACTCAAGTTGAACCGAGGACCTCTACCTTTCCTGCCGACTCGAGCAGAGCCGGTGGTTTGTCCTCGAAACCACACTGATCCTAGAGCCAAATGCCGGCACGTCAGGGTACTGTAATGTTATCTACCTCTGGCGACACATGCTCGTGAAACCTCGGCTCAGGGTCGGGCAGAACAGATTCCGGAGCGGTATCTGGATCTGCAGAAGTCCTTTACTGAGCAAGGCCGGGGCCGCCAGCGCAACGTGAATTCGACTACAAAAACTGAAAAAAAATGTATTCCGTCGAGGTTGCCTAAGTCTCGCTAAAAATAATCCGCAAAAGTATTCATAACAACCGCCGTTCAAAGGTTGACAGTATTGCATCTCAAATGTCCCCAGTATTTGCACTTCTCCGAGTCGTAAGCGGCGACTACGTGCGGATAACGGAAATTGAGAGCTTGCGCTTAAGTCAAGGGGTTGCTACCAGGCATCCTTCGAATCTGTTCGGTATCGGTGGAGTATACAAACTTCCTATGAAAGGCAGAGGACTGGGGGGATTTGCTCGTGAAATCTTGGCACATCTCTGCAAGCCGGAGGTAAGGGGGGGGGCATAGCAGGTGCCCAGATGATTAAAGTGCGTGCAAGTTGCAACGCAACCTTCGAGGCGCATTGCAAAGGATGAAAGGCTCGGCAAAGGCTTTTCATGCGACAGCCACGATCAGAATGAACCACGAGTGCAGACTCTAGTACATGTACAGGTTGGTACTCATCCAGGTTTATAGCTACTGTTACGAAAGAACCAGAACCCAACGCACCTGGAGAGCGGATTCTGGGTGAGAGTCTCACTGAGACCGTCAGAACCGACACGAGCACGCCGACACACGTAAGACCTTTCATGTCGTCGAAACCAGCAGCTGGCGAGGAAGCTGATCTGCAGAAGTTGGTCTGCAGAAGCGCGGAAGCGACCTTTACCCAAGCTCCCAGCATGTACAATATTGTAGAGTGGTTGCATTCTGGTGGTTGATGCGAGAAAGAAGGGTGTAGCCGCCAGGATGTGCTCGAATATTCCGCATCAAAGAGCCCAACTCGAACTTGCATCCATTTGCAGAGTGTGATCTGCTAACTACCCAGCGTACCTTGGGCAGTCCTGTTGGATGCTCCCCTGCTTGATATCCAGGTTGGTTGAAGCAGTCCAAAGCACCCCGCCACCCGTTTTTCAGTAATAAGTGCCTCAAGCTTTACCACCAGAACAGAACAGACAAATGACCACTCCCTCCAACCTTTACATGACGTAAGATCCCCATTACATGTGCACTTCAGCGTCATGCGTAGATGGTACGCACGCTAAAGATGGTTTGTTTCCATCACGAACAGCAAACCGGGTAAAGCAGGCGGATTTTTCTCTTCGTGTGTTTGTTTTACTTGTCTGCTACATCGTACAGTACCGAGGACATTTAGGGATGTTCAGAAGCCAAGTGTGAGTATAGTTTGATACATTCTTTTCATTTTGAAGCGCGAGAACTGCTTGAACTTATACTACAGTATAAAGTATGTTCTGTTGTACGTAGTACCGGTAAGATTAGTCGGAGTTTTAGTGATTAGTTTGGTTTTACCAACTCGAACACGATTGTTCTTCCATACTGGTCGGTTTAGATGGCGCATTGCCAGGTGGATGCAGCGTCTGCGAAAGTAAGCGTAGGAGAAGCACCATTGCTGCCTTTACTAACGCTTACCTTCAGTGGTAGGACGAATACTACAAAATCACATCCATATCAACAACAATCAGTTCTCGCAGTACTAAAAGCGGTTACGTATTAGACTGCATGGTTCTTGTATAGCGGTACAAAAACCTCCACGCTGCAAATGAGGGGCTTCGCTCCGAGAAAAAATGAACAACATTTTCTATGGAGCCAATCATCTAATGTCTGCGGACAGATTTGAAATGTTGTAGATCAAGAATGAAGACAACCTCGTTTAACTACTGTAGATTTTGAGATAATACAAGCCTTTTTTTCGAGCAGTTAAGCTGTGCGGGGCTGTCCATACAGCTCGTACAGCTCTTCTGTAGCTTTCCTCCTAGTAGTAATATTGTACAGGCCTATTAAAATAAGCCGGAAATATTAAAATAATGACGTTCTACCCAGCTTTACCTCGCACACAACTCATTGTGTTGTTACTCAATGTTACGTAAAAGTGGTAAAAACAGTATTCTTTCTAACGCTACACTCGCGTAAAAAGAAGCACGGAAGAGCGGCCAACACTTACTGCGGCGACACCGTGCCCACACTGGTCGGGTCCTCGAACGAGTTGAAGTTGATGTTCGACTGCGTGCCGCCCTGGGAGAACTGGGAGGTGTCCGTGTTTCCGCCCGTGTTGGTGCCCCAGTTGTTGGTCGACGTGCCAGTGCCTCCACCTTGGTTCCACATGTCGTCACCCGGATTCCACGTGTTGGATGAACCACCCGTGGTCGGGGTGACAGTGTTGCCTCCTTGATTCCACGTGTTGTCCCCGCCTTGGTTTTGGGTCCACGTGTTGCCGCCATCTTGGTTGTACGTGTTGGACGAACCTCCCTGCGTGGTGCCGCTGCCTCCGCCTTGGTTCCACGTGTTGCCGCCCTCTTGATTGTACGTGTTGCCACCGTATTGTTGGTAGAACGACCGGTGTTCTCTTCTTCGGCCATCTCGAGGGAGCCGCACTCCGAGTCATCAGTTCTGGTAGCTTTCGCCGCTCACTGCAGCGATGGCCAGCACCGCCACGACAGCGGACACAAGTAGATTCTTCTTGAAGGAAACCATCCTGGCGAGTTTCAGCGCGTAGTTGTTGTCTGCGGTTCTCGATCGAAGCAAATTTGTGAATGAAAATGGATGGACAGCCAATCCGCGCACCGAACGGCTGTACGGATGTGCGCCGCGCCCTCTTCGAACAGCGCAGTGCTAACTAGATGAAGAGCCGATCATGTGATCGGCAAAGCTCTCCTTTGCGTCATGTTCGACTATCCCATTTTCAATACAGGACCCACCGTTCCAGATACATTTGGGAGATGATCGGAATCGTGGTGCCGTTCTAGCATTTACTCCATTGTACAATTGCCCTGAAGTGGTTGTGTCCACGCGCACTTGGGATAGGTTGTTTGTGCCTCTACTGTAGTGTACAGCTTCGCGACAATTGGATCGCAGTGCCTTTTGCGTAGGACGGAGAGGGAGTTGAAGTTAAAACAGATGAAAACACGTCAATTCCTTTCCACCTGAGCTACTGTAGCTTCCATCTATCACGATCCGATGCGTCAGAGCTCACCCGCGTACTTAAGTATTGGTTTGTTTGAAGGGGGGAAGTAGGAATCGTCACGAAACGTGAGCCGATGACAGCACCTGAGATATGTCGTAATATCACTCACAGCAATTCCCCTTTTCAGCAGTCGCTTTCTGGATGAAACCAAGCTTAATACTTGCCGTTGACGTGAACTAGCCGAGCGCTGCCGCTCCGCGGCGGGGATTTTTAGTTAGTTGGCGCTTCACTCGCTATGCTCGCTCCGCTACTGGAGCAGGCTGCCTACGCTTCACTACGGCAGTGGCGGACCCGTTCCGCTCGCCTCGTCGGCTCGCTGCACTACTCTCACTGTCAGGTTAGTACTACAGAGGCTGGGGCGGGTCCTGCGGCCCCGCAATATCGTATGAGGGGGTCGCCTTCGCCACGGTGCCGCCTTCGCTGCGCTCGGCAGCTACTCGTACTTAGTAGGATCCGTACTTAGTGAATAAGCGTGACGATTTTGTGACGGACGGACAGCGCGTCTTTCTGATTGATTCTTAGGATTTTGAACGAAAGAGTTGATTTCCAACACTGGAATTTCACCATTGAAGGCAGCGATACTCCTCTGGTTGCCCCACTTTTTCGTATTCCTTTCCCTTTTTCGAGTGTTGTGCATGTGACGTAGTGGGGATGCCTGGTAGCAGTTTTTCTTGGCTTTGGCCAACATTGAATTCCTAGAGTGTGTGCGCCTGGAAGCCTTTATGTACCCTGAGGGCTGTTCAGTTTCATTTAAACTAAAAGGTGAAGGCCGACGTTGAGTATTACTACAGGGAGAACATGCAGATACAACTTGTTCGCAAGCAAATTATGCGTGCGTGGGGTGAATTTCGCGTTATGAAAAACGTTGCGGAGGAGGCAATAATTAAGATGCCCGGACCAGGGGGCCGTAAAGTCTACACTTTACTCACACGAGTTCAAACCACTCCACTACAAATAGTATAATATGGCAAGGATGGAGAAAACTGCAAGAGCAAAGGAAATCAACGTACCTATTTTAACAAACAACGAATCAACAGCTCAACCACGTTTTTATGTGTGCCACGTGTATTTCGGTACCACTAGAATCCTTTTGCTATCCTCGTTTGCTTTATCTTCTGCACTCACTCGAGCGTCAACGCTGGATCCCCATCATTACGGTCAGACAACAACAAAAGCTCTGAAATAAAACTGCATCTGACGCTTGCTGCTCCATCGTACAGTAACTTACCTCTAAACTTACCAACTTATTTTTTCCTTTGATCGGATGATTGTGGCTATGTTTTAGTATGCATCGCAAGGTTGTACATTGTTTGAACCCACTAGCGAACCACTAAAAGCAACCGAGAGAGCGCATCAACGCAAAAGGCGTGGGTATAACCACGACCTTTACTCTCGCTCTAGAGTGCTTGACGCCAAGATGAAGTGACCCTGTCGTACCGAAATTAAGTTGAAGAGCTCTTTTTGCGTGCTGTCCGTACATGCGTGTAAGCTTCTCCTCTGTTTTGTCGGCGGTAGTTCATATCAAGTGCTCACACGACAGGAACGCTGACTCCGCTATCGCACCCGATCGCTCAGGGCGAGTCCAGGCTTTTGAGAAGATTGAAAAGTCAGCATTTCACTACACAACTACGGCGACAAACAGCTTCAACAGCGCTGTAAGTACCCCTTCTGAATGATCACTGACTCACATATCATACACTGCTGCGCTCTAGTAAATTCTACACAGGACAGTACCACCAGCGTGCGACCCATTCGAGCATCAAACACACCATATTCCGCTCAAGCACTCCAAGCGAACGATGCAGAAGACAACAGAAAGATGAACGATACTGTACACTGACGCACATTCAACGTTTATCGCGCGCTCAGTGGCGCTTGGTCTTTCGTCACGTTTTACGCTACTCTCACGTAAAAAAGGAAGGGAAGCACTCTATTGCGGCGACACGGTGCCGGCGTTGGCGTCCGTGCCCTGGAACGTGCTGAAGTCGATGTTCGACTTGAAGCCGCTGTAGTCCTGCTTGTCGCCGTTATCCTCTGCCATCTCCAGCGAGCCACACTCCGAGTCCTCGGCCATCTCGAGGGAGCCGCACTCCGAGTCATCCTCGGCCATCTGCAGCGAGCCGCACTCGGAATCATCCTCCGCCATCGCCAGAGATCCACACTCCGAGTCAGCTTCGCCGCCGATCTCCGGGTTCGCCTCACCAGCTACCTCCGGGTCCGACTCGCCACCAATATCCCCCTGGGTCTGCTGCTGCACGCTCGTGTCAGCAGCATTCTCGGTGTTTCCGCCGTCGTCCTTGTTCTCCTCCTTATTTTCGTCCTTGCTCTCATCCTTCTTCGAGCTCTCCGAGTTCTCATCCTTGTTCTCATCCTTCTTGGAGCTCTCCGAGTTCTGGTCGTCAATTTGCTTCGAGCCTTCGGTGTTTCCAGTGTTCGATCCACCGCTCCAGTTGTTGGTGGAGCCGCCCGAGTTCCAAGTGTTGGCGGAGCTACCGGCGCTCCAGTAGTTGTTGGAGGGGCCTCCAGTGTTGGTGCTCGGGGCCTGCGTCCAAGTGTTGGTGTCGCCGCCCGAGTTCCAAGTGTTGGCGGAGCTACCGGCGCTCCAGTAGTTGTTGGAGGAGCCTCCAGTGTTGGTGCTCGGGGCCTGCGTCCAAGTGTTGGTGTCGCCGCCCGAGCTGGGAGGTGTGTTAGCGTTCGAGCCGTCGTCGCTCTCGGCCATCTCGAGGGATCCGCACTCTGAGTCGTCCTCGGCCATTTCAAGCGATCCGCACTCCGAGTCGTCCTCAGCCATTTCAAGGGATCCGCACTCCGAGTCGTCGGCCATTTCCTCCTCCGCGACCTCCTGGGCCTGCAGTCGCAGCATTCGCTTGGCCTGGTACGCCGAGTTGGTCGACACGGCGGCGGTGCTGTATCCTTCCGCGCTCGCTACGGCCGTGGCCAGGGCCACCGCCACGGCGGACACGAACAGACTTTTCTTGAAGGGGGCCATCATAATTCTCGCTCAATCTCTCGCAAGGCAACACAAAGACAGTAACTTGGGATGAACTGGAGTAAGTTGGCGAATGAACCACGCCGAGTCTTTAGCGATTCGTGCCCCATAACTTGCGGGATTAATGCGATGCGGGCAAATCCCTCGTTCAATTATCTCGGCGCTCGCTTCGCGGCCAGCCTTTCCCGACCCTGCATAGTGAACGTCACACAAATAGCCGCGACCATGCGATACCGGGGCAGGAGCGGAATTCCTGATGGGAGCAGGATGAACCTGAGGCTGGGAGTCCCGACCGACGCGCCTCTTGTCGAACAGCAAAGGCACTTGCAAAAATACACCCGTTCGTACGGACCACCTGGTGCAGGAAAGTCCTTTACACATTTGCTACATGTAATGTAATGGACGGATAGGGCTACAGTCCAGGTACTGTAGGAGATTGACGGCGTAAAGAGCAACACAACCAACAACCAACTTCATCACGGTGAGCCATTCCCGACTCGAGTCCAGAGGCAACACCGACGGAATGCATTCCTGTGAATATATTCTTCAAAATTGAAAAATAATATACTATTTCCAATCTCTTAGCTGCAAGGTGCGTTGAGGCAGATCACTAATGAAGTGATGTCTCTTACAGTCTGTAGCCTACATGTGGTCAACAGGAATTTCGCGTTGCCCTCGGTGTAGAGGTGCCGAAGAAGGAGGCCGGCTCACGGACTTTCCGTTGACCCCAAAAGACTGCTTGCATACAAAACTGAAGTAAAACGACATCAAAGCGTCAACCGACAAGCATGGACGGGCATTTGTGGACATTTGTACAGCCCACGATCGACCACTGCTGGATCACGAACAGCGACATCCGTTGAAGATTGGATAAACCTTGGCAGATGACAGTGCTGGAGCGAGCTTTCGGACCCATTAGCAGACACTCTAGAGAAAACAATTGACCCACCGTTCGCGTGCCTACATAATGCGCTGTGCGGTCGTTGCTGCCATTGCATGCTTAGGTGTTAATAAATACTAAAAACTTGCCACGCAGAGAAGAATGCGGTCGTGTACATCGAGGCTGAGGATCAAAACGAAAAGAACGTGTGGTTGTAGAAGGATTGAAAGCCAGGCACCGATACAAACCGTTGTGTGCTTGCCAAGTAATACTGCTTGGCGGAACATCCAACGAAGTCAAATCGCGTTGGTATCCCAGCCGGACATTGGACTTGGTCTGCTGAACGACAGCCAAGCGCCCAAAGTGCAGGAGCTCGTCAACTTTCCAAAGGTGCTGCTACACACGGCTGTCAACTCAACACGTTTTCCATAACATTGCTGGCGACAAGCCCACTCGTCGAGGTACTTCAAGCACAAAGGCAGATTGTATATCGTTTGGCCCAAGGACCCAGTGCGCACACAAGTATTTGCTTATTGTTGCGTCGCGCACCGTTCTCTATGTGGTACATGCCTGTGACTGAACTCAGAAGACTGACAGATAACTCTTCTGGCGATGTGACGAGAGCAAGAGAGGGCTGCGAGCAGCGCTTTGTGTGGAAAAGGTAGTATCCATGCAGGCGTGCTCTGTAAAGTCACTGTCAGCTGCGTAAGCCCTTTTCGTCCAGCCACAGACTCCGCGAATATTACAGTAGCCGCAAACCAATCCTAGTAACAGGAGCATATCATCGCAGGATCACGAGTCGTAAGCGTTTTCTAGGCTCCTCCGGCAATGTTGGGCAAAAATTAACCGCGGAATGGTTAGACTACGTGTAACCGTTCCGGACCTCTGGACTGGTCCAGAGCATCGAGAAGTGCCCACATGGAGCTCAGCGACCAACCGAGACACCGTCAAGTAGCTGCTGATAAATAGGAAATACCCATCATTTTAAGAGTTTTGGCGGCCAAAGTCAAATAAAGTTTTTACCAACGTCCTGGCTCCTTCGTGCTTCGATGTACAATCCAACCTTTAATACTGTCTAGATGACGAAATACCACCGATTCTGCTTACCATGTACACAATACAGTTTTTTGTTTCGTTTTTGAATTGAGGATCAGTATTGTCACTGACGTACACAGTGCCTCGTGTTGCGTCGTCCACGAAGCAAATCTTCGCCATTTTTTTCTTAGCAATTGTGAGGTAAGACGCACTGCATGTGAATCGTACTTCCCAGCGAAGGCAGTCTCATGGTGACGCTAGTGTAAGAGTTACAGTATGTTACGGTTAACGCCTCGGGGTACTCTCTTCACTGTGGAGAAGTTGCAAGCTACCTTGGAGACACCTGCGTCGTCGCCAGGTTGTTCTACTTACTAACTTGTTAATATTAAGTGCAGCCAGTACCTAGCGTCTATGACGCTAAACTTATAATGCTACCTATGCTTAGTTTATCAAAATACTGCTGCTTGAATACAAAAGTCGAAGAGACTTCTTGATATTCCGGCTAAATTACAGGCAGACGAGAAGGCCCAGCGAGAGTGGAGGGTGGAGGGGGGTCTCACTGGACTGCCCACCCCGCGGCACATGCGCCAAGTTGTTGAGTGAGTGACTCGTCAAGCTACAGCACCGTTTCCATACAATATAGTATACTTGTTTACTACAAAGGTTACGTCGCCAAAACGACAGCCAGAGGCCAACGCATGAAAGATAATATTTTAAGGGACAAATAGTCAACAACCACGTGATAACGTTAAGTACATATATATAATAGAACATCAGATCACTCTACTAAAATGTACTGAATGTGCTAGAGTTGGCTGTTGAAGTCATAACTCTGGTATGTTTTTAAACCTGTGCTCAACAAAGGCAAGTGTGAACGGCGACTCCGACATTTCTGAATTCATTTGAGATGGTATATAAGTTTTAGCATCCTCCACTTGGTACTTATAAGCCAAGTTTAAGCAATATCATTACGGCCGCATGATACAATCGTTTAGGGTGCGGCATGCAAAACCAAGCGTCATCGACGGTACTGAAGTATCCACTACTCACCATATCTAAGGAACGTCACAGTGCCTCAATATGAAACCGAATCACTGGAGAGCAGTTCATGTATTAAAGGAAAGATGCTACCGCACACATTTGTAAAAGTCAAACTCGGCTGTACACATTAAAAACGTCGCCCCTGCATAGTACCTGTGACTCTTCCCTTCTAGTGCTACAGTAACTATTTTACTAAATCAGCAGCTAGGGGTTGCAAACTGCCGCCGCCCAGTTGCAACTTGCAAGGCATTTGTGTCTCGTCATCGGCCATTACGTTCCGGCTGATTCGTCAAAGGATTTGCCATGTACATGTACATACTAGACACTCTTACATGTACTTGGACCAAAGACTGCAAAAGAAGTGCCACCTTACCCAAACAATGCAGCACGCCACGAGCTCACGTCGCCATTGAATAGACCGAAACAACAGCTGATGGCTGGCACACCAGTGCCACCTGCGTTCGCACCGACACGGCACGATGCACACGAGCCCTGATCTACAGTTGCTGGTCGGTGCAGTAGATCAGATGAACACTGCTCCAAGTACAGCCGGATTGCAGTAAATCCCCGATCTCAGTCACTATGTACTGTACTGCCCCATGAAGCGTGAAATCTGGGCGTGCTAAAATATCTCGACATTTTGAGTGAAGCCCGCACACACATTGTCGCAGTGAATCCTAACATGTTATCTGGTCTCGCTGTCCGCTGCACGAAAAGAAAGGCAAAAATGTAAGAGAAGCGGGGTTCCATTGGACGTTTTCTCTAGGTGCGCGCCAGCTGTGATCGGCGGAACCAGCTGGCCAATCGAGATCGCGGATTCCAGGATGCACCGCAACTGCCCCAACGTCACCAGCTATGAGCGAGCGATCAAGAAGCTTCGCGTGCTCGTTTCCAGCGCCCGCGGCCCCTCCTTCCCCAGCAGGGCGGGGTCGCTGACACGCTGCCCCTCTGGACTCGGTGGCTGGTCAAGTGTCCGTCCCTCCCGGTCATCTTGTTCATTCCTGAATTCGCCGCCTTTGCAGCACGAGCTCGCCACCTCCACGCGCTAGCACCCCTCTGACAGCGAACCATGGTCGCCACACTCCTCAAGACTGCTGCCGTTGCTGCCGCCGTGCTGGCGGCCACCACCGAGGCGCACAACAAGATGACGCTGCCGCTGCCGACGTGGCCCGACGGGTTCTACAACCAGAACAGCCCGTCCGGCACCATCGACCCCACCAACGTGCTGCCTGTCCCGAGCGGAATGTCGTACAACACGGACCCAGCTTCCAACACGAAGGCGTACTGGACGGCGTTCAACGCCAGCAAGTACACGTCGCTCAAGGAGCTGGCGTGGGACACGCAGACATTGGCGGACTCGGCTTCGAACGAGTGCGGCTTCTCCCTCATCGACGGTCGTCGGCGCCGTAAAGTAGCACTAAGTTCTTTGAGTTGCGCGTGAGTTGCGCTTTCTATGACGGCAATGTTTTTGGGACACCTTGAGGCGAGCCAGACCCAGCGTGTCCAAAGGGCTTGCATCTTCTTTTTCGATTTAAGTTGCTGCATGTTGCGAGAAGATCGCTCAACAGTTGCGGGAAGATCGCCATATCCTGAACAGTCGCATATCAAAGAAAAGATTCAACGGCTCACATGGTCGCTGCTGGGAAGAGGAAGGCGGGGACCGCTCCGGAGACGGGGGTGGAGGAGAAGAGGCCCGCACGAGGTCCACAGCAGCATCCGCGCGGACGCCAAGGTGCTGCGGCACGAGAAGGGGCTGCAGCGCGGCAAGCCCGACATCAAGGCCATCACCGCCAAGAACGGCTCCAAGCCGCGCACAGTCTCCTTGGTGATGCAGCGCGAGAAGCGGGGAGAGCCCTCCCCGGAGCGCTATGGTCGCCCCGTGTTCCCGCAGAACACGCCCGCCGCCATCGCCCAGGCGCTCAGCCAGCTGACGTCCGAGCGAGGCTGAGCATCAGAAAGATTGCTAAGATTATTAACGTCAAGAAGTCCACGCTCCATAGGAAGTGGGCCGAGGCCGAGGCGTTCCTCGTGAAGGAGACCGTCACAAAGTTCAGGAAGGCCGACAAGGTCCAGCGCGCGGCCTTGCTGGCCAAGGTGAAAGACAAGGAGGTGGTCTCGGCCTGCTTCGCCTTCTACGCTATCACGGACTTGGAATTTGTATTAGTGATCATCGAGCTACACAAGTTGGGGATTCCTGTACGAGTGCTGATTGACAAGTTCTGGGTGCGCTGCTGCCCGTACGCCATCGCGTGCGTGAAGCTCATGATTAACGCCGCAGTGCCCGTGCACCACCGTCGCCACTGCATGCACTACAAGCTGATCACCCTGCTGTTTCCGAACGCTCTCTTCGCCTCCGCCGGTAGTCCGAATCTCACTGGGCGTGGGTTCTCTACAAACGACGAGATTCTGGTACAAACCGACGGCCCAGGATGTAAGTGGTCTTTTTGCTAAGTGATATTTAGAACGGTACTAATTGTTTTTTGTTGCATCAGCTTTTGAGGCGCAGGCCCTTTTTGATTGGCTGTGGAATGACAGCGATGTGACCGACCCGGAGAAGGACCTGAAGCCCAAGGAGAAGGGCAACCCCTTCTCCAGCGAGCCCACGACGGGCGATGCCCCCGTCTCGACCACGAACACGCAGGAGACGCAGGAGACGCAGAGCGCCGAGACCGGCACGCAGGACACCAGCACTGAGATCACGCAGGGCGCGAACACCGAGGCCACACAGGAGACACAGGCGGGCGAGCCGGAGACGGAGACGAACGAAAATGCAGACCCGAACCCGGAGCTTGGCCTCGAGGACACGCAGGATACAGACCCCGCTCGGCTATCCTTTGTCCGTCTTCTAGAGGAGGCGCAGAGTGCTGATCCACGTCGGAAGAAGCGCAAAATTCAGAAGTGCGCGTTCTCCGGTTGCAATAAAAAACGCGTGCGTGGGGTTTTGTATTGGACACGGTGGGGGCAAACGATGCGAGCACCCTGGTTGTGAGAAGGGCGCTCAGAGAGGGGGGGGTTGTACCGGACATGGTGGCGGATATCGGTGCCACCACCGTGAATGCTCGAAGTTTGCTCTCAAAGGGGGGTTCTGCGTAAGTCATGGCGGTGGTAGACGATGTAATCACCCTGGCTGTACGTCAAGTGCCTTGTCAGGCAAGGAGGTTTGCTTTCGACATGGAGGGGGCGGAAAAACCTGCAATCACGCCGGCTGTACAAAGACCCCCAAAGTAAGGGCCTCTGCAAGAGTCATGGCGGTGGCAGACAATGTAAGCATCATGACTGTACGAATTACGATCGGGGCGGGGGATTCTGTGCCCGACATGGAGGCGGGAAAAGATGCAGCAAGCCTGACTGCAACAGAATAATTCAAGCGCGAGGGTTATGCGGTCATCATGGAGGTGGGCCACATTGTCAACACCCTGGCTGCACGAAGTTTCCCGAGAGCAAGGGTCTCTGCAGGAGCCACGGCGGCGGGACACCATGCAGCGAACCCGGCTGCACTATGTCTGCCCATGGCGGGGATTTTTGCAAACGACACGGGGGAGGGCCTCGATGCCAGCACCCTGGCTGTACAACTGGCGCTCAACTGGGAGGTCTCTGCAGGAAACATGGAGGCGGTAAGCGCTGCGAAAATCCTGGCTGTAACAGGTATCCTACTAGAGCAAGCGGAAGGTTTTGCTCGAATCAAGGGGGGTGATATCGAGGACTGGAATGCTGCCGTCGACTACCCCGACACGCCTGCCAATCTTCCCTACGACAACTCCAAGTGCGAGGGCGCAGCTGTCCTGACCAGCTACTGGATTGCTCTCCACACGACGCCCTGGCAAGTGTACACCAACTGCGCTCCCTTGACCGGAGCGTCGGCGTCCTCCAACTCGAGCACCGCGGAGAGCACGACGAAAACTCCGGCCGTTACCACGGCCACTCCTACTGCGGCTACCAAGACTACGGCTCCGACTGCAACGACGGCTACTCCCACCGAAGATACCACCACCCAGACGACCGCTTCGACGGAGGCTAGCGCGGAAGACGAGTCCGAAACGGGTGACGAGGCCAGCACGGATGAAGAAGCTGCCGAGACGGAGGCTCCTGCCACGACCACCGCTCCGTCGACGGACAAGTGCTCGGTTCGTCGTCGTCGCCACTAAGTATGCCTCTACCTCATCAACCGTCCGTGTGTCGCTGACATTTATTAGTCAGTAGGTTTGGTGCAGTGCCGTGTGTACGTCAATGTTTTTTGTCTTTTTTCTTAGAGCGAAACGGAATACAAATTTGAATTCCATTTTGCATTGAAATCGAGACTTGTGCCAAAGCCACGTGCGAGTTGGTGGTGCGGTTCGACTAACCCGGATCGATATGCCTTGAATCGTTTAGTAGCGAGGCTTCAGTGATTAACGGAAGTCGTGCATTTCCACCCGCAGATACGAAAGGCACGCGGCTACATGTAGTAGCTATAAGCTTCGGACACCAAAGAACCGCTGGAACGCACAGGCATGGTCACTGTGGCTCCAATGGGCAGGACTCCTGCCACCGCGATGCATTTTCACATTTACAACAAAGAGTTGACGAAGCTGGGAGTACCGTACCGTACCACAGCACATCTTGCAATCCATCCCCGCCAGCAAGCGGGAACCACCGCGATCCCTTTGCCGGGTACACGTTACTCCGGCTCGGTGCATTTAACTCCTCCCCGTTGCAAACTACAGGGTATTGCACCGGTGGTCGGGACCAGAGAGAGAGGAATAGAGGTGGTGCCTCGACGGTTTATGGGAGATTCGGGGGCGGACAGGCTCCCGAACTCCGATAAATTTAGGTGAGATCTCCGAACTCCGGCCGCAGCCCCGGAGGGCGCAGCCGTTTTCCCTTTATTTACCGAGAACTTGTAGCTGAGGAGTTCGCAGTAGGCATGGCCTAGTCAGCAGCGCGCAATGATAACAAGGCAGCAGTGGTCGAGGCGGTTGGACGGCGCTCATTCCCTCCCCGTCTAGTTTATCCTGAGGAAAAGGTGGATGACATGCAGTTGTCGCGGCTGTTTTCACGTCCGTTGTTCGTGTGGATCCCGGAGTATCGAGGAGGCAAAGGTCTGCCGTCGTGCATCAGCCGAGACTGCAACTGCAATCCGAAGGTGAAAGACTATTGCCGTCGTGTGGTGGAATCTGTGGAGTGCAAGTGCGACCTGGTATTTGTGAAGTGTAGGTGCGCTGTAACAGGATCATATTTTTCCCATTGTGAGCTCGGATTACTTTGCACAATGGTCCGATATGACTTTCACTTTCCATTTGTTCTGAGCCAAAAGCGAGTGTTCTCGAACTCACTCATGGAGATGGTTCATGACGGTATTACCGCGCAGGATGGGTTGCAACGTACCATGGCCAATATGGAGCGTAGGCGCAAACAGCGCTACTACAAGCTTTTGGGTCTGTTTTCCAGTGGTATCAAGCGAAACCACGAGCGTTGCTTCACCTATCTGGCCCCCACTCCAATATCAGAGGATCAGTATGCAGATCAAAACAAAGTTGTTGACAATCACACGCTTACGACGGCATGGCTCCACGCTACAGAGCTGTACGGGTCGCTGTGTGAAAAAGTGATGAAAGACTGTGTTGTAAGGAGGGTCATGAGAATGGATCACTCTGTCAAGTTCTGCAAGCGGCTAAAGCTGTGGAAGGCCAAGGGGCAACGTGAATCTCTCAAAGATGCGAAAATGCTTTTGCTGTTCCAGAATGAAATTGGGCAGATTATTGGGCGGCGGCCGACCAGGTCTGAAAACAAGGAAGAAACACGAGCCTTGCTTCAACATGTGAAGTCGCAGTTTCGTGTGCCTTGTGGGGATGACCTGGATCATGTAGTTGTGTCGGATAACGCGTCGGCTGTCAAGAAAATGGTCACAGAAGTGATTGGTAGCGAGGTGGTCACAAAACAGGACCCCTTTCACGTGATAACTCGCATCACTGAAAAAATAAAGGCACCGGTCACCAGCAAACGAATTTCAAAGGAACTCTCCCGTGCGATCTAAAATGTGGATCGTGAATTGCGCCCTACTGCTGAAATGGCTCTTCAATTTCAAACTGTAGTCAGCGGTGTTTTGCGCTCAAGTGTATCGTGCAGCCTGAAAGATTGGAAAGGGTCGTGTCAGAGTAATTTGGAGCAGATTCAGCGTGGCGAGTTGTACGTGGGCTCAAACACTAACGAGGAAGGCGGTCATCGAGTTCACGTGGTATCTACTAGCCAACTTGAGGGCTTTCACTCTTCCTCAAAAAACCTGCTTACCAGAAATGTATCCATTGATGTTGGCTTGCGGATCTTAGATTGGTTTATCGTCAAGCATAATTTGTCTATCGGTGCTAAGTTCGGGCGCAATCCCCCATGAATGGCGTTGATTTGATGTCGGTGGGCCATACTGCATTACTCTGTGGAACGATGGTCCCTACTTCGCCTCAGATGGAGTATGTGATGCAGCTTTTCTCTTCGCCGCTTGTACCCCCACGGAGACCGAGCGGGACTTTGACTTTGACTCCTGAGCACAGGTATTTCTAAGTGCAAGAGTGAACACAACATATCTCGAAGGGAATCTTAATCGCTCCCGGCAACACCGCTCAACAGTAGCGGAACTGCTGTTGAAAAGTGCCGTTACTCCAATCGGCCAAGCTGAAGCGTGACGAGTTTTTTAACTCTATTCGACTGGCAAGTACCGAGTGTGAAGGCGACCAGGGCTTCTCTACGGAGGAACACGAGCTGCTCAGGCAGCTGCGCAGCGAGCAGGCTGCTAGTAAGCGTGAATGGTGCACGTGTGAAATGATAACAACGATGACGTTCAATATTGTTGTTTGCAACAACACGAACCCTAAAATACGGCTACAACAGCGGAGCTATGCTACGATGGTCTCAAAAATTAAATCACTTGATGCTGATCCTGAAAGTACAAGCTCCGCCCGAAAACAAGCAAAATCATTCCATTTTGATCCTCAAGAAGCTGTTTCCCTGGTTTTGCGTTCACCGATAGACTGCGAGGCTGATTTGATGCGCGATGTCTTCAAGATTCTGCGAAAGTTCAAGGCCGGCACAGCTCGTAAACGATTATCCCACCGTATCTACGACTTTGCAAGTTGTGTCTGCGCTGGAATTGGTCAACGTGATGAATCGGTGCGGGAGAAGCGCTGGGAAGCGCTGAAGGCGGCCCAAAACCGTAAGAAGAGGAAACTAGCGATGGTCACGAACCCCACAGACGCTCCATTATCTTGTCCAGCCCGTGATGAAGAAGAAAAACGAGCCGAGCCATTAATTACTCTACTTACAGATCAAGAAACTGCAGCGAACGATGACATCGATGCTTCGACCACTACAACTAGCGGAAATGCAGACGACGCACCTCCAGCAAGACTACAACCGCTGGATATTCGTCGTGACACTGTTGGGATTGGTGAAGATGCAGGACAATCAAGTGTTCCAGCAAAACGGCCTCGACCATCTACTATCGCACCAGAGCACTTGGCTGAGTTGCGTAAACTGTCTGATTCGCTGGTGTATACTCGTGGAAAATATATATTGCTGCAGCAGGAGCTGAAGAAATATTACCCTGACGCGAACCTCACGGATAATCAACTACGCTGCCGTCTTAAACGACGTCGAACAGCAGACAAAATGGCCCCAAGCCAGCGAGTAGCGGCAACGAGATATCTGACAGCATTGCTCCACCTCTCGCTCCAGCTAGCAAGGCGACTTCGTGTTCGAGCTGCCGCCAGAAGCACTTAAAGTGCGGTGAAGGGTCTCAAAATCCTGCGTGTTTGCTAGCGAAGAAGAATACTACTCGTACGATAACAGAGTTCTTTAGCGTATACCAATAAAAATCTAACTTTCATAGCATGCGCCCCCCCCCCCTGGGACAGGCCCTTTACTCATCTGTTTTTCCACCAGCATCGAGACATACATACCATCGAGACAACATTGTGGTCAAATGTGGTCGAATGTGATCAAATGTGGTCAAAGTGGTCGCGAGACAAATCTCAAATCGTCACGTGATCCTACTATTTATGTACGGTACACAAGGTGTGCTCGCTACAAATCCATCTGCACCGAAGATCACCTGTCATGTGCGTGAAGGAAGGAGCTGCTCGACTTGTGAACGTCTTGCACGCGCGCCTGTCACTCCGTTCACATCGAGGACCGCTCCTGAGTCCCAGCCGTAGGCTGTCGTCATGCCCCTCCGCTTCGGGCGCCTGATCCGCTTGTCCCCATGCACTCCGCGGCGGAGTCCGCCGGCCAGGGGTCAATCTTCTCACTTTGCAGATCTCCAGTCTTCCGTTAGACGAAGACTCAAGCCAAGATGGTGATCGCCTCCGTCCGAGTTGCTGGGCTGGTGGTGGCACTCTTGGCCGCCTCGGCCAGCGCACACAGCAAGATGTCGCTGCCTAAGCCCACGTGGGTCTTCGAGGAAGGCACCAACAGTCCGGCAGGAACAGTCGACAGCTCCAACGTCCTGCCAGCGCCCGAAGGAATGGGCTACGAGGGAGACCCGCTGTCCAACACGGAGGCGTACTGGACGGCCTTCAACGCGAGCAGCTACACGTCGCTCAAGGACCTCGTGTGGAAGAACGAGGTGGTCAACACCGACTCGCTTTACGGCACAGCCACGATCGAGAGCGGATTCTCCTGGACCAACGGCACGGCGCGCGACTTGCCTGACCAAGTTGAATGGGACAAGCTTACGGAAGGCCACGATGGTCCTTTAGAAATATGGTGCGACGATGTGCTCGCATTCTCGGACCAGAATGCTGCGGTCAACTACCCGGGCAGTCCAGCTACATTCCCGTACGACAAGGCTGCTTGCGAGGGGAAGTCAAGGCTGACTACAATCTGGATGGCGCTGCACTCGCCTCCATGGCAAGTTTTTACCAACTGCGCGCCGCTGACCGGAGCTACGTCGACTAGTAGCGACTCGACATCCTCGACTTCGTCTTCGACTTCAACTTCGACGACGACTGCAAGCTCGACAACTACTGCCACTACTGCTGCTCCTACTGCGTCATCCTCGTCATCAACGGAGGCATCCAACACGGTTGACCAAGCTTCGGAGGAGGCTAGTACTGCTGCTGACTATGACACGACGTCGGCTTCCTCAGAGGAGACGGAGACGACTGCGGCCTCTACTTCTACAGAGTCAGCCACCTCGACAGAGGCGGAGACGGAGGCGCCAGCAACTACGTCGACCGCGACAACATCGACCAGATCAGCAAAGTGCTCGCGTCGCCGCGGCTAAACTTCGCCACAGAGCTGAGCAAGGGAGCATTAGTGCTTGCAGGATTGTAGGTGTGTTTTCTAGATGCGTAACTTGGTGTTGAGTACATGAGTACAGAGCAAAACTTGATGATCGACGTACCCCCCCCCCCCCCACGACGAAGCTGCTACTGTACCTACTACTGTTGTACACATATCCGTACAACCGGAACGATCTGCATCATGGCCATGCCGCGAGAATCTGGGGGGTTGGGTGTGACTGCTGCGCTGGTCGTGAAGTGTTCAACTGTGGACACCGCCTGCTTTCTGGCGGTGTGGTCTCGCAGCATGTGGTGGATGACCAAGGGTGCGCGTGCACTTGATAGCTGTCAATTGTTATGCACGTAAGAAACGCGGTGACTGTGCTGGTGGTTCAAGTAGAAACGAGAAGACTTAATACACGACATGCGAATACATGCCAATACTTTGCCCTCTAAAATAGACCTCTAAAATAGGCCACGCCTGTCTCTTAATATGAGTGGGCACGAGATAGGCGAGGGCTGATTTAGCTTTATGCTATGGTGGGGGCCACTTTTAGGCCCAGAAACTCGGTTTGGCCCGTCTAGAATGGCATTTCTGCGTTTCCAAGTCGTAGCAAAGCCTGAAACAGACCCCAACCTTGCATCTTAGACCTGTACTGGCGATATATATAAATCAGACCTAGGTCTTAATTAGGAGCTTGCTAGACTCAAATAGAGATTATTAATGAGATAATAAGCATACGTTGGCCAAAATATCTGCAAACGGCAATATAAATAAATAATAAATAATAAATGACATGGTGTTGAAACCTGCTCTACCATTCCAACCGACAGCTCAACCTGCCCCCAAGCAAAGATTCCTGCGCACGAAGTCGATGACTCTGTTGGGGCCACTGGAGACTCGCGTTGGAACGCAGAACTCCCTCCTTTACCAAGGGACCGTCAGGCGACCACGATTGGGCCAGTCGACTTCAGGATTGAAGTCAAGTCGCGATCTTCAGCCACAGCTGTTTCTGAGGTGAAGTGGCTGGTCTCAGCAAAACGCGGCAGCATACTTTTAAGTATGTTTGATGCTTACTTAAAAGTAAGCATCAAACATGACGGCTTTCATACATGTAGCGCTGCAGATGCTGGGGGTGTCCTTTACTTCTTGGGGTGCGTACAATACTATTATTAATATTGTAAAAACAGAGTTTTTCATTTTCATACTCGAGCCACTGCTTGCCGTTGAGGCCACCAGTACCTTTAAGTAATGTAAGCATCGAGCACATGTCGACTCAAACGTGCACAATTTGCAGTACACATGTTTCCTTTTATGTTATCAAAAAGTTGACTCGACCAGATTTCGCCTCACAAAACTAAGGGTTATTTTTTCTAAGGGACCGTTAGATTCTGTTGGTCGAAAAATGTATTGGTAGAACATAATGATCGAAGTTGCAAGCTGCAGTAGACGTCACCAAGTCGTGAGGTGGCCGTGATAAAAATGAATAGCAGCCACAGTAGCGTCAAAGCGCTTGATCGGATGTGAGCCGACTCGCTTCCAGATGATGCACCAAAATGCACTCCGTGTTGAAGGCGAATCATAGTAGGTGAGAGAGAAAGAGTATGCTCCACTGGTGCTCAGCAGCTCACCGAGATGCCACGCACGGCTAGAGTTTTGACAATGAACTGTCATCCACCAGAGCAATCTGGTCTAGCAGTGCCAAGGCATCCCCCGCACACAAGCGCTGCATCCTAACTCACTTTCAGTTTTTCGCGCATCAGCTCAAGTGCCCAGCAGCCCGCAAGCTCCGACTTCAGACAAATGGTCGCCTCTCCATCCGTGAGCCACGTCATTCTGGCCGTCGCTGGACTAGCCGCTTCTGTAAACGCTCACAGCAACATGATCTTGCCGCTCCCGACCTGGCCGGTGTCGTGGAGCACCAACAGCCCTTCGGGACTGATCGAGGGCGACACCTACCTTCCTGTCCCCGACGGAATGTCATACTCGACCGACCCGTACGATAACACGGAGGCCTACTGGACGGCCTTCAACGCCAGCAACTACACGTCGCTGCTCGAGTTCGCCAAGGAGACGCAGGTGCTGCAAACGATGGCGACGTTCGGCACGGCCACGGCGGAATGCGGATTCTCGTTGGCCAACGGCACGGCTCGAGACCTGCCGGAGCAGGTTGAATGGAATCAACTAACGTCCTCGCACGAAGGCCCTATTGAAGTGTGGTGCGACGACACTCTCGTTTTCAAAGACTGGTATGCCGCTCTCGATTACACCGGCTTCCCCGCTAAGCTTCCGTACGACGTCAGCAAGTGCAAAGGCGCTTCGATGCTGACGTCCGTTTGGCTGGCGCTCCCATGCTCTCCCCTGGCGAGTGTACACCAACTGCGCGCCGCTGACTGGAGACTTCAGCAGCTCGGTGGACGCTTCAGCGGATGATGACGAGTCGACCACAACGACGACCACGACGACTAGCTCGAGCGCATCTACGGCGGCTGAGGCCAGCTTCACGAATGACTACGCTACGTCGAAAGACGCATCGGCTTCTGCCAGTTCGGATCATACTGCTGCTACTTCCACTGAAACTACAACCTCACCCACCTCAACTACTGCGTCGGACGAAGCCGACACTGCAGTGACGACGGCCCCTGCGACGAGTGCTGCCACCACGTCGGACAAGTGCTCGGTTCGTCGCCACCGCCGTGACTAAATCGGCGGGTCAGCGGACGAAGCTCTCGTTAGATGCTTCTCAGTAGTGTGTACGCAATCGATTCGTTAACGCAAAGCCGACAGCTGCATGTATGTGTAGTGAATTAGATGCAAGATACCGGTGTAACCGTTTTCCCCTATTTGGTTGGTAGGTGCAGATCCCAAGATATGGTCTAGTTGTTGCTGACGAACTTTTGAGCCAGGACATCCTTCTCAACCCAATCACGACAGTCGAGGAGACCGCAGATTCTGTAAATACTAGATGTGCCAGCATCGAAAGGCTTAACCCTTTAAGCCCTTTGCAGATGATCGTGCAACATGTACATACACCCAAACGCGGGCTATCCGCACGACACCACTTTTATTCAACTAGAAATGGTGCCGGTAGACCAATCCCGGTAACGACCTTCAAGAGCGGACACTCTGGTTAGGTGCCGAGCGCGAGGTTTCGAACCAGCACAACTCGGCATCGAGCTCGCTGGTCATTATGGCTTCGCTTCAAGACTTGATGAAGTGTACTTGCCTGTTTCTGAAGCTTAGTAGCACTCCAACTCCAGTTTGTACTTCTGCGCGTCGCTACAGTAAAGGAGAAGGAGTCGGGGAAGTGATTCTCGTTCGGCATACATGTACTGCAGCTAACTCGTGAGTTCAAGAAGGTTGCACCAACGTTGCAGCAATGTTGCGGGGAGATCACCAGATCCTGAGCGGTCGCATATCAAAGACAACATTCGAGCGAGACGCCACGGTCGCTGCTGGAAGAGGAAGGCCGCCCTGGAGAAGGACAAGGAGGCGAAAAGGAAGAAGACGACGCACGAGGTGCACGAGGACATCCGTGCGGACGCCAAGATCATGCTGCACACGGAGGGGCGGCATTGCGAAGAGCCCGACATCGAGGCCATCGCCGAGAAGAATGGCTGCAAGGCGAGGACGGTGCACAGAGCGCTGCGGTGCGAGAGACTCGGGGAGAAGTCCCCGCCGCGTGGCCGCGCTTCGCTCCAACAGCACACACCCGCCGCCATCGCTCAAGTGATCAGCAACCTGACGCCGAAGCAGGCGAAACTGAGCACCCGGAAGCTTGCCAAGCTCGTTAACATCAAGAAGTCGACTCTTCACCGAGTCCGAGCCCTGCCAGAAAGCCGCCCCGAAGCTTAGCGAGGCCTATACCGGTAAGGTCCAGCGCGAGTTCTGCCTGTCAAGGTGAAGCCCAAGGAATACTTCGAGGACGGCAACACCTTCTACAACGACATCTTCATCAGCCAGCGCGGCTCATGAGCTACGGGTGAGGCTACACGTAACACTGCTGCTGACTACGCCACACGGCATCCGCCATATTAGAGCGGCCAAGTCGTCTGGTGGGTTTGGTGCGGATTACAATCCCGAGTCGCGTCAACGTCCTGACCGTTGACGTAGAAGCAGTGGTCGCCCCTCGACGGATGAGCTCCATTCCCGCGTTCCAGCTTGGAGGTAACACCCAGCGTGCTTCGTGCAGGGGAAGAGCTCCTCTACCAACCGTAGAGGGGCTTCAACCGGCTCCCCTTAGCAAGTCGCACATCGCGCTCGCTGTGCGCGAAGGAGGTTGAGACTGTCAGCTTTGACACCTGCACAGGCTGATAAAAAGACCCCAGCCGGTGCCCTGGAAGCTTATCAAGCAAACCTCACCTGCCAATGTGGCGCCCAGCCGTCGGATACATGGCGGCGCGAGGCTCGTGGAGTCCAGCGACACCGGGATCAGCCCCAAGGTCATCGCGGAAACGCACGCGGACCAGGTCGGCGAGTCTTCAGCTTTTCCAGCTGATGAGCTGCATCACTCTGCGGGGTCTGAAGTCGAAGTGCGCTTCGTCTCTGGTGTCGCCGACCAGAGGAACCCGGTGCCGATTTGCACGATCCACGCAGCACCGGGTTGCGCAACTTTTGAGTGCAGTGACGTCCCGCCGGCAAAGCCTCGAACCACTCCCCGCTACCCGCGGATCACCCGCGACTAAAAAGTTCACAAAAGGGCCGAGAGGGACTCACGAACAGCTCAAAGTGTTCAAGTGGTGCGAAGCTCCTTCTGGTCTTGCTGCGGCCGGGCCGAGTCCGCTTGTTGATCAGCGCTGTTCATTTCGGAATTCTCTCGTCGCTTCACCACTTCGTTCTCAATGGTTTCATCCTCGTTCGCTGCTCTGGCGGTGGCCGCGTCTGTGCTGGCTGCCGGCGCCAACGCCCACAGCTACATGACCGACCCCATGCCGACTTGGTCGGTTGGATACCCTACTACCAACTATGCCGGCCTCATTGACGGCCAGGACTACCTGCCGGTTCCGGACGGCATGTCGTACGGCGGAACTCCCGAGGGCAACACCGAAGCGTACTGGACGGCGTTCAACGCGAGCAAGTACACGTCGCTCAAGGACCTGGCGGACAAGACGATGGTGCTTCAGTCGCTGAGCCCGTTCGGCAAGGCCACGGCCGAGTGCGGCTTCTCGCTCGCCAACGGCACGGCGCGTGACTTGCCGGCCCAAGTGGAGTGGAAGGACTTCGGCTACTCCCACCAAGGACCCTGCGAGGTGTGGTGCGACGACAAGCTCGCCTTTGAAGACGACAATTGTGCTCTGCACTACCCCGAGGTCCCGGCCAAGCTTCCGTATGACGTCGATGTTTGTGCTGGTGCGTCCATGATCCAGTCGTACTGGATCGCATTGCACGGACTCCCGTGGCAGCTTTACCTGAACTGTGTGCCCCTCACGGGCAAGGTGAACGGTACCACCAGTGACACTGAATCGGCGAAGACTCCGAGCGCTGCTACCCCCACGACTACTACAACCGATGCCCCCGCCGTTGCTAATGAGGCATCCGAGGCGTCGACCGATGAATCGATCGATGGTTCGGCTGAAACTACCCCGACGACGGATGCTCCGGAGACACCCACCACAGACGCTTCTGATGCTGTTGAAACGCCGGAGGCGACACCAGCGACCCCGACGGTAACTTCGGCCACCCCCACGGTAACGGAGCCCACTTCGCAGACTGATGCGGGCACAAGTGGGGGAAAGTGCTCTCGTCGCCGCAAGTAAACGATGAGTTGATAGGCAAGTTGCTGTAGATGTCTACGTGTTAATCGTCGAGTTCGTGCGTTCGATGTTCAATATAAAACGAAGTTAGTACTATTCGATCGCAGTGTTCGACTACAGTGAAGCAAGCTTTGGAGATTCGCAATATATAACACATATCCCTCCAAGGGAGCGTGATGAATGTATAAGAGGGCAATGGTGCCTCAATAAACGTGGTGCTCACTTGTAGTGATGGCCCCCCTCGCTTTTCCTTTCGCAGGAAGGTGATGTCGGTTTTTGCCTTCAACGTCTCCAGCACGGGTTTGAAGAGGTTGTGCGCACACGCGTGCAGTTAGCTGAAGACAGATCCCTCTTCTGTTCTTGACGCGACCTCCGATTCTACGCCACCTCCAAAGTTTCCTCCGCAGCTAGGGCCAACATATATTCATTCGGTTCATACATCTTATTTTTCTGGTGAACAAGTTACACTCAACATCTAACTCCTTTTCAGTTGAAACATAACGAACAAACTCATATTGCAGCACTACTCGTCCACTCAGCCGCGCATGCGGCGTCGAACGTTGCATTTTCCAGTCGTCGTCGAGGCCTCACCTGCTGTGCTGCTCTCCTCCGTCGCAGGAGTCACGGCAGGGGTCTCAGTTGTAGACGTAGGAGTAGCAGTAGTCGCTGCAGCTTCAGTTGCGTCGGTGGCGTCCTCCTCATCACTACTTGAAGTGGTGGCTGTAGCCGCCGTTGGGGTAGTATTCGACGTCGAAGGCGATGTCGTAGTGCTAGTTGTCGCTGCCGTTTTCGAGTCCGATTTGGATGCCCCGCCAGTGCCTCCGTTGATGTTGACGCAGTTGACTACATAACACAACAATGGAGACGGATAATTAGCTTCCAATTCGTCAGCACAACTAGGAAGGAGCAACACTTACTGTAAACTTGCCAGGTCGCGCCATGCATAGCAACCCAGTAGAAGGTGAGACGCTTCGCATTCTTGCAGACGGAGTTGTCGATCGGGACTGGGGCAGCCCCCTTGCCCGACGCAGGGGTATACGTCACCTGGCAGTTCATGTCTTGCTGGGATCGGTTGTCATCACACCAGGTCTCGCAAGGGCCCATGTGCACGAAGCCTTCGTCTAGCGTTAGGTCGTCGTTCCTGCCCCAGTAAATGGTGTCGTTGAGCGCACCGTAGCTGGTTTGTGCTGGGTCGGAGAACCCGCAAGAGGCTGTGGCGTCTTTTGAGACCAGCACCTGGTTGTCTTCGATCATCGCCTTGACGCTCTTGTACTTCGACTTCTTGAAGTTCTCGACGAAGGACTCGACATTGATCGTTGGGTCCGTGTTGAACGTCCCGTCGGGGAAGAGCTTGTAGCTGTCGATGGTCGATAAGTACTGGGTCTTGTCGATGTTGGGGCTGATGAACTTGGCCAGGGGCCGAACCAGGTAGCCATGGCCAGACACACGCTGGGCGGCGAGTAGCAAGAGCGTCGTCAAACCAACGGGTGATGTCTTCATATCGTCCTCTTGTCAACCTGTGCAGGACAGCGCCAATTGATGAATGGTTTTGCTATCCGAACTCGTTCTAACCGTTGGTCGATCACGTCTAAAGTGAAGGATCAGGTCCCGAACACTTGCACTGCCCTCCAGGTGTTCAACGCTATCGACTGGTGCAACGCACGGGCGATCTTCCTGTGGCCTCCTTCCTCGCAGTCTCTCGTGGCGTTTTTCCTTTACGGCGCGGTTGCCTTTACAAGTGCAAAGGCTTCGTGCTCTCCGCGACACCAGCTGCAGTAGCCCCGCAGCAGCGCTGGCATTGCCGTCCGCTGCTCAGGAACATGTCGCGAAGATAACGCTCTGATCCGGTGGCAGGACAGGAATCCATGCCCGGATCTGCTCACCGATCGCGAATGGGTTTTCGCGTCCGTACAAGATCTCGGTCTCACCGAGTTGGACATGAATGTATGATACGTGTGCATGACGACAAGGCTTCGGCTAAGGCTTAGGCGGTTAATACGCTAGCTACGCTACTACGGCAGATACCAATCCATGAACTGACACGCAACGCAAGTTTGCGGGCACTATCGACGAGAACTTAGTGGCGGAAGCCAAAGCTGTTGCCCCAGCCGGCGCTGTTCCAGCCACTGGCGGTGCCCCGGTTAGGCGAAACGGTTCCGGTCGTCGCTTGGACGTCGCTGTTGCCGTTGCCCGACCATCCGCCGTTCGTCTTCGTCGAGCCCGTTGAATTGGTCGACGTCCACTGGTTGGAAGTGCCATAGCTGGCAGTAGTCGCCGTCGAAGGTGAGCTGGTTGACGGCGCCGTCGTTGTCGAGCTGGCTGTCGATGGCGAAGTGGTGCTCGGAGCTGACGTCGAAGAAGTTGTCGCTGTGCTGGTGTCCGCAGTCGGCGCAGTCGTGGTGCTTGTCGTTGACGTTGAAGTTGAAGTGGACGTTGCTGCCGACGACGCCGTGCTGGTTGCCGTTGTCGTAATAGGAGACGATGTGGTCGACGTAGTGGAGCTCGTGCTGTTGGACGTGGTGCTGGTGCTTGTGTCGGAGCTGGTCCCGACCGCGTACTTGGACGTCGCGCCCGTGGAGGTGATGCTCTCGAGCGGCGCGCAGTTGATGTAGACCTGCCAGGTCGACGAGTGCAGTGCCAGCCAGTAGAAGGTCAGCGTGCTGGTGCCCAAGCACGCGTCGCGGTCGTACGGCAGCTCGGCCGGGGCCGAAGTATAGTCGGCAGCACAGTCGTCGTCTTGGAACACTCGCACATCGTCGCACCACACCTCGCAGGGGCCCGCGTGCGAGGAGCTGAAGCCCTCCGTGGACGAGTGCGACCACTCCACGTACGTGTCGGGCAGCGGCTGGGCCGTCTCGTCCGGGTAGCACGAGCCGCAGGTGAGCGTGGCGTCCGTGACCGTGATAGTGGCCTTGTCGTTGATGAGCTCCTTCAGCGACGTGTACGAGCTGGCCTCGAAGGCCTTGGTGAAGGCGGCCGTGTTGTCGGCCGGCGAGCCCGAGAAGGTGCCACTGAAGTCGGACGCCGACGACTCGATGGTGGCGATGAACTGCGTGTTGTCGGTCGACGAGGACAGGAACGTCACGGCCGGCTCCGTCAAGTAGCCGTGGCCGTTTGCGGTAGCCAGCAGTATTGCAGCCGCTAGCACCGACGGAAGGTAAGAGTTGGAGAGTACCATGGCACCCGGAAGGAAGGCGAGCTTAGGTCTGAAGCCGGAAAATTGGGAAATGAAGATGTGAGCGAATGTCGCCCCGTCCGGAATAAGGCTCGAGTCCAACGAAGAGAAAACTGCGTACTGTACGGTGGTTGCCCTGGATTCCGGTGGGATCTTGGCAGTAGAAATGGATGCGAGGGTGTCTGTCGAGCACGTGCGTTGAAGCGAGCGACACGTTCTAGTTGGGGGGTAAGGGCGGCATTTATTAGCAGTCGAAGATACTGCTGGATGCTGCTACGCTTCTCCGTGCAAAGGATGTGGAAGTTGAGGGTGAGCTGACGTGAGCGTATTCGTGAGTCTAACGAACTACTACAAATAGTAGACTAAAGGAGGATGAGGACAGCACGACTGCTGTTTTTGTCGCTTCATGTTGGCGATTGATTCGAAGCAGAGAGCAACACTTGAGTCAACCTGTCGTAGATGAAGAGGAGGGCACGTACCGGACAATGGCTGATCAACGATAGTTCACACATGTATTTCGGCAAAGCTTTCAATCGCTTTCTTCACTTAGGACACGACAACAACACTAACACTCATAGAGCTCTCGGACCCTCTCTAAGTGGCCATTGAGTTATTCACTCATCTACTGGCGGACGCGGCGAACGCGACGCACTGAGCACTTGGTCGAGTCCGTCTCAGGCGCCGGCGTCACCTCCGGAGCGTCCGTGGCGGGGGCATCGGTGGTAGTCGGAGCGTCCGTCGCGGCAGGCGTCGTGGAGTCATCGCCCGACGCGTCCGTGGAGGTGGGCGTGGTAGAGTCGTCACCCGACGCCTGCGTAGTGTCATCAGCCGAGGCGTCCGTCGCCGATGCTTCGGTGCTGTCGGCAGTGTAGCTGGCCTCGCCTGCCGCTTCCGTGTCGTCCGTGGTCTCAGTAGCAGCGGCAGCAGGGGCAGCGGTGGTCGCCTTCGGGGCAGTGGTGGTCTGAGTGGTCTCGCCCGACGAGGACGAATCCACCGACGGAGCCACGGTGGTGGTCTTGGAGGTGGAGGTGGAGGTACCGGCGCCGCTGCCGGAGATGGTGATGTCGGCGCACGTCGGGTACGTCTGGTTGGCGATGTCCGAGTGCCAGAGGAACTGCAGGGCGCAGTCGCCGGCGCTCTCACAGCCCGTCACGGTGGTGGGGATGGTGGCCGAGACGGTGAAGGTGCCGGACGACGTAGCGAAGTCGCTGTAGGAGCCGACCTGCGTGTCGGCCTTGTACGTGATCTTGCCGTCCGAGTCGGTGCTGGGCTTGACGATGCTCAGCTTCATGACGCCCGGGTGCGGCGCCTGGATGTAGTACTGGACCTCGAACGGCGTGCCGGCCGTCAGCGCCGTGACGTTGTTGCCGGACTCGTACACGAGGCCGCGGCAGCCGTTGTACATGTCGAAAGTCTTGGCCGCCGGCTGATCGGCCTGGCCACGTTGGCTCAGGTTCTCAATGGGGGCCCACTGCAGCTCGTCGTTGCCGGCACCTTTGAGGCCGAACAGGCAGTCCTGTCGGTACTTGGCCGTGATCGGGCGGTAGGACGGCACCAGCATTTGGCCGTGGGCGTCCACGGTGCTGGCCATCATGATGGCCGTGCCGGCCAGGGTGCAGAAGACAGCGGGCTTCATGTTTCGTCGCGTAAGGGGCTGGTAGAGTGGGGAGCTCGCGCCGATTGACTGCAAAATGGGGAATGGGGCGTCATTTGACTGCAGTCAGATGATTTAGCATGCCCCGGCAGAGAGGCAGGCAGCAACGGCAAGACGGATCAGTTAGCGTGTCGAAGCACATGCTACGTCGGACTTCCGACGATCCAGCTGATATTTCCGAATAAAGGTCGTTACGTATCGTTAAAGGATATTTTGGATTTCATTTATTGCAAGATGGAGGTGTAAACCACTGAGACCGAATGTCCCCGGCACAGCCTGCAACTCGCATCGCATCGCCATCTTGAGATCGGGCCGACAGAGCCCAAATGTACAGCACAGAGGAACAGGTAGCCGTGAGTCATGCCTCTGACAGCATTGTTCAGGAGCGGCACCACGCGGAAATGGATCCATTTTGCCGTCGGTGCGGACCGCACCGGCAGCATTCGGCTTGCACGTTTCTCTGTCTAGCTCCGAGTGGATCAATGTTCCCGCTTCCCTTAATGGCGTCGAGGCACGTGTAAAGGTCTTCCCGCGGGTATCCGAGCTGTCATACATAAACGAGCAGTGCTAGCCACCAGCCGGATTCAAATCGAAACGCGAGGTGCAGCACTCCGCGACTATCATGGTCCCTCCCGAACAGAGAGAAGTGGTCGCCACACTGCAGTGTGCCTATTCACGACTCGCCAAGACGCGTCGACGGCATCAAGTTGTCGGCGAACGACGGAACGAGCTGCCTCAAGTCGATGAACACGTACGGTAGACAGCTGAAGGGTGTTACCCGGATGGTGTCGTATAACTTGTGTGCATTGTACGTGTCCGATGTCGTGCCGTGCGTGATCTCCAAATGGACAAAAGGTGCCAGGCGTGAGTGCCACACTCGTGGCACTCTGTTCGTAGGCCACGAAGGGCATGGTCCTCCAGCCGTTTGACCCACGAAGCGCTCGGCAGCTGTATCCCTATCCGTTTCCACATCAAACATGTTCACGTCCATCTTCTATTACTCAGTGGAATATAACACTACCGATGCAGGCTCCCTAGTTGCTGCAACTCGTCTGTTCCATTAAGTTTCACCTCAAGGCGCCGTCGACGGCGCGTGCATTTATCTGCTGTGGTCAAGGAATCTGCCCCTGCCTGCGAGCTGACATCAGACATTGTGGGTGGGGTAGTACTTGGTACTGCCGTACTCGATGGAGTCAAGGAAGCAGCAGTAGCGGTTGGTGTGGCGGAAGAGTTCGAAGAAGGCGCTGCTGTTGCGTCTGGGGCCTTCGTAGAAGTCGAAGTCTGCTCGCCCGACTCACCGCTACCCGTCACCACAATGTCGGCGCATGTCGGGTACGTCTGGTTCGCCAGGTCCGAGTGCCAGTAGAACTGCAGCGCGCAGACGCCGGCTGACCCGCACCCCGTCACGCTCGAGGGGATCATGGCCGTCGTGCTGGTGCTCTCGCTCGAGCTCTCGGCGAACGGGTCGACGGTCAGCAACTCCGCTACCGACACGTACGTGATGGTGCCGGTGCTGTCGGTGCTGGGCTTGACGACGCTGAGTACCATGGTGCCTGGGTGCGGCGCCTGGATGACCCACGCGACGTCGAAAGGCGTGCCGGTCGTGAGCGTCGTGACAGTGTTGTTGGCCTCGTAGACAGTTCCTCTGCATCCGTTCATGATGTTGAAGGTGGCTGCGGCGGGTCGGTCGGCCTGCGCTCTGCTGCTGAGCAGTTCGACAGGTGCGTACTGCAGCTCTTGGTCTCCTGCGCCGCTGAGAGCTCCACAGTCGTCTCTGTACTGCTGCGAGATGGGTCGTGGGGTGGGCTTGGCCATTTGTCCGTGTGCGTTGACGGTGTCGGTGGTTGCGAGGAATAGGGCCAAGCTTGCCGCGATGTATGGTGCTAGCGCGCTGATCTTCATGGTAAACTTGCTGAGATCGTAGCGGTGGTGGTAAATTAAAAAGTGAGACTGCTGAAAGCTACTTAAGCTGGCTGCCTTGTCCGTCGGTGGCGTCTTTATGCCATAACTTGGATGTCGTTACAGGAAGTGGTTGAAAGGGCATTCGTGGCTTGCTGGGGCGTGGCGGCAACATGGCCCGTGGTGTTCGAACCTTCCCGCTGATCACTTGAGCTGCCACGCGTGAATGAGCTGCCCGCTGTTTCGCCCGAAATTAATTCACCGGATGGAGCTGACCTGGATGAGCTCGGGGCGCTTGATTCACTCACGCCTGTCAACTTCGTGACTCGGGCTGGCCATTGAAACCGTCTGCAGAACTCGCCTCGGATACCTTCTTCGAATCCACATGCACCACTTGAGCTCGGTGTGTACTTGCTCAACTGCCGCCTTCCGAAGCACATTCGACGACAAAATGGCCAGACGTGTAGCGAAATCTGGAAAGCGGTTCGCTTCCAGCTCTGGCCCCACCGTTCTCGAGCCGCCGATATGTTGTATTCTGTCCAGTCGACTACGCTGTCGGGGTGGAAGTCAAGAGTCAAGGCTACATCTATTCACTTGCAGCCGGAGCCGTCGTTCTGCCTAATGCACGAAGTGGTAATAGTGTAGCGCTTGTTGTTCAGATTTGCCTTGCTATCAAAAAGACTCGGTGCATGTTGTCAGTAAAATCAGAAAACGTTCCCATATTTTCAACGGTCGAGCATGCATCTGCCACGAAAACGAGGCGCCTGCTGTCGATGAGGCACCGCGCGCACGAAGACTTTCCGAGACGACTCCCGACATCCTGGTGTCCGAGCTCTGCCCCTACACTTGCTGTGCGTTGCCATCTTTTGCGTTGCCTTTGCAGCAGTTCGAGATACTCTCCAACGGATATCCTCACAACCGAATCTGCTCACTCGACTTCACAAGCCTTCCTCAGATATGCTCAGCTTCAAGATGTACTACACCGCTATGACTGCAGCAGCGCTACTACTCAGCAATGTGAACGCGCATGGTTATCTGGGTCTGCCGGCTGTCACCTTCCCGAACGACGTCGACAAGACCCAGTTCATTGCGACCATCGAGTCAAGCGCTTCGGGCTTCTCAGGTTCGTTCAGTGGCTCGCCCGCGGAGAATACGGCAGCTTTCTGGACGGCTTTCAACTCGAGCCAGTACTCGTCAATCAAGGAGTTCGTGACGGATTTGGGGCAGATCGTGGCGAATGGGGCCAACATCGAGTGCGGCCTCACCGACCCAGATGAGACCCCACAGCCCCTTCCGGACGAGCTGGAGTGGACCCACTCGGACACGGAGGGCTTCACTTCATCGCATGAAGGTCCTTGCGAGGCCTGGTGCGATAATACCCGCGTGTTTCAAGACACCGACTGCGCGGCTCACTATACGACAGCTCCGGCCAAGATGCCCTACGATAAGGCGGGGTGTTCGGGTGCCAGCCGCTTGACCTTTTATTGGTTAGCGCTCCACTCTAGTACGTGGCAAGTGTACGTCGACTGCGCAGCGCTTGAAGGTGGTAGCGGCTCGTACACTCCTTCCCAGTCGAACTCCACCACCAGCGGATCAACGGGGCAGTCCAGCACCCCGACGGTCACCACTGCCACCTCGACTGTCACTACTGCGACTCCGACGGTGGCTACAACAAAGCCTTCCGTCGCCACGACAACTCCAAGCACCGGCAACTCTGTTTCTGGTAGCGGGGAGGAGGAAGACTGCGGCTCGCTTGATGTTGCGGGGAGTGACGAAGAGGAGGAAGACTGTGGATCGTTGGATCTTGCCGGCAGTGAGGACGACCAGGTCGCCGGTGACGCAGACACAATTGAAGAGGACTGCGGGTCGCTGGACGTCGCTGGCAGCGAGGAAGACGAAGACTGCGACTCGCTTGACGTTGCCGGTAGTGAGAAGGACGACAACGCCACTCTCTCGGAATCGTCGCTGAACTTTGGTGATGTTGATAGTAGCTACCAAAGCGGCAAGGTCCAGGCTCCGGTGCAGTACTAGAGCATTGTGCGGCATCATCTATTTGTCTGTCGTCAAGCGTAGCAGTTAAGAAGAAAAAATCGTGCCGTGAAAGTACGATATGGAAATGCAAAACAAAACCTATACTGTAGTTCATGGCATTCTACATTCAACATTCATTCGAACGGCTGAAGGAACAGTGGTAAGACCACGCTCCGTCTATCAAAATTCCAAAGCGAATCCCCTCGAAGTTCTTGAGGAACGGTGGCGACTGGGATAAGCTAACCCCTTGGACGAACGAGCGGTTTAAGAGTTGGCTTTCGCGGCCTTCATATCCAGCCGCACAACGCCAGTGTTCCTTGCTAGCTCCGCCCACTTCTCGCTTGATTCCATTCATTATGAGCAGTATTTTTCGCTAGAACATGTTCGAGTATCCCTGACAGGTTATCACCGCAATGCAAGGCTCGCCGAACTACATGCGAATGTCATTCTTCAGTTGCCATCCTTGCCCACACTGCGACTATCGCTTCAAGCACAGTCATGAAAGCAAGCGCTTCATCAATACTGACAACGATTACTTCGACTCTGCTCCTCGCAACAACCGACACCGTCAACGCACACGGACAAATGGCCAAGCCCACCCCACGACCCATCTCGCAGCAGTACAGAGACGACTGTGGAGCTCTCAGCGGCGCAGGAGACCAAGAGCTGCAGTACGCACCTGTCGAACTGCTCAGCAGCAGAGCGCAGGCCGACCGACCCGCCGCAGCCACCTTCAACATCATGAACGGATGCAGAGGAACTGTCTACGAGGCCAACAACACTGTCACGACGCTCACGACCGGCACGCCTTTCGACGTCGCGTGGGTCATCCAGGCGCCGCACCCAGGCACCATGGTACTCAGCGTCGTCAAGCCCAGCACCGACAGCACCGGCACCATCACGTACGTGTCGGTAGCGGAGTTGCTGACCGTCGACCCGTTCGCCGAGAGCTCGAGCGAGAGCACCAGCACGACGGCCATGATCCCCTCGAGCGTGACGGGGTGCGGGTCAGCCGGCGTCTGCGCGCTGCAGTTCTACTGGCACTCGGACCTGGCGAACCAGACGTACCCGACATGCGCCGACATTGTGGTGACGGGTAGCGGTGAGTCGGGCGAGCAGACTTCGACTTCAACAGAGACGCCGGAGAGCACTATCGCCACATCTACTGCTACAACGGACACGCCAGGAACGAGCCGTTCAGTGAGCAACAGTGATGAAGACTGCGGATCTTTGGACGTTGCGGAAAGTGAAGGTGTCGAGGACTGCAACTCGTTGGATGTAGCTGGCAGCGAGGAGGACGACGCGATGTCTTCAGGTGTTGAAAACCCGGACGATAGCTACCTCAGCGGAAAAGCTGCGCCCTAAAAGCTATAGCATGCGGAAAGGTATCAGAACGCACCATACTAAGAAGGGTTCCCGGAGACGGCTTTCTTCCGGACGCATACGCAGTTGATAAGTAGTCATTGCTTGTTACTGGTACGAATTGAAAGCACGTACATTTCTTCCTCCACTGCACCAACCACTGCGCCTTGATCGTAAGCGTCCAATCCGCCTTGAGCTGCCGACAAATCGGAAACAGCCACGCTCTCACCCTTGCGTAGGGGCAACTCGTCGACAGGCAACCTGCAGCTGTCGTTGTCAAGAGGTCGTTGACAAGAGGTCGTTGATGGCGTACAGTGTATGGATACAGTATTGAACCTGGACGCTCGAGGAAGGAGTTCATGAGCACGTGGTTTCGGCGACGGCGACGCGTGCCACTTTCTGTCATCCACGACACCAGACTGCAAGCGACGTTGACGAGCAGGTTCGTTCGCAGCGCGCCCAGATATCCCGGTGTCTGTCTCTCGATCCCGTGTCATCCTCCAGTCGAATTTGCATCGCTTTGGTTCAACCAAATTGGTTGTGCCGCGGTCTGTTCGGAGGATACAGTTCTAAAGACATGCCCGCCCACATCGCGTTAATCTGTCCTGGCGTCGCTCTGCAGCTGGTTTCGCGACTTACCTAGCACTGACACGGCACCGCCAGACCAGCCCAAGCTGATCGATCGCCCTTCTCTGGGTCGGGCTCCCTCTACTAGTAAAATGTAGAGACGGCGACTTCGTTTGTAAGCGTCCTTCACAATGCAACGCTTCACTAAGAGGGAGCAGACTTTTTTAAGTAATTTAAAAAGTAATAAACCAATGTGAGCTTCGGCGAAGCGAGCGTGCTTCGTGTTTCGGCCAATAGCTGAGCTTACTGCACACTGTAGCGCTCCCGTCACGCTGGCCATCTCAAGGGCTTTGACGTCCGTAGGGTACATGTTCACCTGATCCCGCCTTCCCCGCTGACAGGTGGCCCGTCAAGTTGACGGTCAACTCATCCGAACGAAGCCCTATCTTTACATTACCGCCCACCTGGCGGGTTCGACTGCCGATACAAACGCACGGCTCAATTTGCACCGAAAAGGGCCCATTTTGCAGCTTATAAAAATGCAGCAATCGGTACGTGAAAAGTGTTGTTGTTGCTGGCTTACCACGCTCATCAAGCACTGCAGATGCGCGAGGCCGCGTTAATCAATGCTGGGCCACTATGTACGCTTTGCTGTCCGTGCGTGGCTATTCCACTGCGTGGTCGGCGGCCGAGTCTTTCATCAGTGACCTCCGAGCTCATTCACAACACGATCTGCTTTAGAGCGCTCAGTCCCGATCTACAGTCTCAACTATGGTATCCCCCTTTCACGCACTGCTAGTCGCCGGCACGCTGGCTGTGTCGGTGCAGGGTCACGGTTACATGTCCGCGCCCAAGTGTGAGTACACTTTCGTCGGCGACACGACCCAGTTCATGGCGACCATCGAGGCGTCTTCATCGGGTTTCAGCGGTTCGTTCAGTGGCTCCCCGGCCGACAACAACGCGGCCTTCACCAAGGGGTTTGAGGCCAGCAAATACACGTCGCTGAAGGAGCTCATTACGGACTTGGGCAAGGTGACTTCGTCGGACTTCACGATGGAATGCGGCTACACCACCCCACAACCGCTTCCCGAGACTTAAGTTGAGTGGGCCCATGGAAGTGGGGAGGGCTTTACGTCCTCGCGACCCTGCGAGGTCTGGTGCGACGATACCCGAGTTTTCCGAGACGACGACTGCGCTGCTCACTTTACGACGGCGCCGGCCAAGGTCCCGTACGATCGTGATGCGTGCCTTGGCGCCAGTCGCCTGACGTTCTACTGGCTGGCGCTCCACTCCTCGACGTGGCAAGTGTACACCAACTGCGCTGCTCTGAAGAAGACGACTTCGACCGGCGCCAAGTCCAAGTACGCGGTCGGTGGCAGCTTCTCGACCACAACAACGACGTCAAGTACCGAGGGTTATGATGAAACGTCAAGCACCGAAGCCGAAGACCCTGCAACCACGAAAGCTCCCACAGAGCAGACCAGGCCGCTCCTGCTGTGGCGACGTCAACTCCGGTCACCACCTCGCGTCCATCGACAGACTCGGGCAGGTGCAACATTCGCCGACGCCACTAGAGAGTGAAAATTCATGAATACAATTGAGTTGCTAAATATTATGTTATGAATTGTTATCTTTTCCACACATTTTACCACCTAAAAGCTCAACGAATCTCTAGGAAAATCTCATTGTCACCGCCTTTTTCCTCAACATTCCTCGCCTTCCTAAGCTCCCAAAGCAATTGTAATGCGATCAGATGTCATGAGCGTACGTGTCAGTGAGTCCGTCTATGTGGACTTGCGTTTTTGCGCATGTGTCGAGACTCTGCTCTCGACTCGAGAGCAAAGAATCCTCAAATCCGTATGGAGAATTCCCATGTGGCCACCAGGCAAAGGAATTGTATACACTTCCCGGTCAATGTACAGTACTTAGTAGGTCAGTGACTTCCGATAGCACATCCCAAGATCTTCACGACGGTCTTGATTGCCGTGGAGTATGCTTGGCTCGATTCTAACGCTTTGCTGCTGGGTGCAACGCTTCCCTTTAATCTGGATGGGCGCTGTTCGAGTGCCGTTCGGACAGCGAGCTTGACCGTCAAAACCCGGCGACCAGGTCAATCACTTTGCAATTTACTCGCCGCCAGTCAACTCGCCTCCTCCTCAGCTTTCAGACAGCACACACGTTCTCGAAAAATGGTTCTCGGAAAGGCTTCCTTCGCGACGATCATGGCGTCGGCCATGCTCTCTGCTACCGTGCAGGGCCACGGCTCCATGTCGGTGCCCAAGGTGGAGTTCACCTTCAACGGTGACACCACGCAGTACATGGCCACGATTGACTCGAGCAAGTCGGGCTTCAGCGGCAACTTCGGCCAGTCGCCATCGGACAACACGGTCGCCTTCAACAAGGGCTTCAGTGCCAGCATGTACTCCTCGCTCAAGGAGTTTATGAACGACAAGATGGAACTGGTGAGCGCGGACTTCACCAAGGAGTGCGGCTACACGAAGCCGGACGAGGCTGCCCAGCCCCTGCCGGAGACCTACGTCGAGTGGTCTCACGGCAGCGGCGAGGGCTTCACCTCCTCGCACGAGGGCCCCTGCGAGGTGTGGTGCGATGAGACCCGCGTGTTCCAGGACGACAACTGCCCCAAGAACTTCCCGGCCGCTCCGGCCAAGCTACCGTACGACCGCGACGCGTGCATGGGCTCCTCGCGTCTGACGATCTACTGGATCGCGCTCCACTCCCCGTCCTGGCAGGTGTACATCAACTGCGCCGCTCTGGAGAAGACCAAGGCCACTGGCGCCAAGTCCAAGTACGCGGTGGGCGGCAGCAGCGGCGCCACCAGCACCTCCAACTCGACGACGCCCGCCACGGACTCCTCGTCGTCTGAGGAGACCACCCCGTCCGCTGAGCAGACAACCGACGCGCCCGCCACGCCCACCACCGACGCCCCGTCGGCCGAGCAGCAGACGGAAGCCCCTTCGGCGCCCGCTACGGAGGCCCCTACCGTCACTGAAGCCCCGGACACGGAAGCCCCCGCCACGGAATCCCCGGTCGTCACCCCGGCCCCCGTCAGCGACGACACGAGCAAGTGCACTGTGCGTCGTCACCGTCGCCGCCGCAACTAGATGTCGCGGTGGTAGGTTCTTGGTGTCATAGGACGCCTCGTGTTGATGTGTAGAGCGTATTTTAGTGTTTGTGTGGCTTCAACCGCTGGTTCGAAGTCCTGTAAAACAGCCAGGTTTCGTGATAGAATTTCGGAACGCATTCATAATTTGAGGTCAAATTGTTGTTCATCTGAGCGTATCGAATTCATGCTTATTGTTTCTCGTCGAACAAAACTAAGCGCGCAGGGGACCAAGCAACCACTGGAATCGGACCACATTTCTGTATTTCGTCATCGTATTTTTGCCTCAAAACCACCAAAATCTAAACACTACACAGATTGACACAAGACAAAGCTGTAGCTACTCGCTGCCCGATACACGCAACGAGCTCCTTACTGGCGGCCATGCTTAGTTGCGGCGACGCACCGAGCACTTCGTCGTACCAGTGCTAGTAGCGGTTGAAGGAGTGGCAGTTATAGCAGCGGGGGCAGTCGTCGTTGATGTGGTGGCAGGAGCATCCGTCGTCTCCGTCGCCGAGGCAGGAGCATCAGTGGACGTCGTCGAGTCCGCCGATGTCGAGGCCGAGGTGGACGTCGCGTAGTTGGTCTGGAAATCGTACGAAGTCGAGTTGGACGCAGCGGAGGACCCAGCAGCCGACGACACCGTGGACGTAGCAGCTGTGCTAGTGCTGGTTCCTGAGCTGGTCCCCGCCGCGTACTTGGACGTCGCGCCCGTGGACGTCGTCGCCTCCAAAGGTGCGCAGTTCACGTACACCTGCCACGTCGACGAGTGCAGCGCCAACCAGTAGAACGTCAGCGTGCTGCTGCCGAGGCAAGCGTCGCGGTCGTACGGCAGCTCGGCCGGGGCCGAAGTATAGTCGGCAGCACAGTCGTCGTCTTGGAACACTCGCACATCGTCGCACCACACCTCGCAGGGGCCTTCGTGCGAGGCCGTGAAGCCCTCCGAGTCGGAGTGCGCCCACTCCACGTAGGTGTCCGGAAGAGGTTGGGCGGTCTCGTCCGGGTCGCACATGCCGCAGGTGAGTGTGGCGTCCGTGACCGTGATAGTGGCCTTGTCGTTGATGAGCTCCTTGAGGGACGAGTAGCTGCTGGACTCGAAGGCCGTGGTGAAGGCGGCCGTGTTGTCGGCCGGGGCGCCGTTGAAAGTCCCGCTGAAACCCGAAGCGGATGCCTCGATGGTGGCGATGAATTGCGTCGGGTCGCCCGTGGTCAGGAACTTCACGGCAGGATCGGACATGTACCCGTGGGCGTTGATAGTCGCTGCGAGCGCGGCCGTGGCCAGCATAGCGGAGAGGGACGTGGCCGACGCAACCATTGTTCGACGAGGATTGGGCTGGTGACTGACTGGGACTGCACTCGACTGCGCAAATTAAGATGTGAATGGAGTGCAAGTGCAGCAAGGAGCTTTAGTCGCTGAGGGTCGAGGCTCCCTCGGTCCGCGGCGGTGGAGAGACTCGCTCACGTGTGTACAGGTGCAGAACGTAGAGGAGATGGCTCGGGTCTTGCAAATCGTGTCGGTCCTAGCGGGTGACGATGTTGCCACAAAGACAGCTGCCAGTCAAGTCTTTGCGTGTGTAGCGCTGATGACTAGCGAAACGTAGTCGTCTGGAGGACACTTTGGGCACACCACGAGTTTCGACACCGCTGGAACGGTTAAGTTAACCAGGTTATTAGACTTCGCAGCGAGTTGAAGACATGAACGCGAATCTCGGTTATGACGACGGCAAACACATCTACGCTTGGCAAATTATCCACGATTGCCATGGAATCTCCTGCATTCTGACACTTAATCGCGGCGACGACGCACCGAGCACTTACTCGTCTCGGTGGTAGCAGCGGTTGGAGTGGCGGTCGTAGCAGTCGGGGCTGTCGTCGGCGCATCCGTAGTTGGGGCTGTCGTTGGGGCTTCCGTTGTCGGAGCTGCCGTGGTCGCAGCAGGCGCGTCCGTGGTCGAGGTGGTTTCGTCGCTCGTGGATGCTGAGGTGGACGTCGCGAAGTTCGAGTTGAAGTTGTAGGAGCTCGAGGCAGTGGAAGACGCCGTCGACGGGGCTGTGGTGGCAGTCGACGTCGAGTTCGTGCTGGCGCTGCTGCTAGTTCCAGAGCTAGCGCCCGACACGGCGTACTTGGACGTCGCGCCCGTGGAGGTGGTGCTCTCGAGCGGCGCGCAGTTGATGTAGACCTGCCAGGTCGACGAGTGCAGCGCCAGCCAGTAGAAGGTCAGCGTGCTGGTGCCCAAGCACGCGTCGCGGTCGTACGGCAGCTCGGCCGGGGCCGAAGTATAGTCGGCAGCACAGTCGTCGTCTTGGAACACTCGCACATCGTCGCACCACACCTCGCAGGGGCCCGCGTGCGAGGAGCTGAAGCCCTCCGTGGACGAGTGCGACCACTCCACGTACGTGTCGGGCAGCGGCTGGGCCGTCTCGTCCGGGTCGCACGAGCCGCAGGTGAGCGTGGCGTCCGTGACCGTGATAGTGGCCTTGTCGTTGATGAGCTCCTTCAGCGACGTGTACGAGCTGGCCTCGAAGGCCTTGGTGAAGGCGGCCGTGTTGTCTGCCGGCGAGCCCGAGAAGGTGCCACTGAAGTCGGACGCCGACGACTCGATGGTGGCGATGAACTGCGTGTTGTCGGTCGACGAGGACAGGAACGTCACGGCCGGCTCCGTCATGTAGCCGTGGCCGTCGACACCAGTCGCGAGGGCCGTCATGGCCAACATGGCACGGAAAGACTTGGTGGAGGCAACCATCGTCGGTTTTAGGAGACCGATTAGCCGGAAGCTGCTGTTGCTCGGTGGCGCGCTAATTGGGATATGAGCAGAGTTTTTTCAATGATAGCTTAGTCTGCCGCCGCGCATGCCGAGGGCGAGCTTGGATCAGACCGGCTCGCCCGGGTGAGCCGGGATCAGACGCTTTAGTTCAGCGATGTGTTTGAAGCCCATGCGGATCACCCGAAGGCCGTCGTGCCCAAGCTTTCTGGCAGGAGGATAAGAAGGATCGCTGGTATGCGCTCTATTACCTTGAGTATCTTTTTGCCCGGCTCAACGCGGTTATCAGTTATGAACGCGCCTCGAGGATAGCTCGTGCTCGTTAGCGTAAAGGTATGACCGGACACCACCCGAAAGTTCTCGGTCACGACGGTCACTGCTTGACTTCGTTCTGGCCAGATGGCCAGCGTCGGTCGAAGTCTGTCAGACCTTGAGGCGTCCACCAGCCGACGAGTGCCGATGTCATCGCTGCCACTCATATCCTCGGCATTTCCAGTGGGTGTGCATGTACTGCAAGCATAGCGGTAGCAAGCGAATACGCTGATAACTTCAGAGGCCAGCCGCAAAGTTGGAAGCACGACAGCGCAGGTTGACTGTCGACTGTCGACGAATAGTACTTCCGTCTTGGTGATCTGATGTTGCGTTGTTGTACACTTGCAGCTACTGTACAGTACTGAAGTGTTTAATGCAGGCCTACCATTAATCGAGTGGAAGGCCTGGATGCTGCGCCAGAAGAGCACGGACGACCTGCACAAGCTCTGGTTCGTGCTGCTCAAGGAGCACAACGCGCTGCTCACGGAGCTGCAGCAGTGCAATCGTAAATCTAGCAGGTGGTCGCTATAAATACAGCAAATCTCGCCTCATATTGCCAAAATCATTGCAAAGCACAATATTTTATTTTTCTGACAAAATGTGCGCAATACCGTAAATAATTGTGATGTGGATTCATGTGCATCTTGCTTATTTTTTCTTAAAGAAAACTGAAATGGAAAGCTTGACCGAGCTCCACTCGTGTCGGCATTGTCAGCACCAGCCTGGCAGTGCCAGTCTCGCATAAAGTAGTCTGCCCACCGGTGCCAACTGCATCCAATGATACGTACACTTCCGGCGAAAGCTACATGTACTGTGTTCAACCCGCATGAAAGAGAATATCTGGTGCTGTCCCGAGCGTCGGGACTCCCGAAGGGCGTGGCGCGAGGATGCAAGACACGCGCGCCGGCACTCGATATGTGCGGCTCCCACGGCCACTCGGTGATGACGCACAAAAGCGGGGATTTTACTTCCCAGAAGACTGACATATGGATCACTGAATTAAGATGGATATCAGCCAATCAGGGAACTTCAGCCGAGTCACCACTTCAACTTGCAGGGCGGCTTAGAGCATTAGACCATTGATCCAGCTTAACATCGACCTTACACCTTACACTCAACCGTTTCTATTTCCCCTTCCATAGGTATAAGGCTGGAGACGTTGGTTGATGTTGCTATAATGGCTCAGCGCTGCAAACAAGGACTTTTGAACTGGGTCGTGTGTTTCGGAAGATCGGTGATTGACTGTACGGCGCTTGTGCTTTGTAGACCTTTGTTTTTCTTCCTTTGTATGCGTCGCTCACCAACATTTGTGCGTTCGCCTTACGTTCCGTTGTTCTCCGTTATGGGGTTAAGCATGTAAGGTTGTCTTCGGAGCTCAATTCGCAGTTCAAAGAACTGTCTTTAGCACGGGTGTCATCGAACGACACTCTCGCCACTTACGCGCGATATAACCACTTCAACTTGCGCTTTTAATTACGGAAATAATGCATTACCGTACGAATGATATGGCAGTAGTGCTCGTGCTCGAGGTGTCCAGATTCTGAGCACACAACCCCATTATGATTTTCAGCGAGGCCTCAAAGCCTCGACGTCATGCTCTACTTGAAGCGCGTACAGGGCAATGCTGCGGCTGCGAAGCAGGCGCAGGAGGTGCTCGCGGGTCGTAAAAGAAGTACTTCCTAGCTCAAAGCACTAAACAAAACAAAACAAAAGTCGAAGTACACGTATTCCAAATTCCTCCTATCCCGGCTTTCAATGAGCCTTCGTTGAATGTCAAGTAGTCATAATTGCTGCCATAGCTGTAGTTTATAAACCCGCGTAGAATGGTTTTGGCGTGTGTATCTGTCTTGGCGGAACAACATATCGGCACCTTTTCGCTGCTAAGAACTGCGACCCCCCCCCCGGGACAACCAGTCCGGGTACCCCGAATCGATAAATGCTCGAAAAGCAGTAAGAGACCCTCTGTTTGTTACTTAAGTACCAACAACAGTACAGTTTCGTCGCTGCATGACGAGAGCTGAATAATTGCTCTGTCTTGCCTTGCACCAACCCATTTTTCATGTTGCAGCCCTTAAACTTGCAGGTGAAAAGTAAGGTATATTTTCCTCACCGAGTGCTATTGTGATTTGCAATGATTTTGGCAATATGAGGCGAGATTTGCTGTATTTATAGCGACCACCTGCTAGATTTACGATAAATCGAGGTGCATAAATGGGTGGAGGCCTAGAATTACGCTAGAAGCGCCACAATTGCACTTTTGAAAGTGCAATTGTGGCTGAGCAGCTGCAATTCTGTCGGTTTTTATCCACAAGCACCTACACACACGGCAATTATGCATGAGAGGGTGGATGTGCTGGGGATCGTGGACGGTGGTGTACTGGGCCAATGCATGGCTGCTGACAGGCCCTCCCAAGTCGATATATATATGAGGAGGTGGATTTATGCATAATTTTAGCAGGTCGTGCATCTTCTTTCACACATTTTAGGAGCAGGCTTTGCCATATTTAGCGTCTAAAATGGTCGGCAAAATAACTGCAAAGCACAATAATACTACAACAGATCGGCCTGCAGGCCGAGCGCAAATGGGACACCACCAGCTAAATGCATCAGGCCATCGGCGTTGACTTGACAGTTTTGCTTGGGGAGTACTCCGCATTCGCAAACTCGCCGCCAAGCCTCAACAACGACCATGGCCTCGAGGCCTGCGCACTTCTGGGACGAGTGGGAGCACAAGTACGCGCCCGTCGGCAATGACATCACGCTGCACTACATCGACGTCGGGCCTCGCGACGCCACGCCCGTCGTGCTGGTCCACGGCTGGCCGGACTTGTGGTTCGGGTGGCGCTACCAGATCCAGGCGCTGTCCAAGACGTACCGAGTGATTGCGCCGGACCTGCGTGGCTTTGGTCGCAGTTCGGCCCCAGCGACGGTGGAAGGCTACGGCACCAAGAAGGTGACGGGGGACCTCGCAGGGCTGCTGGACTTCCTGAATATCCCCCGTGCCGTGTTCGTCGGCCACGACTGGGGTGGCGCTATCATCTGGCGCCAGTGTTTGTTCTACCCGGAGCGCGTTATCGCGGCGTGCGGCATCTGCACGCCGTACTTCCCCCAGGGCAACGCCTGCGTGGACTACGACACGCTCATCCCTGCCATCCCGCAGTTCTCGTACATGAAGCTGCTGGGAGACTCGGAGAAGGCTGCCAAGTTGCTGGACAAGGACCCGCGTCGTATCTTCACGGCCATGTATCGCAAGTACGACGAAGTTGCAGACGACTTTGAGTTCTTGAAGATGGTGGAGATCGTCAATGACTCAGCGGACCCCGTGTACACGCAGCCTTCCGAGCTCTTGTCTGAGGCCGAGCTGGACTACTACGTTGCGGAATACTCGCGATCGGGCTTCTTCGGGTCGTGCAGCTACTACTCTCGACGACAACAAGACTTTGAGGATGAGAAGGACCTGCCCCGTGTGATCGAGCACGAGGCTCTTTACGTTGGTGCTGTGGACGACCCGATCCTCAAGCCGGAGCTGGCGGCAGGCTTGCCCCGTGTGATGCCCAACCTGAAGCAGGAGCTCGTGCATGGCGGAGGCCACTGGCTGCTGTGGGAGAAGAAAGACGAGGTCATCGATATCCTGCAACGCTGGCTGAAGCAGCTAGACGTGTCTGGCACTTCAACTGCTGCTGCTCTATAGATTGTCTTGAACGGGTAGAACAACTTTGGAGTAATAAACGAAATCCAAAGTTATGCTGGACGTTGCCTCATCATTGTACTACACTGTATACGTATGAAGCGAAGGTGCAGCAACGCTACAGTTCCTCAAAACGATGTCGTTTTGACAGCGCGAAAGCAAATTGAAAGGAATTATTGATATCAGAATCTAATTATCCACAATTGGTGTATATAGTACATTCCCAACGCTGCTTTGGCCGGTTGAACTCCAAGCGAAGATTGATGCTGAACACCGAACATCGCTACGAACCTAAAGTTTAGTGCTACCGGTTAGCAGCCAGTGGCGCTTTACATGGCGAAATGAGCTTGTTCCATGCAACCTTGCATGATACTCCGATGATTTTTTAAAAACGTGTACATTTACTTATCAATCAGCCTACTCAATCTAAGCCGCGCAGCTCACTCGAACCGAGTGCTCCGCTCTCGCTGCGCGGTTCTGTTTAGTTGCCGCCAACGAGCTGCTCGATGAACTCGTAGAAGGAGAACTCGGGGGCGCCGAGGCCGACGCTGTAGATGAAGCGGCTGGCGAGCTGCGACGCGAAGAAGGCGCGCGTGTAGCTCTCGGGCAGGCGCTTGAGCAGCACCTCCTTGGGGGTCTTGGCCAGCAGGATCTCCGGGAAGCCGTCGGCGAAGATCTTCTCGCGCAGGGCCTGGTTCTCCCACAGCGCTGAGTGCTGGATCTTGGCGCTCAGGTCCGTGATACGCTCGCTCAGCTGGTTCGTCAGCACCGAGTAGTACGTGCCCGAGCGCTCGTGCTCGCGCCAGATGCACTCGAACTCGCGCTGGGCGTTCAGGTCGATGCGCTTCTGCACCTCGCTCACGTAGTCGGCGTAGAAGGCCGGGCGCTTGCCCGTGGCCTCGTCCACCTGCATGTGCTCGGCGAACTCCTCGTCCGTCATGGACAGAGCGGCCAGCACCTCAAGCGACGACGAGGTCACACCGCCCTTGTTGGCCGAAGCGTCCTTGAAGAGGATCACACCGGCGTCCTCGAGACGCGTACGCGCGTCCTGCGTGAAGAACAGGTTGGCACCCTCCACGATGTACTTGAAGCGGAGCGTGCGGCCGTCCTCGCGGTACATGAACTGCTCGACGTTGTTGAGGTTGACGGCAGCGGGGCGGCCACCGCACGGCACGAAGAAGTCGGCCGTCAGGCTCGGGCGCAGGTGGAAGAAGTTGCGGAACTCCGTGCCGTTCTCGCCGTCAAGCAGCGACTCTGGGATCTAGTATTGCTTGCTTGAGAGAGTATCAATCCTCACCTAAACAAACATTCACGCGAAGCAAGCACCACGCAACTGCAGCAGCACGATTCCTACCGTCGGATCAGCTCACACATCGCCACTTGAAGGCGCCTCTGTATTCCTCTTTCCATAGCCTTCTCCCCTTCTCCTGTTCACCTACTTACTGCTGCTCCGCCGCCTTCTTGGCCTGGTTGGCCTTGTAGATCTGGCTGCGCTCGTGCAGCACGAGCTTGATGCGCGCCATGGACTTCTTCACCTTGGTCCGTCGCGCCGGGTTGGGCATGGACAGGTTCTTGGCGCGGCACTGCTGCAGCTCCGTGAGCAGCGCGTTGCGCTCCTTGAGCAACACGAACCAGAGCTTGTGCAGGTCGTCCGTGCTCTTCTGGCGCAGCATCCAGGCCTTCCACTCGCCGCCCACGACCACCTGCTTGGTGCCCACGCTGGCCGGCACCTGCGTGAGGCTGCTGGCCTTGGCGCCCTCGCCCGCGACCTTCTGCACCGGGAAGAACTCCTCCAGGCCGCGGCGGGCCGTCTGCCCCGCGTTCACGCGGAGGCCACCGAAGAGACGACGCAGCTGGAACGACATGCTTGGTGCTTGACTTGGACTCGATATGTGCGGCTCCCACGGCCACTCGGTGATGACGCACAAAAGCGGGGATTTTACTTCCCAGAAGACTGACATATGGATCACTGAATTAAGATGGATATCAGCCAATCAGGGAACTTCAGCCGAGTCACCACTTCAACTTGCAGGGCGGCTTAGAGCATTAGACCATTGATCCAGCTTAACATCGACCTTACACCTTACACTCAACCGTTTCTATTTCCCCTTCCATAGGTATAAGGCTGGAGACGTTGGTTGATGTTGCTATAATGGCTCAGCGCTGCAAACAAGGACTTTTGAACTGGGTCGTGTGTTTCGGAAGATCGGTGATTGACTGTACGGCGCTTGTGCTTTGTAGACCTTTGTTTTTCTTCCTTTGTATGCGCCGCTCACCAACATTTGTGCGTTCGCCTTACGTTCCGTTGTTCTCCGTTATGGGGTTAAGCATGTAAGGTTGTCTTCGGAGCTCAATTCGCAGTTCAAAGAACTGTCTTTAGCACGGGTGTCATCGAACGACACTCTCGCCACTTACGCGCGATATAACCACTTCAACTTGCGCTTTTAATTACGGAAATAATGCATTACCGTACGAATGATATGGCAGTAGTGCTCGTGCTCGAGGTGTCCAGATTCTGAGCACACAACCCCATTATGATTTTCAGCGAGGCCTCAAAGCCTCGACGTCATGCTCTACTTGAAGCGCGTACAGGGCAATGCTGCGGCTGCGAAGCAGGCGCAGGAGGTGCTCGCGGGTCGTAAAAGAAGTACTTCCTAGCTCAAAGCACTAAACAAAACAAAACAAATGTCGAAGTACACGTATTCCAAATTCCTCCTATCCCGGCTTTCAATGAGCCTTCGTTGAATGTCAAGTAGTCATAATTGCTGCCATAGCTGTAGTTTATAAACCCGCGTAGAATGGTTTTGGCGTGTGTATCTGTCTTGGCGGAACAACATATCGGCACCTTTTCGCTGCTAAGAACTGCGACCCCCCCCCCGGGACAACCAGTCCGGGTACCCCGAATCGATAAATGCTCGAAAAGCAGTAAGAGACCCTCTGTTTGTTACTTAAGTACCAACAACAGTACAGTTCCGTCGCTGCATGACGAGAGCTGAATAATTGCTCTGTTTTGCCTTGCACCAACCCATTTTTCATGTTGCAGCCCTTAAACTTGCAGGTGAAAAGTAAGGTCCGCGAAGAGTACTCAAAAGTAAGGATGACCCCTCATTTGATCTGCTAGTGATAGAGCAGCAAACATACAAACGCGTTTGCAAACAGCACTAACTGTAAGTAAGTGTGTTGTGAAAATCACTAACATGTTTGCGGAGTACACTACCAGGGAATAGATAGCCATCTAAACAGCAACAAATTCAAATTCAAATGACATATGATGGCAAACTTTCAAGCTCTGCTGGTTTTGATATTCCGTGTCTGAAAGTGGGTTTCTCTTGACTGGTTACTTCCGCGCCGAGATTTAAATTATCCTGAGAACATGTTGACATTGAAAGGAAGCAAGCGTACCATTCAGGATGATTTTATCACTGGAGTACGTGTTTTTTTTCCGAGTCAAAGTGAGTGTTGCTTACCGCCTCACTCGAATTAACACAAGCGCGAGCATCAGTATCGGACTGCAACGGTAGGGCGTGCGTTGGAGCTTGACGACCTTGAGCTGTTGTCTTGATGCTATTGCAGCAAATTTGTCGGTGGCGACAAGGAAGTATCCAGGCGTTGCACCGAAAGTACGTGCTACGGAACACCCGTTTTCAAACAAAAAGTATTTTCTCGTCTAATTTATCGTGACAATGCAGGTTGGTCATTGCTACATGATAAGTTAGCAGGTTTTCGTAGGAAACTTAGTATCTGTGGCCCAACACTTTCCGCGCAGGCCAGAATAAACTGTTCGTCGTTCGGCTAGCAAAATGGTTTGTATCTTACTAGTACGTATTTCCATATTATCAACTTGGTATTCCCGCGACACGTACAACATTCACCGCTCAACGCGCTTTTTTATACTGTACTAAAATGCGTTAGGTAAACTACGTTCACATGCGAGTTTCATGCAGTCGCTTCGAGATTCTCTCTGGGACTTCTCCATTGCAATGCGTGCTGCAGACTTAGCAACAACACATTCGAGTGTTAAGCTTAGCGCAATGCTTGGGCGTGCCGCCCGCGGCGCGATGATACAACCAATTCGGTGGAGACCTGGAGAAAAGCGAAGCTCGGTTCGATCTTCAATATCGAAGAAGGTCCACCCGATTAGCAAGATCTTCCAGCACAAGTTCCAGCAAGAAAGAGACTCCAGCACTACCCTCTTGCTACTGAATGGTATGCAGCCAGCACATCCAGGTGCTACATAATCGATATGACCTACGACATGAGGCTGCCAAGTATCTTTGCTACAGGTGCGGCCTGCAGCTTGTACTAAATAACTGCCAAGGTGTCCAAGCGCCAAAGCAACAAAATCTTGACACGGCAATAACGACAGCAGGGCACGCTACAAATAATGCTGCGGCCTACGGATGTAGCGAATCCAAGTATCGAGTGACCCTGGGTGTGAACGCGCAGATACCACTCGAGCGAATCTCATGAGGCACAGAGAGCGCACGAACCGGCATTTTGATTTAGTACTTGTAGGAGAGTGGCGAGAAGCGCAACAGGAGTCTTGAATGTCACCAGGAACCAAAGCACAACTGAGGCCTCGCAGGAGACGCACACCCTGCCGCACGTAATAACCACTCCAGCATCGACGCCATCGACGCTATCCGCGATCTGTTGCAATGGCCAGGGCGTGCTTTGCTGCACCTGGTTGTTGGAGTGGAGTCAGCGTCGTGGCATTGTGTAGCCATTTGCCAGCTCCGTTTTGCACCGGAATCCCCAGATTCAAGGTTCGTAACGTTCGGTCGCGGTCATGGGCGTCCGAACAAAAATGTCGGGAAAACTTTGCGGAGTCCATGCGTACTCTGGCTGATTCAGGAGATTCTGGCGCCGTCATGATACACCGACGCATGCCGGGCGACGACACCTCGTAGAGCTCCCAACGCCATTCCACCCAGCCTGTCACTGGCAGCACGCCAGCTTGCATTTCGGCGGTGTCTTCAAGCTCCCATCCGGACGCCAGCGTATGGGACTTTCATGGCCCGGCACTTGCTCGCGCTTGGCTGTCACTAATCGCACCTTGCGGTTGACTGTACCACACCTTCTACGAGCCCTGGGGAGAACCGGGCTCCTGGGCTCTTGGGTGAACCCAAAAAGTCGCGAGCTCGGGCTCCTGGGCTCTTGAGTTCAATAGGTTAAGGAAAGGAGCCCTCCAGAACTGTGAGCCCTCGCTAAGGCCCCCCCCCTCACCTGTGTTAAATATCTCACTGATGATTGGCCGTCATTCAAGTATCTCCAGGTTCTAACCTGAAAAGGCATAGGAAAGAGGGCTTCTCCTTGAGGGGAAGGAAGGACTATCGGCGACGCTGGGGTGGCCTCGGAGCGGCTGTACACATATGAGCGGCGCGAGATCTTCTAGTGCGGCGATCTTTGAGCTCGATCTTCTAGCGTGGCGCATCGATCACGCGAAGTTGCTCGCCTGAAGTCTAGGTAAAATTGGCCAATCAGATATTACTATGAAGAGCCCGTCATAGATTTGAAGCTAAATTTGGGGAGCCCTGGAGGGGAGCCAATGGGGAGCCCGAACCAGGGCTCCTTGATCTCGTACTTACCATGAGGGAGCCCATTTTGTGCGACTTTTGGCTCTCGTTTTAGGGGGAGCCCACTTTTGAAGTAGACGGGCTCGGGCTCGTAGAAGGTGTGGACTGTACTGTATTGCGCTGTGGAGAAGGCTCTTTGGGGGCTTCCTCCAATCCCTGCTGCGGCCGCCGCCTGCGTCACGGACCCGCCGGCAAACCCTGACGACGACGGCCAATGTGGGCACCCCGTACCACGCCCAGCCGCGTCACATACGTTCCACACTCCTCGGCGTGCGTGTTGTTCAAACGGATCTCCCAGCATGTGACGAGCGAGGGAGCCGGCCAAATCGTTGCGGTTGCCCCCTCCTTCAACCAGACATTTTCCCAAAGTGCAACCTCAAGTTTATCGTCCGCTGCAGATGGCAAGTCGATGCCGTGCTCAACTCATGTGTGCGTGGTGTCTCCGGCACCAGCGCAGATTCGAGGACGGCCAAAAATCTGCCAGCGGGGGCTCTATACTGTATTCAGCACCGGCAGATTCAGTATCAGATACGAACCGGTGGGTTTAACACACTTCAAATTCAAACTGCTGCCTCTTTTTCGCGCGTCGTGACGGTTGGCGCATCGTCCCGACATGTGACAGGCGATGCCGGCTATCCGGTGCTCTACCACATACAAACGCCAAGTCATTTGCACGGTTCGGGCGCGGTTTCTCTGGCGCACAAGTGCGTGTGCGCTTGCTTTAGCATTGGGCCCGCTGACGCCGCCGACGCGGTTGCTGTTGAAGCTCGGCCATTTGCTGCGCGTGCCAGCTGTCCTTTCGTGTGCAGCACAGCACCAGCATCGCCTGGTTTGTACGTGGCAGTTCGGGCAGAATGCGGCTCGAGCTCGAGTCTGCAAGCGTGCGTTTTGGCCCGATGCCCCCGATTTAGCTGCTGCTGCCGCCAGACCTGGCTGGCCGGCCGGCCACGCACGCAGCTCGATCTCATTCCGCTTTTTGCGTGCTCCGTGGCATTTCAAGTCAAGTTCATCGGCCGCAACCCCCCCCCTCCCTCCACAGCCATGAGCACCCAGGAAACGTCTCCGCGCTCGCAGATCCGCCACAGCCGCTCCATGGACATGGGCGTCGCCCGCAAGATCGACACCTCGAGCCAGATGGAGGAGGTCAAGGCGCTCATCCACTCGGCCAAGGTGTTCAACGAGGACACGGTGACCAACGAGGTCGAGTGGTTCTACGGCCCGCTGGGCATCCACGACTTCTACTTCGTGGGCCAGTCTCCGGTCGTGATCGCGCACCACATCCAGAGCCTCATCGCCGCCAAGCTCATGTCCAAGGCCTCCAACCGCCCCACGGACGTCAAGCTCGAGCAGGAGGGCGAGAACGGCGCCTTCTTCTCCGTGCTCAGCAACGTCGTGGGCAGCGCGAACGAGCCAAGCCGCCGCGCCGCTCGCTACGAGGCCGGCATCACCGAGACTGAGCTCCTCGAGCGCCGCCTCGAGAAGTACTATCTTAGTGGCTCCAGCGGCGTCATCGGTGATGGTGTTAAGGCCGGCTACCAGTACCTGGAGAAGGCCGAGGCCACCAAGAAGCGCACCTACCGCATGCAGTGCTACCGCTCCAACGGCGTGCTGGACCCCATCTCGGTGCCCTACCACGTACGCATGTACTTCCTGCAGGAGCCCGACTTCGTGGACCCCAACGTGAGCGAGACCGAGACCGACATCAACAAGGTGGCCGACAAGGTCTTCCTCGAGCGCTCGGGCCCGCGCCTTAAGGAGGTGTACCAGGAGTGCATCATCAAGGCCATGAACCAGATGACCCCCACCTTCCACACGGAGGCCTGGACCGAGTCCGACGGCTCCAAGATGGCGCGTGTGGCCATCGCTTACCGCAGCGGCTCCACGCACTCGTACTTCTCCAGTATCGCCGATGTGTACCGCCAGCACGGCCTCTTTTCGCAGCGCAAGTACGCCGAGTTCTTCGCCAACGGCATCGTCATCTACACCTTCTACCTGCAGATGCTGGACAACCCGACGGCCGGCAAGGGCTCGTTCGAGGACCGCCTCAACGCCGTCGTCAACGACGCCTCGATGCACTTCACGCTGCCCCGCACGTCGCTCACGCCCATGCTGACCGACGGTCTGCTGACCCCGCAGCAGATCGCGTACGCCTACGCCGCCTGGAAGTTCACCTTCCACTTCATGCACCGCCTGCCGGAGTCCTTCGCCATTGTCAGCAAGTCACTGCGTGACCGTGACCCGAACGCGTTCGCTCGCCTCGAGCAGCTCCGCTCCACCATGAAGCTCAACACGTACACGGAGTCGCAGATCCTGGACCACATTCTGAGCTCGGCCGAGATCGTCAAGATCCTGTACGCCGAGTTCCAGGCCCTGCACGAGCCGACCAAGGACGGCAAGCGCGCCGAGGTGGACACGAAGGCCACGCTGTCGACGCTGCGCAAGTCGATCGTGGCCGAGCAGGCCCTTCAGATCTTCTCGCTGTTCCACATCTTCAACAAGCACGTGCGGAAGACCAACTTCTTCGCCAACGACAAGGCCGCGCTCTCGTTCCGCCTTGACGGCAAGTTCCTGAGCAAGACCGAGTTCCCCGACGAGCCGTACGCCGTCATCTACGTCATCGGCTCGGAGTTCCGTGGTTTCCACGTCCGCTTCCTGGACGTGGCCCGCGGTGGCATCCGTATGATCCGCTCGTCGCACGCTCAGGTGTACCTGAACAACGCCTCGTCGCTCTTCGACGAGTGCTACGGCCTCGCCTCGACGCAGCACCGCAAGAACAAGGACATCCCCGAGGGTGGCTCCAAGGGCGTGGTGCTGCTCAACCAGGCTCACCAGGACAAGGCTGATGTCGCCTTCCGCAAGTACATCGACGCGGTGCTCGACCTGATGCTGATGAAGGAGCCCGAGGAGGACATTCTCTTCCTCGGCCCCGATGAGGGCACGGCCCACCTCATGGACTGGGCCAGCTCGCACGCCAAGCAGCGCGGCTACTCGTACTGGAAGGCCATCACCACGGGCAAGTCGGCCTCGCGCGGTGGCATCCCCCACGACGTGTACGGCATGACCACCCACAGTGTCCGCGAGTACGTGACGGGCATCCAGCGCAAGCTGCAGCTGCAGGCGCCGATCACCAAGGTGCAGACTGGCGGCCCCGACGGTGACCTCGGCAGCAACGAGATCCTCATGAGCCCGCAGGAGGAGACCATCGCCGTCGTCGACGGCTCCGGTGTGCTGTACGACCCCAAGGGCATCAACCGCGACAACCTGGTGAAGCTCGCCAAGGCCCGTAGCCCCATCTCGGGCTTCGACACGGCCAACCTCTCCTCGGAGGGCTACTCGGTGCTCGTCTCGCACAACGACGTCACTCTCCCGAGCGGTGAGGTGGTTGAGAACGGCACGGAGTTCCGTAACTTCTTCCACCTGCGCCCGAGCCTGACGGCCGACTTCTTCGTGCCGTGCGGTGGCCGCCCCGCTGCCGTCAACCTCAACAACGTCGAGCAGTTCATGTACCGCGAGGACGGCCGCACGCTCCGCTTCAAGTACATCGTGGAGGGTGCCAACCTGTTCTTCACGCAGGACGCGCGTACGCGTCTCGAGGACGCCGGTGTGATCCTCTTCAAGGACGCTTCGGCCAACAAGGGCGGTGTGACCTCGTCGTCGCTTGAGGTGCTGGCCGCTCTGTCCATGACGGACGAGGAGTTCGCCGAGCACATGCAGGTGGACGAGGCCACGGGCAAGCGCCCGGCCTTCTACGCCGACTACGTGAGCGAGGTGCAGAAGCGCATCGACCTGAACGCCCAGCGCGAGTTCGAGTGCATCTGGCGCGAGCACGAGCGCTCGGGCACGTACTACTCGGTGCTGACGAACCAGCTGAGCGAGCGTATCACGGACCTGAGCGCCAAGATCCAGCACTCAGCGCTGTGGGAGAACCAGGCCCTGCGCGAGAAGATCTTCGCCGACGGCTTCCCGGAGATCCTGCTGGCCAAGACCCCCAAGGAGGTGCTGCTCAAGCGCCTGCCCGAGAGCTACACGCGCGCCTTCTTCGCGTCGCAGCTCGCCAGCCGCTTCATCTACAGCGTCGGCCTCGGCGCCCCCGAGTTCTCCTTCTACGAGTTCATCGAGCAGCTCATTGGCGGCAACTAAACAGAACCGCGCAGCGAGAGCGGAGCACTCGGTTCGAGTGAGCTGCGCGGCTTAGATTGAGTAGGCTGATTGATAAGTAAATGTACACGTTTTTAAATGACTCGAGCTGCTGTGCAAGTGCTCACTTCAGTCTGTATCGACAACATTTTCCTTGTTGCAGAATTTTTCGGCTCAGTGCGGATGCATCCATCCGTCGAGAGTTGCGGCCTGGCTTTCGAGTTGACAAGTTGAAGTTGAAGTGGAATTGAATTGTTTTCGCGATGAGATTGAGTAGCATAGCATTGTTTTCTACGGTCGAATCCCTTGCTGTACTCGCAGTTCCTTAACAGAGAATTCGAGCTAAGTTACATGGGTCAACTTACACTTCACACGGAATTGCAGTAGCCACGTAGTTGCAAACTAGCCACGTGTGAGCGTGACGTGCCACGTCGTTAGAGATAGGATATTACTTTAGGCTGTAAAGCCATTTGCTGAATGGGCGTCTGTGCTTGAAGACACTTGGAAGTCTTTTACTTACCTCGACGGGGTAATTGCTACTGAACCACGGGAAAGCGTGAGTGACGGTGCGAACCAACGGAGACCGAAGCTCTCATTCTCCGATTCACCTCCTCGTCATCAACTTCTTCAACTACAATGGCCTGTAACACTACCTGCATCAGTAAGGCTGTCGAACGACCAGCTCCATCGCACTTCTGGGACGAGTGGGAGCACAAGTATGCGCCCGTCGGCAATGACATCACGCTGCACTACATCGACGTCGGGCCTCGCGACGCCACGCCCGTCGTGCTGGTCCACGGCTGGCCGGACTTGTGGTTCGGGTGGCGCTACCAGATCCAGGCGCTGTCCAAGACGTACCGAGTGATTGCGCCGGACCTGCGTGGCTTTGGTCGCAGTTCGGCCCCAGCGACGGTGGAGGGCTACGGCACCAAGAAAGTGACGGGGGATCTCGCAGGGCTGCTGGACTTCCTCAACATTCCCCGTGCCGTGTTCGTCGGCCACGACTGGGGCGCCGTCATCGTCTGGCGCCAGTGTTTGTTCTACCCGGAGCGCGTTATCGCCGTCTGCAGCGTTTGCACGCCGTATATGCCACCGTCCGACGTGTACATTGATACGGAGTCGCTAGTGCGTGCCATCCCGCAGTTCTCGTACATGGGTCTACTGAGTCAATCCGAAAAGGCTGCCGAATTACTCGATAATGCGCCTCGCCGTATGTTCACAGCCACATTCAGGCTCCACACCGACATTGACACTTCGCTGAGCTTTCTGGAGCTTCTCCACGGTGTTCCAGCCTCACCCAACCCGATCTTCACGAACCCGTCCAAGTTGCTCGAGCAAGATGAACTGGACTACTACGAGGCAGAGTACAAACGCTCAGGCTTCGCTGGCGGCTGCAACTACTACGCCGCGCGCAATATCGACTTCAACGACGAGCATGGCCTTCCTCGAACCATTACGCACAACGCTCTGTTGATCAGCCCCGCGGAGGATCGCGTACTAAAGCCCGAAATGGCGGCTGCTACGCGTAAATTGGTGCCGAACCTCCAGCAGAAAATCGTGACAGGAGCTGGCCACTGGGTCCTGTGGGAGCAGAAGGACGAGGTCACGCGGATTCTACACCAGTGGCTGGAAGAGGTAGACCATGACGCCGCAGCCGTTATGCCGTAGCTGTGGGCCGATTATCAGCTCGAGTTTACTCGTGCTAGCCAAAGAAACAAACTTTGATTTGTCGATACCCATGGATAACAACCTTTCCCAGTGCAGACATCCTCCGGACACGTAGCCGACAGCACTAATTGCGAAGCTTACAGCTTGCTGCGGTCAGCTCCTGGTGCCGGTAGCTTCGCGAGCCACGCTTTCAGAAGAGAGTTGACGCGCTCCTTCTGCTCCCACAGGACCCAGTGGCCGGCGTCATCCACCACGTGCGTCTCGAGGTTGGGCAGGAAGCGGTGCATTTTGCGAGCTAGCTCCGGCTTGAGCACGTGATCATTCGCCGCCGCGATGAACAGCGCGGGGTGCGTTATGATCGAGGACATGCCTTGCTCGTTCTTGAAGTCGATCTCACGGGTCGCGTAGTACTGGCACGTGCTCTGGAACTTCGAGTGCTTGTACTGATTCACGTAGAATTGCAGCTCCTCCTCCGACAGCATCGCCGAGCGCTGCGTGAAGATCGGGTCGGTGGAGCTCGGCACGCCGCGTAGCGTGCCAATGATCGGGGTCGTGTCATTCTCCAGGGTGGGGCTCATCTCCGAATGCTTGCGGAAGACTGCGGTGAGGAAGCGACGCGGAGCTGCGTCCAGCATCTTGCCCGTGTTCTCCGCGTCCGCCAGCAGCTTTTGGTACGCAAAGTACGGGACCTTGGCCACCACGACGTCCAGCGGCAGCAAGTGCTTGGCTGGCGGCGTGTACGCCGTGCAGACAGCGCCCACTGCGATCACGCGCTTCGGGTGGTAGAGACACATGCGCCAGACCTGAACACCAAACGATAGGAATACCGTTAGGAAAGAAATGAACATCCTCCACGGCATCTCGCTGCAGCTGGTACCAACCATTGATCCACCCCAGTCATGGCCGAGGAACACAGCCTTCTCGATGTTCAGTCCGTCTACGAGCCACCAATACAATTAGATATAGGCATTTACATTGCGCCACGTAGAATCACCTCACCAAGTAATGCGGCCAAGTCGTTGGTGACGTTCTTGGCGCCATAAGACTCGACGTTCTGCGGCGTGGAGCTCTGGCCGAAGCCCCGAAGGTCTACATAACATAAAAGTTGGTCATGCGTTGCAACAGCCACCATACACAAGTTGTGCGTACACACCGGGGACAATGAGGCGGTACGAGGACTGCAGTGCTTGAATTTGGTGCTGCCACAAGACCAGCCAGGGTTAGATACCCAAAGCAAGCGGGGGTAGAACGAGGTGGATTGGATACGCACCCGCCACCCGAACCAGAGGTCGGGCCAACCGTGCACCAGCACAACGGGCAACGCGTCACGAGGACCCACATCCACGTAGTGCAGAGTCACGCCTTGCGCCGTCCGCATGAAGGCGTGCGGCCATTGAGCTGCGAGCGACGCCATCCTTCTTGGAAGAAGCCGCAATGACCAAGAGGGCAGCTTTGACCTGCTTGAAGTGAAGGTTTACATCAACATCGCATCGTTGAAGTGCTACTCTATAGGTCTCGTTAAGCTAGTCTTTCTATCAATACGCTAAATCCGTTACAATCGGATTAATCGGGTTTATTCTTCTAAATAGTTCTTCGTCACCAAGGGCACGTACCCCCCCCCCGTTCATAACTGCTCCCGTACCCCCCGAGGTCTATTCTTGACGCGCTGAGCTGTGCAACCTACATGTTCCTGCATGGCGTCACGGGGATAAGAGCGGAAGACGCCATTGCCGTGCAGTAGCTACTGCCGCGGTCTGCTCAAATTTCGGTGCAGCAGGTTCAGGATTGCGTCACACTCGCTTGGGAGCTGGCGGGGCGGCACTACCTCCTTCTGTCAACCAACTTGTATGGCTGGACCGCGGCTCGCCAAGCCTGCGTCGACTTCGACACGCGCCGACGACCGTCAGCAGCAACAGGCAGAGGAGAACATGTCCAGGCCCCAAGAGCGCGCGGGAGGTGAGTGCATATCGGATACGTGCGTGGGCGTGGAAGGCCCGCGGTCGTCGCGTTGATGCTTTGCTCTGTCGACCCCTTTTGACTGACTCGTAGCTCTTGGCCTCGTGTTGTCGTCGCTTGGGCTGGTCTCACTTAGTTCACATGCGGATCCCGTTCCCGAGCAGAGCCAAGAAGGTCGCGGGCTCCGTGACCGACAGCCTCGACCACCCGGCGCCCACCGCCAAGCCCCCGCCAATTGGGGGCAAGTTCCTGGGTCGACAGGCCAGTCGGACGGTGGCGTCGGAGTCCTCGAGCTCGAGCTCGCGCACGACATCGGCCTTGGCGTCCTTGACGCGCTTTCATTCGCGTCCCACCAGCCACTCGACAGCCAGTAGCGGCTCCGTCCGCGAGAGGAACAACGACGAGCTGGACGTCGCGAACAACTTGTCGTCGAATCTGCCGTCCATCGGCAGCAGCGAACTGCCGAGACTCGCGCCCAATGTCGGCCCGTCGACGAGCAACATGACCACTAGCAATATTGTCGCGTCGCAGGCGACTTCCTCGACACCGACGATCTCGTACCCGGCGCGCGTAAGCAGCAGCGGGAGGACGTCGCCTAGGAACGACCTGGCCAGGAAGAAACCTCCGCGGGGGCTTGTGGGACTGCAGAACCTCGGCAACACTTGGTAAGTTCAGGCGACGCAGTGGACTGTGGACTTGTGCTAAGACGCTAACTCTGTGTATTGGTGTTTGTGTGGGGCTTGGCAGCTTCATGAATAGTTGTCTGCAGTGCGTGAGCAACCTCCCTGCGATTGTCCGGTATTTCCACCCGGGTCTCTTTGCGCGTGAGATTAACGAGTCGAGTCCAACGAAGGGGGCGCTTGCGAACGCGTTTGGAGACCTTATCAAGGCTCTGTGGACTGGGGACAAATTCACCGCCACTCGACCAGTCGAGCTGAAGCGGGTGATCGGCAAGGTGGCGTCTCGCTTCACGGGCTACGACCAACAAGACGCGCAGGAATTCTTACGCTTCTTGCTCGACGGCCTGCACGAGGATCTCAACCGCGTGAAGAAGAAGCCGGCGTACTACGAGATCAAAGACCGCCCCGACGCCAAAGACCGCGACGTCTCCGACGAGTACTGGAAGTTTTACCTGGAGCGGAATGCCAGCGCACTGTCAGAGCTTTTCTGCGGCCAATTACGGTCCGAAATCCGCTGCGAGACTTGTAATCACCGATCTCTGTGCTTCGACGTGTTCTGGGATCTGTCGCTGCCCGTACCCAAGAAATCCAGCAAGAGCAGCGCCTCAAGTCACCTGCGGATCTCCAGCAGCTTCTTCTCAGGCGGTAGAACCACCTCAGCATCAACTGACTCATCAAGCAGCAGCTCAAGTCCCGGTGCCGGAGGTATGTCGATCCACGACTGTCTCAAGGCTTACACGGAGCAGGAGTTCCTCAGCGACGACGCTGCGTACTACTGCTCCAAGTGCAAAACGCATCGGTCCGCTGCCAAGAAGATTTCGGTCTATCGGCTACCAAACGTTTTGGTCTTGCACCTCAAGCGCTTCTCCTTCTCAACGTTCAGTCGAGACAAGGTGAGCACGAGCATCAGCTTCCCTGCGCAGAGTCTCGACTTGGCGGAGTACTGCTCCAGCGATGCAGTCGTCGACGGCAGCACGCTTTACGATCTTACGGGTATCGTACATCACATGGGCTCGCTGAACGGCGGCCACTACACGGCCGAGTGCTTGAACGCGGACATGCAGGAGTGGTTCGACTTCAACGACTCGTCCGTCACGGCCATCAAGAAGCCGGAGCTGTATAGTTCGAGCGCCTACATGCTCTTCTACCAGCGGCGAGAAGAGAAGTCGCTCACAATTTGAAAGCAAAGTCAGTCGGAAGACACCCAACTCGAACTAACGCGAGACACTACTGTAGAGCTTACACGGTCGAGCGTCTATTAATCCCTAAATGCAGCTTGTTTTGAAGAGTTCTTTGGCGATGGAGGAGGAGGAGAAAGAACGTCGTGGATTGCAGCAAAACTTGTCGAAAACCAGGGTTTCTTCCGTCGAGGGCGATCGAACAGCAAAAATCGCGTACTTATTATGCTGAAGCTCCATGAGAGAAGTCATAAACAAAAAAACAGGTGGTGAGTCCGGTGGTCCGGCTCACTGTGGCTCACGCAAAGTTGCCGTGACTTGATCAAAGCGAGTCCCAGGTCTCGGCTTTCTCCTCATTGTAGGTATAACGTCGGACACCTCGAAAATGGGTAGGAATTTGTTGCCGCACTCTTAAACGTTAAGCAATGTCACCTCCTGCAGGTATGCACCCACCCAGGCGACAGTCGCGCTGAGAGAACCGGAGAACTTTGCACACCATCTGAAGTTTGAGCGCTGTGGACGCAATCTTTTAACGTGCAAATGGTTGGCGTCCTGGCAACGTGATCCCGACGACAGCTCGACTCAAATCCTGGGAGTCACCATTGCCCTAGCTCTCTTTCGGCCAGGGGCACAAGGTGGGTCTTCCTCTACATGTACGGGTGCAATGTATCCTGCCGCCCCCGCCTCAGAAGCCAGCGTGCTCGGCTGAAGCAGCTCTCATTCTCGAATCCGCCTTCGACGCCTCCAGTCTCTGTTTTCAAGATGTCTCGCACTCTTTCACTCGCCCTTGTTGCGACTACTGCTGCCGTCGTGAGCGCTCGTCCGGCGTACGTCGCCCTGCTCCCCAACGGCGACAAGGTCCCGGGCGTGGAGGCTCTGGGCCACGTCAACCCGTCGGGCGGAGGCCCCAACAACGACTTCGGCCTGGACTTCGCCAGCGCCGGCAAGTCGTGGACCAAGGAGTTCTGCGAGAAGGACTCGGACGGCGACGGACAGACCAACGGCCAGGAGCTGGGCGACCCGTGCTGCGAGTGGGCCGAGAGCTCGAACGCCGTCGTCAAGTGGACGGATGGCGTCTCTCACCCTGGCAACGCCACATCCAAGTCGGACCCCTCGCTGTGGGCCGACATCTCGTGCAGTGGTGCGGGCTCGGGCTCTTCGGCTTCGAACGCGACGGTAACGATCTCGACCACCGCGAGCCCCTCGACGGGATCCAGCGTGGAGGCTGGCTCGACCACCGGTGCCGCGGATGCTGCGGCCAGCGCGTCGGCGGCTTCCTCGTCGTCTAGCGCGGCCTCGGTTGACACTCCGGCCATGTACTCGGCTGCCGCTGTCCTCGCGGCTGTTGCGGCCTTCTTCGTGTAGACTCTCTAAGTAACAAGGTCATTTCCACTTGAGCTCTTGTCGTGGTTTTCAGGTTTGCCTTGTCTAGACTTCAAACGAGAGCCCCCAGCACGAACACCGATCTTCTGATGGCCAGCTTCTTCGACCTGGGCCCGCAAACAATTCGCTCTAACCTGAGTCGAGTAGGAAGCTCGTGGACTTCGGCAGAACGGAAGCAAGGAGCGGCTAGCCGTTTATGCGTCAGACACAAAGCCCGCAGCGCTGTCCCCTATGGCGACTGAAATGATCATGTGTTGAATGCGAACAGCAAACGAGTAAACCGTTACCATAGGTAAATCCACCACGGCAGGACCACCGGGATGGGAGTTCGGTGGTAATCCGAATGCTGTGTGACTTGCATGAATCCATAACCTCCGCCGAATTCTCCGCCCAGTGGCCACGATCAAGAAGGCGCAGTGTTGGACACTGCAGCGCAAGTGTATTCGCCACGACTGCGCCTTCATCCATGGCAGCGTTTACGAGACTCGTGAACCGACAGCGACGGCTGCAGGCCCAGCTGGAGGCACACCATCCGAAAAGCCAAGCGACTGACTCTCCGGACAACATCAATGATTGCCAGGATGCCTCGCTGTGTACACCGTGATTAAAGCGCGACGCCGCGACACAAATCTTCACGCTGCTGGTGTCCATTCTTCCGCGGATAACGTGCCTGTTTCCATCCGGCCGCTCGGCCTTCCGCAGTCCGCAGTCCTCATTCTCGAAAACTCCGTCAAGCGCGCACCCTCCTCCTCTTCTCCACGCTCTCAACGTCTTCGATGTCGCGCGCTACGCTCTCCCTCGCTCTTGTCGCGACTGCCGCTGCCGTCGTGAGCGCTCGCCCCACGTACGTCGCGCGCCTGCCCAACGGCGACAACGTGTCCGGCGTGGCGGCTTTGGGTCACGTGGACCCGGCTGGCGGCGGCGAAAACAACGACTTCGGCCTGGACTTCGCCAGCGCCGGCGAGTCCTGGACGACCGAGTTCTGCCAGAAGGACTCGGACGGCGACGGACAGACCAACGGCCAGGAGCTCGGCGACCCGTGCTGCGAGTGGGTGCAGGACTCGAACGCCGAGGTGCGCTGGAGCGACGGCGTCTCGCACCCGGGCGACGCGTCCTCCACGTCGGACGAATCGCTGTGGGCCGACATCACGTGCGGCTCCTCCACCTCCAACTCGACGACGGCGAGCTCGACCGCGGGCTCCAGCGCCAGCACCGTCGAGGCCGGCTCCACCACCACCTCGGAGACGGACGCCGCTACGTCCGCCTCGGCTGCCTCCAGCGACGCGGCTGCTTCATCTTCGAGCGCCGCTTCGGCTGCCTCCAGCGACGCGGCTGCTTCATCTTCGAGCGCCGCTTCGGCTGTGACGCCTGCCGTCTACTCGGTCGTGGGCGCTGCCGCTGCTATCGCCACTTTCTTCCTCTAGACCCGTTAAAGCAAGAACGTCATCACACTAAACCATTTTCCAGTCTCGGCCAGCTTTGCTTCACTCTAGCTACTATCGTGACTTTTTTTTTAATCTTCCTGGACGATTAAAGAGGGGACTCCAGCTGCCGTTGCACTATACGCACGCGCTCAAGCTCGATAGCCCACTCAATTCGCTCAGCACACTGGAGAGCGACATGGTGAGCATGTGCTGCTCGGAGATCATCTTCTTGAGCCCCTTGTTGCGCAGCTGGGCTCGCTCCCGCTCCTTGCTCTGTCTCGAGGCGATGCCCTTCCACGCAGACAACGACGAGTCGGTGGTGGGGCTGGTCTTGCGACTTTGCGCTTGGATCGCCAGAGTACGATTCGACTGCTGCAGCGCCTCCAGCTCCTCCTCGAGACTCGCGATTTCGCGGCGCAGGAGCTCGATCTTCGCCTTGTTCCGTAGCCGCGGAGTTGCTGGTCGCTTTCTCACCCTTGGCTTTGTTTTTTTTTTGTTCGAGTCATGTTTGCTCTGAGGAGGCTTCGTCTTGCGATCATGCGCTGCCGGCTCGCTCTGTACTAGGGGCACTGGCCAGGTTCCTTCGTTGGAGTCGAGCAGATTGAGGACATCAGGCGCAAAGGCAAAGGCCCGCGCGGCGCTCTCTTCTAAGAGGAAGCTCATGTCTCCCCGATGCGCTTTGCAGCTTTGGGGTGAATCGAGGAATGAGGCTTTCTGGGCAAAAGGAAGGCCATCTGACTGTGCGTGCGGTGCCGCCGACAAGGGTGATGATATCTATTTGAAGTGGCTGCAGCTGAGATCTGCGTTCGTGCGTTGCTCATGAGGTGAAATCCAATTGCAACTGAGCTGGAAAACTAGCACTGAACCTGCAAATGCAGAGTGCTTCGTCACTTTTTGCACCGAGCTTCGTGCATACTTGAGTTCGTGTTGGCACTGGAAGCTCCAGCAGCGGAGATCCCTTAATGTGCTGCTCGAGACGCAGACTCTTCGATTACAAAGATGCTACGGCATACTGTAGGCTATGTGGCAAACTTCGCGCGATTCCGACATAGGCAACCGCGATACACTGCTCGACATACCTCGGAAGCGAGCTATGCAAGTCCACGCGAGCCGAATGGGCCCAATGCCATTGGTAGTGGCGGCTGCGACTTCAAGGTGTCCATCGATCGCCAGCGTTATTTACGTGCGGCTTTCCGTTGTCTTCAACGTATGATCATCGATGATGACCTCGCTGACGCAAATTTGCACTTATTCTCGACGTGTCAGCGCTCAAAGCGGCGATTTGCTGTAGAGAAGATATGAATGATATCGCGCAATCTCGAGCATGGTCCATTCCTCAATTTGCCTCGAGCAGCATGGGTCTCCCATTTCAAGTAGAACAGGCAGACGAGCAGTTCCTGGAGGACGTTCTCGCCCTGCTCGACGTCGAGGAAGACATGGCTGCACCACAGCACTCACCGCAGCCAACACTGAAACGTCTACGTCCTCGCGCCAACAGCGACACAGCGGTCAAGCCCAAGAGGGTCCGGAAGGACACGACCCAACGCGTGCGGAACAAAGCCAAGATCGAGCTTCTCCGCCACGAGATCAAGGGGCTGGAGGCGGTGCTCGCGAGCCTGCAGAACTCGAAGCGAAGGGTGGATTGGCACCGAACAGACTCCATGTGGAAGATCATCGCAGCCAGGCAGAGCTACGAGAGAGAACGTGCCGAGCACCGCAACTTGGGACTCAAGAGAATGCTCTCCCAGCAGTGCGCGTTAACTAGGGCCCTCTCCAGCGTGCTCACCCAGTGGGATAACCTGCCTATTCCAGACATTGGTTTTAGTACGTGCATGTAGCTCGTTGTTGCCCATGGGTCTAGTTATCCTTGTAAAAATAAAGGTCGTGCTTGGACATTTATCGTTCCTTCTTCATCTTGCTACTGGAGTAAGACGTCTCTGGTGAGGACAAGCGCACCACCGTGCATTGACAGCAGACCTCTGTCATCTCTCGGTCTGCTTGTTGACGAGATTACATTGAAGTTGAAGAGTTGGGCAATGAATGCCACGAGCAACAGGACGAATCAAGTCCGAGCATCAACTTGATGACCAGGATTGCATATTCCTTTTTTTCTCGAGTTGTCTTACATTTAGCCTCATCTCAAAATCAAGCTTATTGGTTTGCAGTTCATCGGTGTTGTATCTAAAGGCTTGCGGGTCTATGGGCAGCGTATTACTGTAGCCAGAGCTTGAGGCGGTAGGCGTCGCCCCCGTTTAAATAGTACTTGACCAAGCGCTCGTCGCGCACGAAGCCCAGGTTCTCGTACAGGCGGATGGCGCCCTTGTTGGCGATCTCCGTCTCCAGCATCACCTCCTCGCAGCCGTCGTCGCGCATGCGCTCGATGGCCTTCTGCGCCAGCTGCGAGCCGATGCCGCGGTGGCGGAACTGTTTCTCCACGGCCAGCATGGCGATGTACCCCCTCCAGCGGCGCTTGGGGTCCCCCTGGGCGTGGAGACCGTCGTCCCCCGTCTCCTCGGGCGTGGCGCCGAGCGGTTCCTGGCGGCAGATGATGACGCCCACGAGCTTGTGCTGCACGCGCGCGAGGATGCTCAGCTGCGGCCAGTTGTACAGGAAGTAGCGGTACGTGAAGATGGAGTACGGCTCTGACAGGTCCTTGTCGATGAGCTTCACCAGCTCCGCGAGCTGCTTCTCGCCCTGGTACGTCGAGAAGACCACGGCATCGGCGTCGGCCGGCGCGGAGGCGGCGGAGCTCTTGGACTTGGCCATGGGGAGCTATAGATTTGCGAGCGGCACGATCTTTGACTTGGTCTTAGTATGGGGTACACTTTGGGGTTACACGGAATTACCGGTATACCGATCGAGACCGGTTATATTACTAAGTACGATTTCATGTACGCCAGGAGGCAATTGTCGGGACGTGCACCTTGTTACGACCCATGCTGCTCTGGTTGTCGTGTCCTTTAGGGTGTACAGTACCAGTGTCGGACCTCAGATAGGCAGACTTTCTCATGAGCCAACTGGACTGGCTATCGCTACATATTAGAAGGCTCCCAAGGGTGTTCAATGCAAGGCAAACACAATCAGAGGCGTCATTGCAAGCGCAGCTCGGCGCATCAAGCCCATCTTCAGCTTTCAGCATTCGCTTGCAGCGCCATACCACTAACGCTTCGTTTAACAGCAGCTCTTTGCAGCGAGACACCGACAGCCAGCCGTTCTTCCTGTCTCGAGGCTGGCATGTGGCCAGGCGCTTACACACTGTAGCTGTCAATGCATCCTGCCGTCTCATTTGCTCGACGCCTATCAACCACCGCCAGCGCCAACACCAAACCGCTCTTGTTTCGACGCACAGCACACAGATAAACCAGCCACCCGCTGGCAGATGCCGCAGACTCGAGTCGGCACGAGCGAAAGTGGCGATTCCATCCTCTGACCCTTTGCCAATCGTTTGGCCAAAATGCGCAGGCGCCCGCTTCAACTTGCGCACTTAAGACGCACTTAATACGAACGTAGTGCTCGCGCGCCAAACTACTGGTCAGCAGAGCTCCGAGGCTCCCACCAGCCAGGCCTGTTTCCCCCCTAATCGCGCAACACGCTCATACTGGGGCTGCTACTGGTTGCTGCTTGGCGACCGCACTCGGTTGGCTCTTAGCGCTCGCTTCTAGCGCGATCCCCCCGCAATGATATCGACGTCATTTTCCAACTCGGAAACCCGCGGGCAAGTCACTTCCTCCTCTCGCCTTCCCAGACACCAGTCACTATGGCCCCGAAGCGTCGTTCGCGTAAGACCACCAAGGACGTGTACGCCGGTGTTGCCCCGGAGGAGCGCGCCAAGCTCGGCGCGGAGGCCAAGGAGCGCGGTAACGCCGCCTTTGCCTCGGGCGACCACGCCACGGCCATCAAGGAGTTCACGACGGCCATCGCCTACGAGCCCACGAACGTCATCTATTACTCGAACCGTTCGGCCGCCTACCTGTCGGCTGGCCAGGCGACCCCCGCCATGCAGGACGCGAAGACGTGCATTGACATTGACGCCAAGTTCGCCAAGGGTTACGCTCGTCTCGGTGCCGCCCACTTCTACATCAAGAACTACGCCAAGGCCATCACTGCGTACACCCAGGGTCTGACCGTGGAGAAGGGCAACAAGGCCCTGCAGGCCGGCCTCACTCAGGCCCAGGCCGCCCAGCAGGTGCAGGACGAGGAGATCAGCGGCGTCGAGATGGACGAGGCCACGCGCAAGATGAAGCGCATGGAGATCGAGGAGAAGATCAACAAGGCCCGCAAGGAGCGCGAGGAGCGCGCCAAACGCGCCGAGAAGGGCTTCTCGGAGGTCATCGGCATTGACCTGGGCACGACCTACTCGTGCGTGGGCGTCTGGAAGGACGGCCAGGTCGAGATCATCGCCAACAGCGAGGGTAACCGCACCACGCCCTCGTGGGTCGCCTTCAACGAGAGCGAGCGTCTCATCGGTGAGGCCGCCAAGATCCAGGCCGCCGGTAACGCCACCAACACGGTGTTCGACGCCAAGCGTATCATCGGCCGCAGCTTCAGCGACGAGGTCGTCAAGAAGGACGCCACGCACTTCCCTTTCACGATCAAGGAAGGCGACGACGACAAGGTCCTCATCGAGGTCGAGTTCAAGGGCGAGAACAAGAGCTTCACCCCCGAGGAGATCTCGTCCATGGTGCTGCTGCGCATGAAGGAGACCGCCGAGGCCTTCCTGGGCCAGAGCATCAGCCAGGCTGTGGTCACTGTGCCCGCCTACTTCAACGACCAGCAGCGTCAGTCGACCAAGGACGCCGGTTCGATCGCTGGCCTGGACGTCAAGCGTATCATCAACGAGCCCACGGCCGCTGCCCTCGCCTACGGCCTGGACACGAACGCCGGCACGGACGGCAAGGCCTGCAACGTGCTCATCTTCGACCTGGGTGGCGGTACCTTCGATGTGTCGATCCTGTCGATCGAGAACGGCATCTTCGAGGTCAAGTCCACGGGCGGTGACACGCACCTGGGTGGCGAGGACTTCGACAACAACATGGTGGAGCACTTGCTGACGGAGTTCAAGCGCAAGAACCGCAACCTGGACCCGTCTGGCTCGGCCCGCGCCATGCGCCGTCTGCGCACGGCCTGTGAGTCGGCCAAGCGCATGCTGTCGACCACGACGAGCGCCTCGGTGGAGGTGGACTCGCTCTTCGAGGGCGTTGACTTCTCGTCGACCGTGACCCGTGCCAAGTTCGAGTCGCTCAACGAGGAGCTGTTCAAGCGCTGCGAGGAGACCGTCCTGAAGGTGCTCGAGGACGCCAAGATGAAGCCCGAGGATGTGACGGAGCTGGTGCTGGTGGGCGGCTCCACGCGTATCCCCAAGGTGCAGACCATGCTGTCGACGCTGTTCGGCGGCAAGGAGCTGTCCAAGTCGATCAACCCGGACGAGGCCGTCGCCTACGGTGCCGCCGTGCAGGGCGCCATCCTGGACGGCATCCGCAACGACGCCACCAACTCGCTGCTGCTGGTGGACGTGACCCCGCTGTCGCTCGGCATTGAGACCGTGGGCAAGGTCATGTCGGTGCTCATCAAGCGTAACACGGCCATCCCCGTGCGCAAGACGCGCGTGTACACCACGGAGGAGGACTACCAGACGTCCGTGGACGTGTGCATCTACGAGGGCGAGCGCGCTTGCGTGGAGTCCAACAACAAGCTGGGCGAGTTCAACATCTCGGGCCTGGAGCGCGCCAAGCGCGGCGAGCCGCAGGTCGAGGTGACGTTCGAGATCGACGCCAACGGCATCCTGAACGTGTCCGCCCGCGACAAGAAGACGGGCGCCAAGGCCGAGACCACCATCTCCAACAACCGCGGCCGTCTGAGCCAGGAGGACATCGACCGCATGGTCGCCGAGGCCGACAAGTTCAAGAAGGACGACGCCGAGATGCTGCGCCGCATTGAGGCCCGCAACGACCTGGAGCAGTTCATCTACCGCGCCATCGAGATGGCCCGCGAGAAGGGCGACACCAACGTCGAGAGCGCCATCCGCGACGCCCGCGACTGGCTCGAGGACCACGAGGAGGCCACGCTCCGCGAGCTCGAGGACAAGAAGCGCATGCTCGAGCGCATGGTGCGCTTCTAAGCGCGCGGTAGCTTGTTACTTTAGCTTTTAGTCAGCGTACAGATGAAAAATCAACAAAGCTTGCTATTCATTTACTACTAGATGTAGAACGTTCGTCTTCTTTGAGTTAAGTGGCTGTTGTTTGATGTGGAAGGCGAGTTCTCTGTTGTCATACACGACTTTTTTCATTGACCGTGCAGCTTCTTGAGCTTCGTGGCGCTCGCCATCTCGAACGAATGATACGTACGAAGAGAGAGAGAGAGCATCAGAGAACTTGAGTTCACGAGCTCTGTTGCACAAGTACCATTCGCCTTAGTGCACATGTACTCTACAAAAAGCAACAGTCTTCCGAGGCTACAAGCAATGCAAGCTATACAGCAGCACATGAAACTTGGCGAATACAGTGTGAAGAGCATCATTTCGAGCCGACGAGATCTATTACACGGTGACATCCCACCGCCAGCAATACACGCACGCAGCTTCGACAACATGCAGTGGCCCCCAACGCATCACAAGCTGTACAGAAGCTCCGCTCCTATTCAATGCATGCGAAACAAACCGCCTTGAGCACGTCATGCACACCACGATCGTGGCGTCCGTGGCCTTGCAGTCCGTCCTGGTCCTCGGTCGGAGCTAGCGGGTTTGAGCAGGAGCGTTAGTGGACCGGCGACGCACTTGCACAGCTCGGCTCCGTGTCGAGGTCGAAGCACATGGGCGTGATACCGACGAACGGGATAAGCAGGAACAGCAGCAGCATGATGGCGTCCTTGGTCTTCTTCTCGAGCTTCTTGGCATTATCATGTCGGCCACTAGCACGAAGTGCCACAGCCGTGGCACTCTGCAGATACCTGCGGCTCAGTCTCGCGAGCGCGGCTAAGACGCCGAGCACTATAGTCAGCAACATGGCAGCGTCCAGCCTTGGCAGCCTGCATCTTCATTCAGCATCTGAACACCACAAAACACCAACATTGCATGCATTAGTGAGTCAATCGTCCAGGTGCGAGACGCATGCAGCGCTTCGTACCTGCAAATAGCGAGCGAGGCAGCATCACGCCGCTGCTGCTACCACGTGCGAGTCCGCCATGTGCTCCGACGGCTTGCACGCTGTTCGAATCGCGAGTCCTGCGCTGGGCGGGTCTTGCTTGGGCTGGAGAGTGGTGAGTCACCGCGAATTTCAGAATGAGTTCGACCAGCTCGGTCCCGGAGGCGCATGCGCTCCCGTTGGCGAGCCCACCCCCGCCAACCATTTTGGTTGCCCATGCAGCAACAGCGAGTGAAGGCGTCGCTGGTTCAACGCTGCCCTCCGTCAGTATCAGACCACGCCACGGACGTTGCTCCAGCGACCAATACTCGCTCGGCCTTAAAGCACTGGGCACCTTGAGCGACTCAGACGTGCCCTTGAAGCTTGTGAAGATATTGTCGTCATGGTCCCAGCGAGCCCCACACGTACTACTACGAAAATCCAAGGACAAGTAGGTCCGCAGAGGCGATATCGTAGCGCAACGCAATGAATCCAAGCAGCCTTACCTTCATTGCATCTAGATCTCCAACTTGGGCGCACGACGAAAACCTGGAGCGAGCTTGATCCATTGAACTCAGACGCGACGCCAGCGCCAAGCAGAGCCATCGAACGCGCAGAAATCAGCGATCACCACGCCGCGATGACGATCACTTGCACCATCATTGAGGTCAGCACAAACGCCAACTAGCCGTATGATGTGTGTTGTGTGCGTGTTAATTTAAGGAAAGTCGGCGGCACGTAGATGAAGAAATGCAGCGTCTAGCTCGGCTCGAAGCCGCGCAAGCTCTTGGCCACGGCCATAATTCTCGCTTGGATTTGTGATCTTGGTATTGTTCAGCTCGAAAGTATATTCTAGCCTCAAGAATATAGTGATGTACGTCACGCAACTACGTATTGAGCTTAAACCAGCTGCGACTACAACCCAAGTCGTTTCTTGGTTTTCCGAATCCAAGCCCAGTGACAGAGCCGCTGCCAAAGTGTAAGGTCCGCCAGTGCTGTTAGGACATCACGCTCCGTCAGTACAGCGCCAAACAACATTAAAAAGTATGCAAAGTTGCTGGTCTTACCGTATAGGTAGCACCTCGACTCAATCATGTTCAAGCGGTACTGGCGCACGATATGGTCTGGCACCTGCAAGAGGACAAGCGCTCCAATGCCGCCGCATTCATCCGGCCCCGGGAAGTCAAAGTCCTTCAAACGTCGCTCTGGGCTCATTCTGTTGGCGTCATTCATCGTCTCCTTGATTCCGTCCGGGATGTCGCACTTCCGCATTTCGAGGTAGTCGAGGTCTTGGTGGTGCAGCCACTTGCCGTTCCACTTCGCCAGGAAAAGGGTCAGGTCATCGGCAGTACAATTGGGCCAATGACGATTCCTTACTATGAAATCAGTGAGGTATTCTCGAACCGTCATTTCATCGTCAAACTTGCTGAAGAATCCCACGCCAGTTCCCACAATCGAGCCGAAAACTTCCCCCATGATGAGTGTACAGTACAATATAGTAGTGCGTGTGTTCGGAGTGCGGTCGAGTGCTTCGGAGGCTTTTAAAAAATGAACTAACTACAACTACAATGAAGCGCTTCGATTAAGACATCAGCAATTCTGACACGGGGCTAGCAACTTACCATTTGCATTGAGCCCACTCGTCACTCGCATAGTGGTCGTGTACATCCATCACCTGACCTATGTGGGGTGCTTGGACGGCTTGCATGTAATCGTTTTAGGCACCAGAGACCTTCGCCATCGAATACGCGTTATGTGAGACGGATTTTGAGATGCGTTCGGTCGAAGCGCATTTCTGCCGGGCATCCGATTCATGCTTCAAATGTCTTAGCATGATACTTTTGGTGCTGGCACGCCTAATGAAAACAGTTGTCACAGCCTTGGTGAAATGAGCAAAACTTCATCCTTTTCACGCTAGTTTTTAATCCGCAACCGTACCCGAACAATATCTGATCAATACATGATGGTACGAAGTACACTTTCAATATGTTTCTTCTCGTTTGTGATATTTTCTCCAAGAACTTCACTCCTGCGCGTTTTTTCCCATGAAGAAGCCGCTTAATCTTCGGCTAATCTGTGCATACTGTGAATAAATTTGAAAAAAGCCAACACTGATGGTCGGGCCCGGGTGCTATCGATATCGTAAGACCCACCAGCTCGCTTTTCGAATGTGTTATGTGTGGTACTGTACCGACCCAACAGGAAAGGCGTGTATTTCACATGCTGTCCACTTCTATTACAAAATTGTAAGTCGTCTCCTCGAATATTGGGATAGCAGGTCATGGTGCTAGGCAGCCAAAATCGGATTAGTTAGTTCATTTTTTAAAAGCCTCCGAAGCACTCGACCGCACTCCGAACACACGCACTACTATATTGTACTGTACACTCATCATGGGGGAAGTTTTCGGCTCGATTGTGGGAACTGGCGTGGGATTCTTCAGCAAGTTTGACGATGAAATGACGGTTCGAGAATACCTCACTGATTTCATAGTAAGGAATCGTCATTGGCCCAATTGTACTGCCGATGACCTGACCCTTTTCCTGGCGAAGTGGAACGGCAAGTGGCTGCACCACCAAGACCTCGACTACCTCGAAATGCGGAAGTGCGACATCCCGGACGGAATCAAGGAGACGATGAATGACGCCAACAGAATGAGCCCAGAGCGACGTTTGAAGGACTTTGACTTCCCGGGGCCGGATGAATGCGGCGGCATTGGAGCGCTTGTCCTCTTGCAGGTGCCAGACCATATCGTGCGCCAGTACCGCTTGAACATGATTGAGTCGAGGTGCTACCTATACGGTAAGACCAGCAACTTTGCATACTTTTTAATGTTGTTTGGCGCTGTACTGACGGAGCGTGATGTCCTAACAGCACTGGCGGACCTTACACTTTGGCAGCGGCTCTGTCACTGGGCTTGGATTCGGAAAACCAAGAAACGACTTGGGTTGTAGTCGCAGCTGGTTTAAGCTCAATACGTAGTTGCGTGACGTACATCACTATATTCTTGAGGCTAGAATATACTTTCGAGCTGAACAATACCAAGATCACAAATCCAAGCGAGAATTATGGCCGTGGCCAAGAGCTTGCGCGGCTTCGAGCCGAGCTAGACGCTGCATTTCTTCATCTACGTGCCGCCGACTTTCCTTAAATTAACACGCACACAACACACATCATACGGCTAGTTGGCGTTTGTGCTGACCTCAATGATGGTGCAAGTGATCGTCATCGCGCTCGGCTGCAGAACAAGCTTTTATAACGAAACCCTGTCAGGAATCGTTTATAAGGCAGCTTGTTTTTTGTATGTTTGAACATTTTATTCTTTACCTAAGTACTCCTCCATTTTGTCGGTCTCAGAACCTCATTGTCTCGGTAAGATGCGCCGTGAAAGCGTATTGATATAGGTACGAATCCCATGCTACTGATCCTTGTAGGGATAGATGCCTCAACGCACCTCGCAGTGTGATGCTGATGGGTTCTGCCTTCGTATCAATGGTCGATTTGTTGCCGAAGACGATGGGTGATAGTGAGTGCACGAAGTTGGTCGCCTTCTACGCCACGCATTTTGCAGCCATTCGGCTTGCAGTGGTTGTCTAGGTGGTTTTGTCAGCTGAAATATGACACAAGAGGCATCGTAGACCATCTTGGGAAGAGCGACAACAACTACAGGCTAGTTTAATGCTGCGTAAAACTATGTACAATCGGCATTCAGCTAGAATCTGTGCTCTCGAGTATTGAGCTCAGATACAGATATTTCTAATTTGCCAAACTACGAGGAGCTCACAGGATCGTAACTAAATCATTTTCTATATTCTATAAGCGACTTGTCATATCATAACCCGCACAGAGGGAGTTGGTCCAAGCGGCGAGCTCCGTGTCTGCATTACTTGAGGGCTGCGACAGACAGGTCGAGTAAGAGTAAGATTTTGTAGCTTCGATGCCGCCAGTGATTGTATCCTTGATTAAGAAGTATCTACCGAAGATGATATGTATTCAATCAAATACATCGATTCCCTGGTGCTACAAACGCACATGTACTCAACAAAATGAAGTTGCAGGCTCGAATCCCGTCGGTGTCGGAAGGATTTGGCTCCTTCCTAGTACGCAAGCGCTGCGTTCACAACGTTCTGGGCGTTGATGCGGCCGTAGCCATACTGGTTGTTCGGGAAGACCGCGTTCCCCGTCCCACCGCAGGTCAAGACAGCATTGGGGAGTGCCTGATCAGTCGAGCTGGTCAACACCGACTTCATCGTGTCGAAGCAGAATCCGGGGCGCGCACTCAGAGCCAACGCAATCGTGCCGGCGAGGTGCGGGGCGGCCATACTCGTGCCAGACAATGAAGTGTAGGCGGTATCGTTGCTGTTCCAGGCTGAGCGGATGCTCACACCAGGACCAGCGAAGTCGGGCTTGACCAGGCCATTGACAGAGGGGCCCAAGCTGCTGAACGAGCCGAGGGCGTCACTCGTGTCGGTGGCTCCGATGGCGAAGGCCCTGGCCGAGTCGCCGGGGGAGACGACGGTACTGCAGCCATTGGCTCCGTTGTTTCCGGTCGCGAAGACCGGGAGGATACGAGCCGCGTACCAAGCGTCCAGACTAGGCTGGAAGTACGTCATGCCCTGACCGGCACCCCAACTGTTGCTCACGATGTGCGGCGCCTTGGCGGCGTTGCAGTTGTTGCCGTTCGTGTCGGTCGGGCACAGCATAAACTGCGCGCAGGCCGTCAACAAGGAAAGCGTGCACGAGGTGGCTCCGCAGCCCTTGCACGTCATCCACGTGACTCCGGGGGCAATCCCCACGCCATTTATTCCAGCGATCGTGGCCATTGTGTGCGTGCCGTGGCCGTTGGCATCATACGGCGTCGCGGTCTTCTGGTCCGGGTCGTACCAGCCGTAGGCTCCGATCCAATTGTTCCTCAGCACCTCGTGCGTGCTGCGCACTCCGGTGTCAATCGTCCCGACCACCACATTCTGGCCCGAGTTGCTTGCCGCCCAGACGTTCGTCGCTTTGATCTTGGTAGCACCCCAGCCAGCCGTGGGCGTGTTGCTGGTCGAGTCGGCAGTCGGCGTCGGAGGGTCCAGCGTGATGACAAGGTCGAAGATGATCTCCTTGACGATCACCAGCGTGAGGATCTGCTGGACGAGGGCCAGTGGCGCGTTCAGCACTTCGATGGTGTTGGTGATCCATCGACTCTGGAACTGCACGCCGGCCGCCACCAGTAGGTCTTTAACTGGACCTTGGGTGGAATCCGCGTGCTGCTTTAGCGCAGTGACGATGTTCTGGATGTTGGCAATGCGCTTCGCTTCGGTCCAAAACGCTGTGCTGCTGTCCGCGGCGGCCTGGAGCGTGGCCGTGTTGTTGTCCTTCATGACGATGATGATCCGACTGGTGTCGCAAGGGATACCGGTCACGGTCTTCACCACCGAAGTCAGCGTCGCCGTTGTTGACGTCGTCGTCGTGGTCACCGTGCCCACGACATCCCCTATGAGGCCGTTGGCGGCGCCCGATACGACGAGCGAGAGCATGGAGAGCCCCAGCAGGAGGGACACGAATCCGAGGCGTGCCATGGCCTTTGTGAAGCGGCGAGTGTTCGGGTGTGAACGGTGTTGGAGGGTCAGCGAGTGAAGCTGGTTAGACACCAAGAAGGTGAATTGAGGAATGAGCTGAGTGCGAGGCTTGGTAAATTGCTGCTAACCCAGGACTCGAGTCCTCCGCGAGGTCACCCATTCCATTGCATCGGCTCAGGAGCTCTTGCCTTCTGTGTCCGTGGTGCTGGTCGAGAAGGTTTCCAGCGAGTTGGTAACGGTGTTAAACGATAGGTATTTTTCCACGGGGCGCTCATCGTTCGTCGTTCGTCGTCAAGTTTGTCAGAGCCCGTCGCCCCATTCTTTCGAGATCGCAATGCACTGTGCCTCACATCACCACGAAGCAGTTCAGCTTGGAAAACGGCAAGAAATTGATGCCGCCGTCGATAATCTTGGAAATCCTTTAAAAAAATGCCCCGCAGTTAACGTGCTCATACAGAACATGTGAACTATCCTCTTGTCTTGTTGCAATTGGGGTCAAAACAACTGAAAGCTTCCATTCGCTCTATCCATTGAAAACTTGTCGTAGCGAACGCTTTGCGTGGCAACAGCGTTGAGGCTGACGTTGGTTAACTTTCGTGCTCTTCGTTGGGTCCAGTCCGCCACAGCACCTCACCGAAAACAGCGAAATTCACTCCCACCACCGAACGCAGCAAATTGATGATGTCCGCGTTGCCTGGTGGCTCGGGGACTTCATGAAACGTGTTCTTCTTGGGAATGTTCTCCTCTACCGGCAGGTAATGCCAAGTCTGACTGATCAATCCGTTTCCTGCCTCGAGGAAGTCAAGAGTGTGGACTGATACGAGCGAGTATGATAGTCATTCTGTTCTCAATGCACGACAAACCATACATACACCAAAACGATGGTTTCACTGCGGCTTCAACTTGCTTGGTTCCGAGTGTGTAAAGCTGTAGCTCCCACTGCAGACCGACTTGAATGCTTCGTACTTCCGAATCGAACGTTTTGCATGAGGCAGCGTCTTGGCGCGTAGTTGAGGTCCACCAACGTACATCCCCGTGTGTCAAAATATGGACGTCTTTCAGCTGGGCTCCAGTGCTAAGAAATTGAAGAGCAGCTAGCCATATGCAGCTCCGGTCCTCCTAACGAGGTCCAAGAGACCAAAACGCGCCTTCCTCGGCCTCCGCCACCCCACGATGTTCCACAACAATCTCCGCCTTCGAGCGCAAGAAACCGAAGCCCCGCCAGCAAAAAAATTGTTTGCTGCATCGTGACACAGCTTGCTTTCTTCCGTCACCAGAGAAGTGCCGTCTGCCGCTTGTGAACGCCATAGACTTCTCCCAAGCGACCAACGGAGACTTCATCTTGTCGACGAAAGGAACGAACACCCGGGGACACACTTTCGACACAATTACACCACACGCTCCAGCCCCTCGACCCATTCAAATACACACCCACATCAGCGGAGAATGGATCGTAGATAGAAAAAAACATTGAGCCACTTTACCACAACAAGTTTGTACATGTAGCAAGTGAGTATAAAGTGGTTAATGGGGTTGGATCAGCCATCTCATGGAGAATGTTGCTCCTCCACGGAGCGGTAAAAGTCTCAGGCTTATCATTTCCGACCACAGCAAAGCAACATTCACACAGCACACTAGCCCTTCACACGCTATCGCACTAACAACTGCAGCTTCACGGAGGGCAGTGATGGACAGGATGTTACTGTAAGGGACAAAATAATTGGTTGGTATATGATTCGGACCGTATATTGCTGAACCGAGTAACCGTCGAGTAACGGGTTTCTAACCGTTGGATACTTTTGTCGACCACCGAAAAGCAACTTCTAGTTGAAGTTTACGCTAACTCTGCTGGCTTGCCGTCAGTCTGCTTTCTCCACGAATAGAAGCACCTATGCATGACCCCATGAGCCCAGAACTCCAGCGCTAGTTGCTTAGACCTCGAGCTGGACTGAGTCTCACGGCGTCTGACTGGCTTCTTCGACAGAGATCGGAGCTGCAGACGGCGCCGCCGGTTCTGCACGACGAGGAACCACGCGTGCAGTACGTGGGTCATCAAGACGCGGTTCCTCTTTAGCTGAGCCTGCAACGCCCTCGTGTCGCGGAAGGTGCCACCGGAGCGACGCGTTTTGTCAAACGCCGCAGCTTTGCTCCGGGTCTGGACGCGATGCAGCTGCTGGACGTAGTGCTCCCAGCGTCTTTGCTGGCGGCGGGCGGCCACGAACGTCTTCCAGTGTGCAAGAGCGTTGCGCTTCATGTCCAGGCCCAGCTTCCGTTGGCTGCGCACGAGCCACCACTCAACGCGCCAGCGAGCCAGAGACCGATGCAGCAAACCCCTCGCCGTCCGCAGGCAAACCTCGCGAAACGCTTGCTGCTGGATGGCATGGCGCCTTAAACCTTGACAGAAGACGCTTTGGAGCAGTAGAAGCTGCTGACAACGCCGCCATCGGCTGGAAACACGCCACAACTTCCAGTGGGCCCAGCACCTTCGTCTCCACCGCAGTGACTCGCGTGTGTCTCGGTGTGAGGCCAACCTTCCAGCCGTGGCGAGGACAGCCCACGAGGTGAACACCTTTTGTCTTGATCGCAACTGCTGCATTCGATGCATCGTGGCTGCAACCGCGGACTGACCACGCCGGGTTTGGACTAAGGCTATCCAACTTGTGAAGACGTGAGCGAGGCGGATGCGTGTTGCTGCGTGGCTCCACATAACCAGCGCTACTTGGCGACGACGCGTGACGCGTAACAGGGCATTCCACGCTCGTGTTAGAAGGACTGACGAACGGAATTGTTCAGCCTTATACGTCAGGTGTCGCTCTATCAGAGCGCCTCGCCACTCATGAAGCGCGCGTCGACCAACTGTCCGCCACGCAAGACATTGGCCAAGGACTCTGCAGCTTCGAGCGTGTTTTGTAGCACTACACCACTTCGCCATGACTTTCTGGAGCAAGACCGCCTCAAACCAAGCCTCCGCGTCGAGATTCTGGTTGCGACGCGCTATGGCATTGACCGCTGCAGCATGCAAGCAGCGAACGGCCTTTCGTTTGCTGTGTCGTCGGAAGTACTCGTCAGCCTCGAGTCGTCGCCTCTTCAACGTAAAATACCGAGTCCAAGAAACCCAAGCGCGTCGAAGGTTGCAGCGTCGATCGTACGCGACGGCCACACGATTGCGGCCTACGGTCAGCCCAAACAACTTTCTCAAATGAAATCTCTGGAGTCTTTCGCGATGGAACGCATCTGCTCGCTTCAACGCCTTCAATCGTTGCTGGTTTTTCTTCCATCGAGAGAGAACAGCAGCTAAGACGTGCCTCTTGTAAAATGCTGACAGGAGTTGAGACCCCCATCTGTATCTGCGAGTTTTACGGAGCCAAATCGTGACGAACGAGTGCATTAGAAGACCGTACTCGTGCAATTGCTGCGTTTTAATCGCCACATTGCGTGTATCTCGGCGGCGTTGGACCAGCAATACCCAGCGTTTCCAACGCAAGCGAAGTTGAACCAGCTCACCCAGCACCATCAAATGGCGGTCTCTGTGCTGCAGTTCCACTGCCAGTCTCCATGCGCTGAAAAACTTAGAGCGAAGGACTCCGCATCGAGTCTGGACCAACAGTCTCCAGTGATCAACACACTGTTGCAGCTGCCGCTGTCGTCGTTGATCTCGTACGGCTGCGATCCTTCTTCCCAGCTCTCGCTTGCTCCAGAATGCCCATTTCGCCCAGTGTTGTATCATCTTGCTCGATAAGTGTCTGATTGCCATCGCATCAAGCTGCTTCTTCTTCAGCATAACTTGATGTGCTTCTTTCCAGAGCCCCATAAATCTTTTCACCAGTCCACGGCGATAAAATACTGCACTCCGTGCTACCAGCACCTTGCGCTGTTTGGCAGACCTCACTTGAGATCGCCACACACAGATAACGTGCCGCAACTTTCTCACCTCGCGCGTATCGACGATGCTTTCAACCAGAAAGCGTCGGTGTTCTTGCTGGTTGACTGCCCCAACGAAGGCCTCCCATGTTCTTCTCAGCTGCCTTGCTCGCCATTTCGCCGTGAAGCTGTGTACATCCCTCAAACGTTGGAACGTACGTCTCCATGGGCGCCATACAGCATCACGGAGGACCAAGTGCTCATGGTTTTCCCGAAGAAACTCTGCGCGCAGCCGTAACATTCGATGCTGACGCGAACGATGGTGCCACGTCCAGACTGTTCGACGCAGCTTCCAGCTCTTCAATGTATTCTCACGTTCCTGATCATATTGCGCGTGTTGAGAAAGGCAGATAAAGGCACGTCGACGCCGTTGCGAGTGCAGCACCGCCACGAGCGCTCGCTTCCGCTGTAGCGTGCGTCGAACATGGCCACTCCAAACGTTAAGCACGACTCGAAGGATTCGACGACGCCGACGTCGAACGGCAAGTTGAAGAGTATGGCGCGTACATCTCGTGATTTCATGGACTTCTCTCCAACCATCGTACGCGTCTCCCAAAATTCGACGATCGCTCCACCTCACAGCGAAATTCCACCGCTTAGTCAGTTCAACGTGTTCTCCCCACAATGAAAAACAACGGCGTGCCAGTTCCTCTACTCGCCGTACCGCAAAACGCTCGACCTCTTCATCTATGACTCGTTGAGCTTCGATCCCCGCCTGCAGCCACCGCCAGTATCGTCGAAGCAGTTGCCTAGCTGCTTTTGGCTTGTACTTCCGGAACCTCGCGCGCTGGTGTGTCGCCAAGACCCACGTGCAAAAGGCTTCACACCTCAATCTCCGTCGTCTCCGCAGACAGAACCGCCTCAGCGTCGCGATGCGATGGTGTTCGCTACTCCACTTCCTCCACACCACAGTCAGTTCCTTAATCTTCGCCTTCTTCATCACCGAGCTTGCTGCTTCTCTAAGCAAAAATTGTCGGACGGATAGTCGTCTCCACGCGTCGAATACTTCAGCTGCAAGTCGCTGTTCCTGACGCTTTCGAGCGCGAACTCGGAATCTTGATACAACAACCGATGCACAAGTAAATCGCCACCACTCTTCCACAATGCTCAGCAGTAGGCTTCGTCTCTCACTCCCCGTCATTTGCAACGGTTTTTTAGCCAGGCTAGAGCGATGAAGAGGTTTTAGGCGCGAAGACTCCTCTGTAGGGCTTGAGGCAGAACAAGTTGCCTTTTCAGTCGCGGGTCGGCCCACAGACGCCAGCAACGCCGTCACTTCGGCCCATTTTGGAGTCAACTTGTCCGTAGGTTGGTCCCTGCGTCTTCTTTCATTGTGGGATCGCCGCTGGGCGTCAAACGCAGCGTCGATGTCCGCTCGCAGCCGCTGTAGCGCCTCCATCGCCATTATTCTCGATTGGATCCGCGACGCTTCAAAGCACCATTCAAATCCAAGCAAACAAATAAAAAAACTGTACGAGCACGCTAGATGCAGTATACTTTAAAATGTATAGTAGACGAGCTGTCTGCCTGGCGCTCAGCTACAATGAGGTCAGCGTTAAACAAGCGTGTAGCTGTCGCCGTCCTCACCTTCGACTCGAGACAACTGACGACGCTTGTAGATCTCTACCAGCCAATGCACCAAGACGATCACTGCAACTTACGCGTGGTACAGTGTCACGAAGGCGTGGGTGGTCCTCTAGCCTCAGGTTTCTCTTGATCGCCGTAAAGACTTCGCTGAAGCGGTCGGCGTCGGCTTCCACGATGCAACCTACCGAAATAATGAGGCACACGATCTTCATGTTTACTGGAAAGTTGACCGCGTGTGATCAAAATTTCACATCGCTTCCTCTCCATCGGCATCTGATCAATCACATTAAAGTGGGTGGGGAATACTAAATCGACGTAGTGATCATTCAAGGGGTGAGAATTGATTGAGTGTATACCTTTTTGCTATGTATGAGGCATCAATGTCGTCGGTGACAGCGTCCATTACTTTTTAAAGTAAAGGGCGCATTCGTCGGATCAAGGTGCCTCTAAGCACCGTACCACGGATCTCACGAAAGCTAGGTTTTTGATAGATCTGATGCATTTTGAAAGTAGGTACAAAATGGGGAAACGCGTAACGTTGTATGTCTTGACGGAGACATTTGTTCCAACGTTTTTTAAAAGCCTTAAAAGGCATAGTGAGGCAGTTGAGAAGACTAAGGGCGGTCGTGGTTGGTGCAGTGAACCAGAACATTGACGCTTTATGGCTGAAAGTAGTGCTGGTATGAGTGAGGTAAGAAAAGACTATGATCGCTGTGAAGATGCTTTAGGGACAATATAGGGAGGCTATGTACTGCGCGTTAACCCTGAACAGGAAAACGTCGCGACTCGCAGTTGTACATTCATAAGCACGATTCCAATGTATATATTAGCCACATCAACGGTGTGGTTCAAAGTGGCGAGATTCATCTGCAAATACAGCGTCTTCACTGATCAACATGGCCGTAGCGATACTTTACTTGGTGGTGGCGACACTTTGGCGCGAGCTCACCGACAGTTTCTCGTCCAGGAGGCCGGGAAGCTCGTTGCCCATGGTGTCCAGCACCGGCGAAGAGGACATGCCCATGTTCATCCTCCTCATGACGACCACGAAGCACACGAAGTTGATGGCGCTAACTGCTCCCATGGTGAAGAACATGTTCTCGAGGTGGTCCTCGTTCAGGTTGTCGGACGGAAGCGACTTGGAGAACATGATGGTGAAGACCGAGGTGAGGATGCTGCCCATGGAGCTCATGAACAGGATCACGGCCTGGGCCATGGACTTGAGCGACATCGGCACCGAAGAGTACACGAGGTCGTAGGACGTGACGTTGATCAGACACTCAGCCAAGCCAATGAAGACGTAGTTAGGCACCGCAGCACCCCACGAGATGTCGTTCATAGGTTGAGAACTACCACCATCCAAAATGGGGTCCCCGTTCTCATCCTGCAGAGCGCCAGCGTTGCGACGGATGACCTCGAAGATGCCGGCCCAGAAGATGCCGACGATGGCAATGGCGAGGCCAGTTGCAGCCTTGCCGAACTGACTGGGGGACTTGCCGGCCCACTTGGTGTACGCCGGGTAGACGATCGAGTCCAAAATGGGGATGCAGATGACGATCACGATCGGGTCGAAGACTCCCAACATGGCACCAGGGATCTGTGAGCTCTTCGGGTCACTCGTGTCGAGGCGAAGGTCGCACTGCTGGGTAATGGACTGGAAGTTGGCGTCGGTCTGGTCGTAGGCGCAGTTCCAAATGATTGTGAAGGCCGAATACGGCAACACGCCCACGAGTTTCTTGTATCCTTCAACGCGCTCGTCATCGAAAGCCCCGCCCTGGCTGACCTTGGAGGAATCAAGGAACGACTGGTTCTGTCCGATGTACACCCAGCAGACCACACCAGCCAGCACCAGCACCGCAGCAATATACGACAGAATGTTGCCGATGTTTCCGTGCGAAGCGGAGAAGGTTGACGACCAGCGCTCCCAAGAAGCTGCACATGCTGAGGAGAAGGACGAACCCCTTGTGCGTTTCGTGGGCGTTGGACCACACGAGTCTGCACAGCATCGAGATGGAGCGGTCGTTCGGCGGCTGGAACACGTAGCGAGGGTAGCCGACGCACAGCATGACGACAGCGAACGCCATCACCACGGCGCAGATCATGTACGTGGCGAAGTAACCGTACTCCGCAGGGATCTGGGCCGAGCCGTCCACACACAGGATCGACAGATAACCATAGGAGACACCTGAGCCAACGTTGATGCAGAAGTAGAAGTACGAGAAGTACGTCTCCTTCTGGTGGACCTCGCTCGGATCATGAGGGTTGAACTGGTCGGCACCAAGTGTGATCACGCTCGACTTGATACAGCCCGTACCAATTCCAATGCCGGCAAACAATCCGATGATGAAGATCGGGTTCACGACGGCCGAGTTGGCCATGATCGTCGGGTATGCAGCGATAGCGACGAGGAAGTCACCGACGCAGTACCAGATACCAAACGTCAAAATCGTGCGGAAGCGGCCCCATCGCTCATCAGCCAGGTAAGCGCCGAACAGCGGGGTCAAGTAACAGATCGACGTCCAGGTGCTCTTCAATGCACTGGCGGAGACCAAGCTCCAGCCAATTTTCTGCATGAAGTTCTTGAGGCCTTGGTTGATGCCGAAGTAGCTGAGACGCTCGGCCAGCTCCATCATGAGGATGAAGATGCAGACCTGGAATAGAATGCTCTTGTACTTGCGCGGACGAGCGTCCCACATGGTCTGGACGGACTCGTAGGGCACCGCAGGTGAGCCCACGGGCGATTTGAGCGGGGCGGACGTGACGCCCATGCCTCTTCTGCTTGGTCTTGTCGAAGTCGAAGTGGGCGCTGGAGGTCAGATGGAGGAATGAACGAAAGCCTCTCGAGCTCACAGACATCGGATGCCTGGTGTTGCTGTGCCTTTATCCCCGTGGCGGCGCAGAGGGAAAAGTCTGCGTGCGATTATCACGAGGTCAGTCACGCGTTGAACCTGTTTATCGTGCTGCGTATCCAAGCAGGGTTCATATACCGTTTACGAAGCTGCACAGGATGATTAGTATTTGCATATATTTGAAATGACATGTGTACGTGGTATTGGATAAACCTGTTGAAGGCGATTGTGGATGATGTAATTTGACAGTTTTTTCTAGTGGCACATCTCCATGTAGACGAAAAGAGACGGGGCTCAAAAACTGCAAACGAATGCATGAGCATTCATCAAACACCGGACAACAACTGGGCCCACCCTGCCTCAACTTGACAAGATGGGGGAGCAAAGCAGCAACCAAGCCAAGGCACCGTAGTCATCAAAAATTATTGCGTTTAGTGAACGCTGCGGGGTTTGCGCTTGGAACTTATCGGATCATCTGCGTGCAGACTACCCATGGTATTAAAATACATATACTTAGTGATTTCCAAGATACTTTTGTAGACCTCCACATGGAAAACATTGGCAATGACATATTGCTGCTGTCAATGCGGACCGTCGAGACGGCCGTGCAGCGGAATCAGCAAGCTTGGATGAGGCTGGCCGCACTTTGGTCGAGGGTACCAATACCCCGTTGCTTGATTCATCCAACTGCCACGTTTGCATGCGTCAACTACGGTACCGTAGGAGATTAAAATCCGAGCGCCGGCCGCACGAAAAATCTTCTGGTGGCTGTTTAATCACGAAGAGACCTGGATCACGCCAGCGTCTGCGTTGCATATCCGCGGCTACGCTAGCTTTTCGTTGACAACTCGAGCGTCCTCGCCAGTGCGCGGCTGCCGTTCGAGCTTAGCTTGCGTCACTTGGTTTTCATGTAGTGCTACTATTGCTGATGGCTGTGGTGGCATCGATAGCATCATTGGATGTAGGTTACTGCGTGCACTTGGTGCAGCTAGAGAAGTTTGCGTCACGCGAGCTGAAGTGGAACGCTTCAGCTGCCATAACCTGGCTCTTTGGTGTAATCGCTTCGTTTTCGAAGTTGCCTGGCATTGTTGGAGAACAAAAGCCCACTGTAGCTGCAGCAAGAAACACTTAACCTAAGTTTTATACTCACTCAATATATTTTCTCGTGTTTGATAGCCACCGGAATACTCTTTTTGGCCTTACTTAGTGGCCGCGACACTCTGGCGCGAGCTCACCGACAGCTTCTCGTCCAGGAGGTCCTGTACCTCGTTACCGAGGTGGTCGAGCTCAGGTGAAGAGGACATGCCCATGTTCATCTTGCGCATGATGATAATGAAGAAGACGAAGTTGATGACGCTCACGGCACCCACCGTGAAGAACATGTTCTCGAGGTGGTCCTCGTTCAGGTTGTCGGACGGAAGCGACTTGGAGAACATGATGGTGAAGACCGAGGTGAGGATGCTGCCCATGGAGCTCATGAACAGGATCACGGCCTGGGCCATGGACTTGAGCGACATCGGCACTGAAGAGTACACGAGGTCGTACGCCGTAACGTTGATCAGGCATTCAGCGAGACCGATGAAGATGTAGTTGGGGATGGCGGCGGCCCACGAGATGTCGTTCATGGGTTGAGAGCTACCTCCATCCAAAATGGGGTCCCCGTTCTCGTCCTGTAGAGCTCCAGCGTTGCGACGGATGACCTCGAAGATGCCGGCCCAGAAGATGCCAACGATGGCGATGACGAGACCGGTTGCGGACTTGCCGAACTGACTGGGAGACTTGCCGGCCCACTTGGAGTACGCCGGGTAGACGATCGAGTCAAGGATCGGAATGACAATGACGATGACGATCGGGTCGAAGACACCGAGCATGGCGCCAGGGATCTGCGAGCTGTCTGGGTCGCTCGTGTCAAGACGCAGGTCGCACTGCTGGGTAATGGACTGGAAATTGGCGTCGGTCTGGTCATACGCACACTGCCAGATAATAGTGAAGGCGGCGTACGGCAGCACGCGCACCAGCTTCTTGTAACCCTCAACGCGCTCGTCGTCGAAGGTGCCACCATGGCTGACCTTTGACGCGTCCAGGAAGGATTGTTCCTGGCCGGAGTACACCCAGCCGATAATGCCGGCAAGCACCAGCACAGCAGCGACGTACGAGAGGATGTTGCCCGTGTTTCCCTTATCAACCGTAAAGGCGGAGATGACGTTGACGATCAGAGCAGCCAGGAAGCTCAGAGTCGCAGACACGAGGATGAAGCCGCTGCGGGTCTGCTTGGCGTTGGCCCAGCCCAGCTTGCACAGCATCGAGATGGAGCGGTCGTTCGGTGGCATGAAGACGTAGCGAGGGTAGCCCACGCACAGCATCGCAATGGCGAACAGCATCACCACGGCGCAGATCATGTACGTGGCGAAGTAGCCGTACTCCGCGGGGATCTGGGCCGAGCCATCCACGCACAGGATCGACAGGTAACCGTACGAAAATCCGGAGCCGAGGTTGATGCAGAAGTAGAAGTACGAGAAGTACGTCTCCTTCTGGTGGACTTCACTCGGGTCATGCGGGTCGAACTGGTCGGCGCCAAGCGTGATGACGTTGGACTTGATGCAACCGGTACCAACACCAATGCCGACGAAGAGACCGATGACGAAGATCGGGTTCACAACAGCCGAGTTGGTCATAATGGACGGGTACGCGGCGATAGCGACGAGGAAGTCACCGACGCAGTACCAAATGCCGAACGTCAAAATCGTGCGGAAGCGGCCCCACCGTTCATCAGCCAGGTAGGCGCCGAACAGCGGGGTCAGGTAGCAGATCGACGTCCAGGTGCTCTTCAATGCGCTGGCGGAGACCAGGCTCCAGCCGATCTCCTGCATAAAGTTCTTGAGACCTTGGCTGATACCGTAGTAGCTGAGACGCTCGGCCAGCTCCATCATGAGGATGAAGAGGCAGACTTGGAACAGGACGCTCTTGTACTTGCGTGGACGCGCCTCCCACACGGTCTGCACGGTCTCGTAGGGCACCGCGGGCGAGCCCATGGGCGACTTGATGGCGACTCCCATGGCGGTCTCTTGAGTTCCTTGTCGAAGTGCGCGCTTGAGGTCCGATTGAGAAATGAGCTTCCCTTTCGACTGGGGACGCCCCGGCCGGAGGAGCGAGCTGCGCCGGGCTCAGCACGCCTGCGAAAACGAGGTTGCATACTAGACGAGAGAATAGACAATCAAGATTTGCAAAAACTAGTCGCAGACCGATCACGAAAACAAACGGCTCTGTCACGGCAACAAGGATTCGTTGACAGACCGCTGTGCTCGGCGTTGGTTCCAATGTACCGGAGCCACGAGCCTATTCCGGCAAAACGCAAAGCGCCCCCTGGGGAAATGACCATTAGCTTCGTATCCATATCCCCGGAGGAGGCGTAATCGACTTGATCGCTGCCACCAACTTAATTGCTTTAATACATGCTGCACTCTATGCGCTTTTCATGAGCCTGCGCTTTGTTGAACTCCACCCGTCACTGGGGCTGGTGGTGGTGTGCAGTTCACCGTTGCAAATGCTGTAAGTACATTGATTTTGTTGCACTGAAAGCCTTTAGCATTTCCGAGCAGCAATAACTAAGGAGCTGGCAACCGATGGAAGATCGCAACGAAATTTCGTCTACAAATTCGTTTGCAGTTTGGCACATCCCCTCGATAACGCGAGCTTACAGACTACCATTTAGTTTGCAGATATTATAACGCGAGAGCTTGTAGACGAATTCGGCGGAAGGGGATGAGCCCACTCTAGCTTGGCTAGATGAAAATGAACGCAGTACAGTTGTGTACTATGTTTTATCAACAGGAAGAACAAAATGCAACTGTTTCCTTCTCGCCGACGCCTTCGTGGTTCTATTTCTTAATGTAGAACTGCTTGAGCATCTGTAGAAACAAAATATTGCACAGTTTTCAGTCAGAACTAGAGCATCATACATCATACACGGGATCCCATACAAAATTCTCGTACCTCCTCCTCAAGCGGGTGCACCTCTCCTGTGATCGCAAGGCAGTGCAGTGGAGCGCCGAAGTCGGCGGTCAGCAGCTCCTCCATGGTTCCGGCGATGATGGTCTGGTCCTTCTGGCCGAGGCGCGCCATGCCCACGCAGATGGTGTCCTTGGAGTAGGCTCCCTCCTGGCGCTTCTCCTCGATCTCGATGAGCTGCTCGATGGCCTGGTTCACCGTCATGAAGCGGGGCGGCAGGTACACGATGCGACCGCGGCACATGGCCTCGAAGTCGGGCTCCTTGACCTTGATGTCCAGCAGACACAGCGTGTGCATGCCGCCGCGGCGGTTGTACTGGATCTTCTCGTAGAAGCTGTCGGGGCGCCACTCCTCGCGGAAGAACGGGATGGACACGGTCTGGCCGAACGAGTAGAGCTGCAGGCCGCAGGAGCCGGCCGCGCCCATGACGGAGGCATTGTGGATCACCTCCACCTTGATGTCCAGCTCCTTGGCGCGCAGGATCAGGTCCGAGTGGGTCGTGGCGCACAGCGGGTCGCCCACCACGAGGAACGCGACGTCGTCGTCCTTGGCGTCGGCGAAGATCTGGTCGGCGCCGGTCTCGACGCAGTCGCGGTCGGCCAGGATCACCTCGCGGCCGTAGAATTCTCCCTGCCGTAGGTAGAGTAGAGTGAGAGTAGAGCGTTAGTGGTCAAAGAGTTATTGGTGTAGGGTGGGTGGGTATTATTCGGAGCAGATGCACGCACCAGCTTGTCCAGCTCCACGCCCAGCACCGACGTGTAGTTCTCCAGGAAGACCTTCTTGGACTTCTTGATGGCGTTCAGGCCGCGCAGCGTCACGTCCTGCTCGTCGCCGAGGCCCAGTCCAACCACGTAGAGCACCATGATGTCGCGACACTTCTCGCTGCCACTCAATCGAAATGACAGGGCTGTGTGCGCCACACAAATAATAGGGTTACGTGAAATGTTGGGTATTGTGATATTCTCTGCTTCAGTTTAGAGCTGGAGAAACCTACCTTCTTCATACTGTATCGCCACAAGAATGTCGCCCTAGAGCGACAGCTTACGCTTACCAACTACATGCACAGTCGCTGTACTGGTGCTAAGTACATGTAGTTGCTTTGGGCGAGGGTACAGTACAGTAGTGCCCAAAATTACAATTTTCTGGGCTTCTGTACGTATTGTAACTTTTAGGTTACATTTGGGTTACACGACTCCCCACATCGGGTATTGACTTATGAGGCCGTACAAAGGATACGAGCTGTGGACGAATGCTGCTTGGTGCGGTCGAGTCTATCGCTGCTGTGGCAGACTGTGGTCGGCCTCCATGAGCGGCCCCTCTGATTGAATCCCAACCACTGCGCAAGTACATGCACACAGCGCAACGCGCGAATTGTCGGTTCCGGTATATACGCATGCGGAGGGCGCCACCGTCTCAGCATGCGCCGGCTCAGCCTGAGCCGGTGGCGGCAAGTGGAGACGAAAAGCGCTGCTGCACAGCATTTTGGCCGGCGACTTCAACTCACGACGCTTGGTGATCCTGGCGCCCTTTTTCTCCTTGACATGCATGTCAAATCCGAAAAGAGCGGGACCTGCGGAAACGCCAATGGCAGCACCGACACGCTGCTTGTCATCAGCCTTCGCGTCGCTGAGACTCTCAGCCTGAGAGGCGGACGATCTCCGATCCTGCTCATCGCGCAGCGGCACCGCTCTTTGCAGACGCCCGCGGGCCGCGGGTGCTTGCTCATTGCGGCCGCGGCAGTGCATTCGTGCACTCGGTTCCCATGCGAGCACTGCCGCCGTGGCAACTCGCCACTGGCAAGCCGAGCGCTCGAGTACAGCCACTTCCACCGATATATCGGCGCGTCGTTGCGGCGAGGTCACAAGAAACCGGCCGCCCGCTGCATGGCAAGGGCGACATTATCCATTTAACACGGCGTTGCTGGGACGGCCTTCGGTCGGATCGAGAGCCCGTGGGGAGCTGCACGCAGAGCAAGTGGCCACCATGGCCGAATTTCGACTGCCAAGCCAATGTCAGCGTCGTTGCTTTCGAGTTCGCAGTGACGGTAGAGGTGTTGTAAGAAGACTCTTTTGGAGGAGGCAAAGTCGAGCGACACTTTCGCCGCGGATGTCGTGACACCGATTAACCCGAGCACGCAACGACGCTACGCCCCCAGCACCGCCTTAGCAACGATGAAAGCCTTCGCAACCATGACTGCGGGTCTGGCGTGGCCTGGCCTCTAATGACCTCGCGATGCACTTCCAGCTATGCCGCCGATGGAAGTGAGCCATCGCCGCATCTCAGTTGCGACTCCGACACAGAGGCTCGAACCGAATGCCTCCCGACACTGTGGGCTGACAGTCTCATTCAGAAGCCACTCGTCGACAGATTTCACTCGTCGAACGTAGCATACTCGACCCAAGTCAAAATACAGATACAGTGCATCCCCCTACACTTCAGCCACGTGAGCACATCTCCATTGTCGTCCTGCGCCTGCAAGTGCAGTCGCTCATCCGTTTGCAGGTCTTGGCACCTCCCCATCACCTCGGGGCCCAACATGTCAGCGCCTCGCTCACGCTCGCATCGATGCTAGGTAGGTCGGCCCTCCCTCTGGGGCCCTCCCCACAACGTCGCTCATTCAGCGGGTCATTTCCCGATTTCGTCTGTGCTGCGCAGTGCCTCGACCCAGCAGACCGCCATGGGCGTTACGTCCGCCGCCGTCAAGTCGCCCATGGGCTCGCCCGCGGTGCCCTACGAGACCGTGCAGACCGTGTGGGAGGCGCGTCCACGCAAGTACAAGAGCGTCCTGTTCCAAGTCTGCCTCTTCATCCTCATGATGGAGCTGGCCGAGCGTCTCAGCTACTACGGTATCAGCCAAGGTCTCAAGAACTTTATGCAGGAGATCGGCTGGAGCTTGGTCTCCGCCAGCGCATTGAAGAGTACCTGGACGTCGATCTGCTACCTGACCCCGCTGTTCGGTGCCTACATGGCCGACGAGCGATGGGGCCGGTTCCGTACGATTTTGACGTTTGGTATCTGGTACTGCGTCGGTGACTTCCTCGTCGCCATCGCCGCGTACCACCAACTCGGCTGTTGTGAACCCGATCTTCGTCATCGGTCTCTTCGTCGGCATTGGTGTTGGTACCGGTTGCATCAAGTCCAACGTCATCACGCTTGGTGCTGACCAGTTCGACCCGCACGACCCGAGTGAAGTCCACCAGAAGGAGACGTACTTCTCGTACTTCTACTTTTGCATCAACCTCGGCGCTGGCTTCTCGTACGGTTTCCTGTCGATCCTGTGCGTGGATGGCTCGGCCCAGATCCCCGCGGAGTACGGCTACTTCGCCACGTACATGATCTGTGCCGTGGTGATGCTGTTCGCCATTGCGATGCTGTGCGTGGGCTACCCTCGCTACGTCTTCATGCCACCGAACGACCGCTCCATCTCGATGCTGTGCAAGCTGGGCTGGGCCAACGCCAAGCAGACCCGCAGCGGCTTCATCCTCGTGTCTGCGACTCTGAGCTTCCTGGCTGCTCTGATCGTCAACGTCATCTCCGCCTTTACGGTTGATAAGGGAAACACGGGCAACATCCTCTCGTACGTCGCTGCTGTGCTGGTCCTTGCCGGCATTGTCGGTTGGGTGTACGCCGGCCAGGACCAGTCCTTCCTCGACGTGTCCAAGAGCAGCTTGGGTGGCACCTTTGACGATGAACGCGTTGAGGGTTACAAGAAGCTGGTGCGCGTGCTGCCGTACGCCGCGTTCACTATCATTTGGA